TTAATTAGAGTAACAGATGTAATAGAACGCCTCGCCGCCAAAACGACGAACAATTAAGCCACTGTCGCCACATTGTAAGGATGTAGGTTTTACTATACTAAATAGTCCCCGTTGCTGTTCCCCTTATTGGCACATTCCTAGCAACAAAAGACCTAGTTCGTACTAGTGTAACAAGTAGATAACTGTCATTTATTACATACCAGGACCGTGTCTGTACCAAAAGAAAATGAAAATCACACCATGTGTGTCGCCAATCATGCATTCATTATAAAATACTTGTGTCGTGTCAAGGCATTTCTACGGAATTCTTTCTCATCATTTGCAGATATTCGTGTACTTGAACTAAGCCCCCCACAAAATTTAAGGTATATATTTCACTCAAAAGATTCCCCTTCCCCATTTCTTACACAGCTTCCAACGATCTGTTAGTCATTAAAAATTTTGAAGCGATTATGGAAACAAATCAATACTTTTCGCTTCGTAAAACACAGAACAGTAGGACGTTAAACCCCATTTCATTTCATTTCACGCTTCGTAAAACCCTGTCTTTTTGTTTATTTCTACCAGACAACACACAGATTAAAAGAATGATATGTGCATTCCGTTGTGTCTGTTTAATTCAGTTTATTTAAGTATTATCTACTTCAGAACTTTGTTCACTCCAGGATGACCTTTAACAGTACCAGTGACATAGTCGCTCTAAGAGCTTTTGAGTGTTAAGATTTGCGATGCATGGGGCATTATAATTTGCCGGAATTTTGACGAAATCGACTTACAATGATAGTACTGTCTAAGAACATCATGTTGCGTAATGTGTTTTGTTGGCAACCAGTATAAAATCTAACAACTTACTCGACACACTAATCAATAGCAATGTCGTACGATTCTTCCATGCCATTACAAATACAGGTATATGTGTGGCCTTACTCTTATGTCAGCATGACATAAGAGGTATAGCATACCAAATGGGAAATGGCGGGTGTGGACGAGATGGGTTGGGGGGGGGGGGGATACACATACCGAATTGACATTTACTAAGCATTATCTTCATTATAACTAAAAAATACGAGGATTAAGCCATGGCTGATATTAGCCCCAGGTGTACACATGGTAAAATATACATACTCTTTCCGGAATATCTGATATACATTGTCACTAGGCTTAGGTTAACTGAACAATCTGAAAAAAAATAATATAATAAAATTCAATTACTATATTATTTACCTTTCAAAGGCAATGATGAGTCGGAGAGAGCTTTTCAGTTCCTTGGTTTCCATGAAAAATATAGAGCATAATATTGCTCTCCAATATAGTAATCTATACTATGTCGCTAGGTGTAATTAGTTTCTCTTGGTGATATATATATATACAGTCGCTTATTTGATGACGTATTTCACAAACCACCATTTTGACATTTTTCAAGAGTAACAACCACCTGTGCTTATAATGGTATTCTTGGGTAAAATATCATTGATATCAGCTTACTCAACACTTTGGTGAGTGTGGTCGGTGATGTACGCATTACATTATTTACCTTAAAAGACGAACGCAGAAGGACAATAAAAGAGAACATTGCTGAAGTTCAGTGTTGATTCCAGTTGTCCATCATTACACAGCTAGATTGATATTAAAGCTAATCAATGAAGAATTTATTGCTTGTAGAGGAGATCACATTTCTTATTTATTACTTCTAATCTTGTGAATTTCTGGATCGTTCGTTCGTTCGTTTCTGGTGTTTTACGTCCACTTCCACCTAAGGTGATATCGTAGACAATTTTTTCTGGATACGAGTTGCCTGATTTTATATCATTTGCAAATGAAATCAGAATTGACTTTGTATTACCACGATCTTCATTATTCACCATTCACCGTATGTTGTATGTAAAATTTCTATTTGGACACTACAAGTATATAGTTTACAGCATGGAGACATATTTTTGTATCTAATGTATGGCCATTACTTGTGTTTTGTCTAGAACTTCACAATGGTTAATTGTTTGCGTATTAACAATAAAGAAGAAAATCCATGGATTTCACCTAAACACTGAATTGAATAGCGAAAGGATATTGACGAGTTACATATTGGAGCACTCACCATGTTATAGATTTGAACGCTTTGTCTATACCGCACAATATGCCTGTTTATTTACCGGAAGTAACACATCAATCCACCAAAAACCCATAATAAAGTTTGGGATAATAGTGTTTCATGATTAAGCAGTCTTGAGGGTTACATGTACCATGGTGTGATCCATAACTTTACTATTAAATTCTGATGATACAATACATAACAATATGAACATTACCTTTCTTATGGTAATCACATTATACATATAGAAAGGCGTGTCTATAATTAAACATTAATTATCGTAAAGTACCCAAGTGCACCAAAACCCAGAGATAGGTAGAAATTAGCTTTATATAACTTATGAGAAAATTACCAAGTCGTGTTTATATACTTCCGCAATTTAGCTGGTACTATTTTTATAGAGATATTTCTTACGGTAGAAATATGTTCATTTTGAAATTATATATATATATATACACTTAACTATGTAGTGTTCATTGTAATGGTGTGATTTTTATGGATTCATAAACGGAAAATCGTGTTGGCGGAAATTGTATCACAAACAGATGACAGGTTTGTGTGATTTCTGCCATCCGCTTTACTTTCAGGGATCTGAAATTGCAGTGGACATGTTTTAATCAGTTAGCACCCGTCTAAGGCCAATTAAACACGAAATATAATTATCGGGAGACAGCAAATGTGACAATTTAAAAATGGAAATAGGTTAGATAAAAGTGAAATGAATACATCGGACAATGGTTCACCGCAGAGCGTCTAGAAATATTATACATACAATTATAATCCGATTTTGAAGATATAAATAATAAACGTGCCGCTAAACTTAAGTAATGTCAACAATACAAGCCATATATAAATATAAGTTGCCATCTTTATAGATATATATATTACATGTTGTAAGTTGACTTTATCATGGGCGTTACATGAAATACGAGCCTATTTTAATATCTACATATAAAGTTAATCAAGAGACGCGTATATATTCAGAGGGTAGTTATTTCGTGTAAACTTGTGTTATTATGTTAATATGTGAAAGTGTTATGTCTGCAAACAAAAATCAATATCAATCATTGTTGTTATTTTCAAATCTGGAATCTGTCAAGTATCAAGAATTGTGACAGTGATATGATGGCCTAATCATTAAATATAGAAAGTGAAATCGATTGTGTAATTAACAGTGATTTAATTAATATTCATCAATATGACAATAATGAAACATCGCCAAACTCTACAGATTACCGCTCAGTAAGTATTGGTAGCCTTTCAGATAGATAAATAATATATAATATATAACATCTGCTTTTTGTAAGCAGAAAGATAATTGGTTACCGTTTTACCTTTCTGCTTCATCCGGGCCAATAGAGAAGGGTATACGCCATGCAGTGTGCTATGGGACAGCCCGGACAGCGTCGTCACGACCTACTCTTATTTCGAACTGTCACGAATTATTTTACGAGAACGCCGATGTGTACACAGGTCGTCGATTTTTCGACCCACTCGAACGACCAGACGCTGTTCCTTGCCAGACCCTCTGCCCTGCACCACTGACAAGAGGAAACCACACGCGGGAACCTCCATGTTAGCGAGACAACATCCTACTTCCCAAGTAAGACAGCCCTACGTGTTAATTATACCGTCTAATACAAATTACTTTATTCTGATCGAAGTTATGGGTGTTTGAAGTGTTGACACGAAATAGTCGATTTTCAAGTACCATTGTAATGCTAATAAACGAAGTCTCGATTGTCAGTCATTTTATTGAGAGGCGTCCATTTTAACGTAAAGCGTTTATATGACACGGGCGATCTAACCCATTGGATATTCCAGCCATCCGATGACCCAGAGAGTTGATGATGGGCTTTTTATGTGAATAAATGTCTAACATAACATTCGAAGTCAGAAAAAAGACAAGCAGTATGCGGGTACGCAGCTTTCAGTTCATAACATACACCGTAACCAGCATGCACCGTAACTATATATTCATCTCTTAAAAGTTTCAGAACGATGACATAGATAACCTTTGATGTGTAAAATGTTTGTGATGTAAACAATAATACACAATAAGTTAACTTTGTCTTGGTCCTGTAGACAACCTATCGTGGGAGGTCGTCGATAATTATCAGAACATACCTAATACATCAATGGTTATCGATTATCTTTTTCACAACAGTCAACCATGCATAAACTATTTCTACTAAAGTCATTTGGATGACGATCAATTGATTTTTATTGTGAGAAAACAGATCGATTTTATACTATCAACAGGAAGTTAACTAATCAAAATGTGGGAGTTTGAGATATAGATATTATCTTTCCATCGAGAACAAGGATCATTTGTTTTGTAATGAAATTAAACTAGAGTCGTAGTAGAATAATCAGTTTAGGTTTATGAAAAAGGCGATATTAAAAAGGCCATGCACCATCTGTTTAGTTATTAACTTATAACCTAGGATTTGGATGGTCAAGTAGTCTAGCTTTAGATTATAAGGTAGCCCCAATGTTATTGACTCAAGTGGCGTGGTTTCCACCCATCCTGTACAAGACAAAGAGTAGGGTCACCTGTCCAACCTCGTCGGTTTTCTCCGGTTTACCCCAACCCCTACGCACAAACAATTTATTGAAATAAAATTGTACCGTATGTTAGTACCACAATGACCTAGTTTGTTTTGAGTGGACGTTAAACTCCCCCCCCCCTCTCTCTCTCTCTCTCTCCTATAAGCCAAAATTCTTAATCCACAACGAGCCCCTTATCCAATACAGAAAATAATGCTTCACAATATGAAGGTTTGGTACCAGAATTCAAGTGTAATTCAAATATCATCGTTTGATATTTGAGCTCGATGGTAACCTTGGGGATTCTTACAATAACACTGCAGAAAAATCTGATTAATTCTTATTTTTTATATATTTTCAGACGTAACTGTATGGACAAACTGGAGTCCAGTCTATATGGTGTATGTATAGAATCATCAGTTATAACATTAACAACTATATCCGTCCTAGCCATTACAGGAGAATTACTTATAGGACTCAAAATCATACAAGGTATAATATTTTAAAAATAGCTTAGATTAATGTTACCAAGAGCCAATTTATTCATATAAAAAAATACCATATAGTTGTAACCAAAAATTTCAATGTGATGGTGCGTTTATTAGTTAGATTTTTTTGTATATCCCCCTTCTAACAAAATTAATCAGCCTTCGTTGGTGGGGCTGCTATATGTTCGATAACCAAATGAAATGTTGTTTATAACGTCGTACTGTTCTGTATCATTAGTATCAACTGGGCTAATAAAGACGGGAATGCGCAATGAATTCCAACTGTCAAGGATTTTTTTACGTGCATGCCAAAGTATACACCCATCCCCGGTTTTTCGTCAGATCCGAACTTACGACCAGACACCGTTCTTTGACAGGCCCTCCGGTTACACCAATTGACACGGTAAACCAAGATGGAAAATATCGCCGGGATCGAATGCCGGACATCCTAGTTAGTGAGCCAGCGCATTACTGGCGGAGCCACATTGGCTTCTGATGCCCAAAAGGATGCCAAATAAGTAATATAAGATATCAAATAAATACTCATATAGTTCATTGGTAACAGCGCAGATAACTCCCTAAGTCTGACCGTTACAATCTTATTTTTATAGACAGGAACATCTTTATTTTTATATTTTATACATTAGGTCCAACAACAAACTTTTGTCGTAATGATCGGCCAGTTTTATGGTTATACTGCGTATTGAGTCATTTGTCACCAAAACCAAAACAGACGGACCATGGAATTAACTACAATTAACTAAAACAGTGGTTCTCAACCTTTTCTGCCAATGGCACACCTTGGAACACATGAAAAAATAGCGGCACACCTGACTAAATATATATGAAAAATATTTGAATTTTGCAAAATAAAATTATGGCAAGTCATATACGGCATACAGCCGTAGACAGAAACTAGTCATAGAAACATAGAATGACTCAAACTAAATAAAGAAAAACACAGCTATGAACTTACCAGTAGACACCAGTGAATACTGAATTGGGATCACGTGGATTTTCGCATTTTCTTAGTGTGCCGTTCAAAATTTCGCGGCACACTTAGAAAGATCTTGCGACACACCTGTGTGCCGCGACACACTGGTTTAGAATCACTGCACTAGAAGTTCATATTCTAGCACCACACCAGGGGGTTAATGACCGAAGGTGATGAAGCGAGTACTGACCTTCGACAAAAGTTTGAAATTTGGGCTCCATTACGTGGTATCGCAGTAAATTTGATGAATGATTGAATGATTTGATTATCATAAACTGTAAAATGGCTAAATGTTTGGGTGATCGCTGGAATACAAAACTGTTATAATGACGTTTATTGTGCCTAAATTTCAGTAAACGAGTTTGTCAAGTGGCGATTTTGTGTAATATCTTTGGATTTCAGGATAATCCAAGCATTCAAAGTTTTTGATTGAATTTCCTGTATTGAACGTTTTGATTGGTAGGATGATCTTGAGTCTAATAATAAGGATGTGGTATTTTTATATCTCTTTTCTAAGGTATATGTATATATAATATGGAAAATAGTAATTATTTTCATAATTTGTATCTAGAACCGCCAAATTCCAATGGAAGGGTGGAGATCACTGGTCACAACGTAACTACGGTCCAACCAACCGATCAAACAGATGGTGGAAGCAAGAGTGATTCTATTCAAACGGAAGGAGATAATTTGTCCACAAATTTAGTCCTCGCCAGCAGTGTCTTTCATTATATCAGCCTTGTTATTGCAGCATTATTTCTTATTGAGGTACAATTATGCATTTGAACTTTTATTTTTATAAATATAATGAAATGGGGTTTAACGTCCTACTTTTCTGCACCAACTGGGCTAGTGAAGACTGGCGTACGCCATACAGTGTGTTATGATGAAAATTGTGACCAACGTGTACACGGAACGACTAGACGTTTTCCTTGCCAGGTCCCCCACCCTGCTTCCCTGACAAGGGGAAATCACGCTGGAAAATCTGGGTGAATTTTCTTACCTAACTCACTGAACCACCGCGGCTCAGTTTTATCTTCATATAAGCATTATGGCGTTATACCACATTAAATAAAACATCAGATATTTTTTATTTATAAGACATTCCAGAAAAAAATGGTTTTATTGGTCAAGTCTGCGTTACTTACTTTTGTTTTATAGTTCTGATTTATGTACGTGTATGGTATCGATTAGTGATGCCCAGAAACATTTATCTGGTTGCTTTCTGTCGAGCTGATAGCCCCATTATTCTTTTTTCTACAGATTACATTGAAAATCATATCTCGAGGGAAACCGTTTTGTATATCACCAATACAGGTAAGAACCCGTTTGAATAAATGATTAGTTTGCTATTTGTGTTTTACACATTATCAACCCGTACGGTGTTTACTACTGTTATATAATAGTTTAAGCTCCAGAACCCAGCATCGGTTATATTTCAACAAAGGCAATGACTTGATGGTCATGGTACAAAAATAAAATCCATATATATAAAATCCAATGAAGTCGCCAATTTTTGACCCAAATTAAGGGGATCTAGTCATTTAAATAGTGTCTGAACTACCCCAGAGCCGCGGCTCAATATCGCGATTACTTGTTACTCAAGACTATAACCGCCAGCGTACGTGTACTAGGCTTAATATGCTAAATGTTTTATTTTATTTTAGATATGTGATTATTTTATTATTTTGGTTGCTCTTGGTCTAGAGATAAGTTTTTCGATTGTTACTTTACCTCAGCCATATTGGGAGGCTCTGACGTATGTTATTATATTGAGGTATTGGAGAATACCATATGTGTGCAATAGTAAGTATATTTCGAAATAAGATTTTAAAGCTACGTTCAAAGAAAAGTATTTATCGGGTGGTTATTTCCAATAAAAGTATGGCAATTTTGGTATATATATGGAAAGTAGAAATATCCAATCTTACTAGAAAAATACTGGATTCCCTAAAAAAACACTCATGGAGTGCATACGGGACAAAAATGTAAGGGTTTCCCTAAACGACAGGCCGACGATTAGGAGTGTCTGCACGCGTGACGTCGAAGGTTGCACGCGGAGATTGAGCGCTTGATGTACATGTTGATAATCTTTATGAAGAATTAGACGTACAACATTTTCTGAGATAAAATTCACGGAAAAAGACGTGGGTGGTGGATAATCCGAGAATTTAATTAGGCTTCGATATTTGTAATAAATAGTCAGCGATTAAAGACAACATCGTATTGTGTACGCAATGAATTCTCCTCGTACTTCGCATCGGTACTGAGAGAGGTATGTCACGTGACACAAACATGACCTCTTTTGATCGATTTTTTTATAGCCAGGGTATTCCCGACAATTGCAATGTTTTGAGAAGGATTTGAAGCAAAATTATGATAAATTAATTAGTCTGAATATGTTTTAGTCCAAATATATCATCAAATCACCCAGTTTGTACCCGGGAATGTATCTTTAAAAAAGATAATTTCTGTAGCATCTCATTAATATGCTTTTATATCATCTGAGTAGTTACCTATATGTAGAATTCAACTGAAAAAACAGAAACACCAAAAACTCCAACCGACATGCCCATTAGCAAAAATTAATGGTTCTACTGATTATCATTGACGAAGGCTTTAGAGTTACCATGCCTTTGTCAGCGACTTCTGGGATTTCCTTAAATGTTGGCTTGCTTTGAATATAGTAAATTGCAAATAGGCTATTTTTGTTGTAGTACTATGGTTTGTAATATTCGTTTCCAAGGTAACGTACAAAGCTATGGTGCAATTACAGCATACTAACAATGGGAGATAACCATTTATGATCGTTTGGATAAAAATACTGAATGGGATTAACTATCTTGATGTTTCCCTACGTCCCTTTAATTCCTGATTCTTCCGGCTCAAAATCATAAACATCCACTTAAACCTGGCAGAAAATGTAAATTCAAACAGTCTTTGTCAATCCAAAAAAATAAATCGATACGGTCAACCTTATTTATTTGTCGATTGTGACACGTATTTGAATGGCGTATGAGAAGGAAATTATCGTGAATTAAGATGGGGCATTATCTCCCAATGCATATTGTTAACTTCCAAACATGCGATATTACTTGTAGGCCTACAATGCAGTATTGAGATATAGGGATTGGAACATTTGTTATTGTAATCGTATAATTAATGTATTTTATTTTAGTTCGAGCAGATGCTAGACGAGTAGAATTTGAACAAGAAATAGAATCATGGCGGATAGCTAAACAGAAATCCGACGAAAAATGTCGTAATATTCAATACAAGCTAGATCACTATAAGGTAACAATAAGATTTCATAATGTGCACTCGAGTTGGGGTGGCTAAGTAAGTAAGGCGCTTGCTCGCTAACCTGGAGGTTTTGATTCGGTTTCGGTGTTGGGTGAGAATTAAAGTTCCTCGAGGTTTTTCGGTGAGGTTCCCTTCAGTGGCGGAGAAGGGACGCAAACCGAGGTCTCGTGTATACTTTGACGTGCATGTGAAAGAACACTCGACCGTTTGAATTCAAAATAAGAGTAGACCGTATTGCCTCTGTCCGGCTAAAATTTTTCCCATGACATATTGCATAATGTCCGTCTTACAATGTCGGACTATCCTATATTTACCTCGATATTCTGTATTTCTTCAAAAATACACCACAACGGTCAAAGATCTCTGAAAGTTTTTCTCACCGATGTATTGACTTAAAACAATCCAGTTGCATTAACTAAAACTGATAATGGATTTAAGAGAGAAAAAACGAAAGCGGTTCTTACAGCAATAAATGTGTATTTCCATTGTGTGTTTTAGTTGGACCATATGGTAAATAGTAAAACTAATGGCCACATACCAGGTAAAAAAGCAGACAGAAAAGAATCAATTAAAAAACGAAGCAACTCAGGTAAGTAGTATAAGGGTTTTGAAAAATATAATATAAACATTGTTGCTAAAGGTCAAGATTCCTTAAAATACTTTTCTCGTATCGAAACTCGGACCTTTCATACTCCATGGACTTCTCGATAGCCCGAGTCTATTCCGGCGTCCGCGTTTTCTTCTTTGGCACTATGGCAGAGGTCATAGACTTTAGGTTTAAACAGAGTAGTGTTGACTACATTTTACTGTATTGAACTGTATATGTATGGAACTTCAAGTATGCATCGTCAAACAGGTTCTATTTTAACAAGTCGTTATCACCCCTTGAATTGTGTTACGAGGGGTTTTGTGCGGCTGATGGCAAATGGAAACCGAAACTAGTTTGGTCTGGTTTGGTTTTAGAAAAATAGAGACTTTAAATGAGCTAAATCGCTATTCTTTGGCGCCTAGAAATGGACACAAATTGGTCGCAACGCATATAATAATGTTATATGAATGTATATATAAAACTGATTTACATTCAATCGTTTCTGATTTTACCGTAATTTCTAATCAGTCATCACGGCCGGCGGATTATGGCTCCTGATTGTACGAAAAATCACACCTTTAGCTTGTGTGCCCTTTAGAGGTCACAATTTTATTGATTGTAAAAAACAAAGACCATTACGACTAAGTTAAAATTCAAAGTTCAAATGGCCGCTCCTCTTTACGAAAATAGTGTAAAAGCATATAATACCCAAGGCGACCTTCGGATGTAAACTGTGGTCGCGACTACAGTCTGAACCAGCACTAGAACGTACATGGCCCGGACCATTAGCTATTCAATATGGCGGCGCCCATGTCAATTGTTTCGCCTGCTACACTGTTGAAATTAATGTAAAATTACAGTGAAAAATATGTAATTTCTCTAACATAACGCTGTAAAAATACCACTGCAAGTTTTTATACTATACATTTACTGTATTAGCGCGGTAACATGGAATTACTGTAAAAAAAAATGGTAAATTAACAATAAAAGTGTAGTTTTACAAGTTAGAACTGTATTTTTATTACATGTAATTTGTATTGATACAACTATGTTGGTTAAAAGTACATGTATAGGTTGTACTTTAACTGTTTTATGGTTAATCCTGTTCAAACATATTTAGATACAGGATTTGTGTACAATTTACAAGAAACGTGTAATTCTACATCTCTTTTAACATTGATAGACCTTTTAAGGCTACATTACTTTACACTACTGCTTCGAATTGTCCATTAGAACATTATTCAGGCATGGTAAAATGGACAATAAACCCCCGATGAATTCGTAACAGGGACGTGTTTATCGATATTGTAGCCCTAATATTTAGAGATTTTCTTTTGAACTATTTAAGAAACAGTTTTACACCATTTTAAAAAGCCATTATTTGGCCACGTGCTGTCGTTCATTTTTTAGAAAATATTCTCATTATTCTCAATACATTTATGCCGACCGTCCTCTTTTTTTTTGCAAATTTTAAAATGATTCAGTTTCGAGTCGCTGGTAAATGAATTATGAAAGAAAATGTTATTCGGATATCGCCAATAATATATTTTGAACGTACGAAGATTTTTAAAAGAATAGGAAATTAGTCTTATTGCGATGCTTTTTACTGGTAATTTATATGTTCTGCTATTTACTCATTTTTAAAAGTATATTTTGACAATGGAGATGAAGAAATGCTTTTAAAACATTTTCTGGCTCCATTCGGGTTAACTGGTAACATGGATCATTTCTCAAAGTTTTTTTGTCGTGGGCCTATATATATTCTCTAACTTCTGGGTGTTACCATGAACCCTGAAATACGGTCCATGGTGAAAATAAGGCATTGGCATTTGGCAATTTCATGATATTTTTCAGACAAATCTACACACGTGTCAGTCTTTTCAGCCAGTACGGCTGGTCACGGCCATAGGTTGAACTAAATATCATTCGCATGTAGATAGTTCGACTAGAGTACGGAAATCCGTGCAACGGAAGGTCGCCCTGTCGGAGACCTTAAAGGCGACCTTCGGTTACAGTTTTTTTCACGACTAGTGGTCGAAACTAGAAACCGAACGCGGATGGTCCGGACCATCGTCTGTTCAAAGAGAGAGAGAGAGAGAAATAGGGTTTAACGTCCACTCAACACAAACTAGGTCATTTCGGGACTAACATATGGTTTAATTTTATTTCAATAATTCGCTTGCGCGTAGGAGTCTTTAGCAGTGGGAGGAAACCGGAGAACCCGGAGAAAACCCACGAGGTTGGACAGGCGACCCTACTCCTTGCCACGTACAACCGGGGATTCGAAACCACGCCAGTTGACTCAATGACAGACTTTATGATACAGCGCGCGCACGCTAACCATTCAGCCATCCAACCCCCCCTGTTCAAAGATGGTTGCCCCCAGGGACATGGTGATGTCACTTGAGTCTGCTTTAGACCTCGGCCATAACCCCAAAAATACCTTAAGCTCAAGGAAGGCCTATACATTCCTCTGTGGAGGATAATGAATCGCTGTGTTATATAGTTTGATAAACAAATAATACTTTCATGAAGGTAAATTTGCGCGAATCAAATTAATTTTAGAGACGACAAAATTCCTAATTTGACTTTACCTTTTGCATAGCGCAAGTATTGAAATTATGCGTAATTTTTAGACTTACATAGATTCAGATATAAAAAAGGAGACAACAAATATCTGATCATAGAGGTAGCAACTATTTTAAATTCATTCGAGCTTTCCTAAAATCATATACTTAACAAAAATAGATTCTTTTTAAATATTCTACACTTTGGTTTCATCGACACCGCCATCTTGGAGCTACTCCGACCATGCCACAATAGCATGGTTCACTATTTTCGGACTATGGTCCGGACTAAATGAAATTCGGATTCAGTTAGTTTGACCATGGTCAGGAAATTACGATAATCGAAGGTCGCCCTAGAGGTCACAATTTATTTCCGATTGGCGCTTATCGGACCGTCGTAAATTTCTGGATTATGGACCCTGATTGTACGAAAAATCACATTTTTAGCTTGTGGATCTCTAGAGGTAGCAATTTTTTATCTTATTTTCAAAATCGTTCAAATAATATCAACGTTATACCATAATTATGGTTGAGTCCGAATTTCCTGAAAATCGGACCGAAACTTCCTGTCAAATGTCCACTCCCCTTTATGCAAATAGTGTAACAATTTTTATCCGATTTCGATGAAACTTAAAACGAGTGTTTAAGTATCTAGTTCTTGGGTGAGTTCAAGTTTGGTGCGCATCGGACCTTCCGTACTGGAGTTATGCCAATTGCCTTTTACGCAAAATGTGAAATATGAATGAAGATTGTGGATCTCCTAGAGGCGACAATTTTTGTCCGATTCAGGAGATGAAAATTAAACTATGCGTTCAGGACCAAAAGTTCTTGGACGAGTTTCACTTTGGTACCTACTTAGAGATTTAGCCCCTGCTATAGAATGTTAGAAACACTCTATCCCGTTGTGTTTTAATTATATGTCATAGATACAACGGAAAGGAGATGGAATGGAATATTCGACTGCTCAGTAAAGTTAACTAATCGCAACCCTCGCAACTGGGGATGGGGGTGGGGGTGGGAGGGGGGTGGGCGCTCTTAACACAGGGATCAGTATAGTGAATAGCAGGGATTTGTCTTCTGAAAGCCTACGTTCTACTTCTAGAAGTCTCACTTCTATATTAAAATCAGGTCTCTTCCAGTTACGTCACTGTATTTAACTGAATAGTTACCTGAGTGCTATAGCTGGAAGAGTACTTGCGGCCAAATTATTTGGAGGGCTAACGCCCCCACTCCGCCGGGCCTTGCGTCTGGGTATTCCAGTCTAGACCGGTAGTATTCTCCTACATGGGATATGGTTAGCCTAGTTCACTCAGCTGTTTCATACAAATGGCGCTTTAAAGCATTCTGGCACGCTATTCGTGTGTCATTTTAAGATTTTAATTTTGTGTTAAATATTGGATATCAGAAGCCCAACTTGTCACGGTAACTACATCAATATTGATTTAAAGTGACCAATAAGCCGTTTTTGCAATGTCAAAGACTGTGGATGATATTGAGTTAAAGACTTGGCTGAGTTGGCTCCTTTAATTTATAGAACCAGGTGAACTGTCATTATAATATGTCAAGAACAAATTAGCAGGAAGGGTATCGGTTGTTCTCGCAAGTATAACGGATTCCTTCAAATCAGTTTTTGTTCATTTATATTTTCCCCAAAAGGGCCAGAAATTGGGTTTTATTTGACACGAATATGGACATAACATTTATTTCAAAAACTCATGATTATACAACGTGACCAGTTCATATACGTGAACGTCAAACGCTCGGTAAAATTCGCTTTTCTATGGATTATACTCAATGTTCATTTTACATTTTTCAGATCCAACAATAAATGGAGTAGGAGTATCGAACGACAAAACGCCAAATGGCATTACAAAATCTTCACAAAACAATGGTCACAGTATAATGATAGAGGATGGTGAAGATTGTGTGGATAGTAAAGTAAACAATTCTAAAAGTGCTGACAATAAAGACAATGTTAAACCTGTGAAATCTGTGAACTTTGACGTGAGCTTTGATACCGATGCTACTCCGTCCCCGTCGATCTCCCCTGCGCGTCATCTTAACGTGTCACAGAAAGGTGGTTACACGCGTACAGACAGTGAAAGCTCTATATCGTACCAGGCAACAGAGGAAGAAGTTATTGTTCAGATAGAAACTCTAAAGTCTCCTCCAATTTCTCCAACAGACGATACTTCAAGTCTTTTACCGGGTAACTATGACCTTTTTCGTGTCAATTGTCATATTTGGCTTTCTTTTAAAGAGAATGGGTGGCGTTGGAATTTGTAATCCAAATTACAACATGCTCTTCCGAGTAGCTAATTTTTTTTAAGTCGGTTGGGAATGGCCTACTACGAGAATAAAGATTGAAACATATACATTTATAAATGCTCTGGTATGGGAACTAATTTTTAAACTATTTTAGTTTTCAACCATTTATTCAAAGGTTTAATTCAAGTTTTAAAACAACTGTATTGTTATTGTAGGTGACCAGTATAAAGAGGAGTATGTGTTTGATAATGTAATGTTTGAAGATGAAGATGATTTAGTTCTGAGAAAAGATTTACAAGTTATGGCTGATATTGATGGAACGAAAACATATAGAAGTGCCGTAAGTTTTGACATATTTTTACACATTAGCCGTTCAGATTAGGCATCCTGCGATTCAGCAACCAATCCCGGGAACAGACTAAACAAAGTTGGTATCTTAATACGTGAGGCCATAAAGCCAAATTTTACATTAGGATGTAATTGTGATTCATGAAAGAAAACGTCAAATAGTTGTAAATGGCATACCAGGTTACGGTTAACACTCACCTTATTCACATAGGACAAACTGGAAGGGAGCTTCGTTTCTTATGGCATCTGAGGAGACCGGTAACGGCATATTCTAGCCCCCTTTGGACCGCCGGTTACCTAAACCTTGCTTTCACCCCGGCGACAGGGAAATTGTATATGGATAGCCTGGAATATTTTAACTTAATACGAAATGACCCAGTGATTATCGATGGTTTGTCTATGAAGCATGATCCAGAATTGTTATCTCATCTTGATAGGCTGGGTGTCATACATTTTTGTTTCTTTTGCCATTTGTTGTAGCAAGAAATGAATGAAATGAAATGAAATAGGGTTTAACGTCTTATTTTTATACACCAACCTGGCTAATGAAGACAAGAATTATATGCAATGTAGTGTGATATGCGTATGGTCTACACTAATTTTGATTTCCCACTGTCAAGGGATCTTCAACGTACCCTTCGTCCTGCACCACAAGCAAAGGTGAACAGAGTGGAAAATCCTGATGAGTCCATCATACTCATCTATCCACTCTGGTTTAATTTAACAACAGGAGATCGGATTCGAACAGTCAGAATAAAACGTGTCTCATTGTTTTATGTTGCAGGATGGTATACCAATGACGTCATTGTAACTTATAAAAGAATGCGAGAGAATATGGATGCTATATTTAATTATATAATTATATCAAAAAGAAAATAGTTTGTTACCTGAGCATCATAGATATCGTTTGTTAAGTCGACGAAAAGCAAAACTTACAGCTAAGAATATCCAGAAGTTATTTTCATTAAGAAATGCAAACTTTGATTTTATACTCAAGTTAAGCAAAAAACTTGGGATCAGACAATTGTTTAAATTTTTAGTCCAGTTACTTGGAGATTTCAGTTGTGGAATTGACTTTAATCAAATCCGTAGCTATCAATTGGATATTTAATGAAAGTAGCTAAAATTGATGTATACGCGGAAGCCAAAATGTGAAGGATAAAGGTGGTTAAAATAGTTTAGAATGAACCTGTGTATATCTGCCAAAGCCCCGACTAAGATACATAGCATAGCCATCACAACGTCATAAAAACACCAGAGAAATGGTTTAATATTTATTGAAGTTAAGACAGTGATTTAAGTTATAAAAAGGTCTTCAATCATATAGTTATTTACAATATATAATAGACTGTGATTTCAACATAAAATGTAAATTAATCGTTTATATACACAATAACTCGCTCAATATAATATATATATATATATTTATTACAAATTTGTAAAATATGCGATGAATTGAATAAAAACTTGTCACTTTTGATTCCTTTTTTATTTCTTCTAAGTAACTCTTTAAAACCCGAAATGAATATGGGTAAATTTGAAGTGCACAATAGTTTGGATGAAAAATTAAAGTGCCGATTTAAATGAATTTAATGTATTTGTTTGTTTTGCAATATGGCCATATTTTTGTTCCACAGTTAACTTAAAATGAAAGTAAAATCAGTAAAAAAGCCGATTTCCGTTGGCTCTGAAAATTTGTTCCATCACTTACTGAAATTGATTAACCCATTTCGACACTATATCTTTGCCCAAATTAAAGGGGTCATGTTCCTGTAAATTTCAATAAAAAGGTAAAAAGGCATTAAGAATAGAACGTATAGTTAATGTCTAGAATATGGGTTCCTGCTAGCCCCCACCATGCACCTTACCATACAAGCGTGAAAGAATGAAAAAATTGGGTTAATGTCCTACTTGGTTGCACCAACCAGGTTAATGAAAGGGGATTCCAACTGCCAAGGATACTTTTACGTGCAAGTCACCCGATTTTTGTAACCACCCAAACGACTAGACGACTTTCCTCGCCTGGCCCTCTGACCTGCAGCACTGAAAAAGCGGAAACCACGCTTAAAAGTCCAGAGGAACTTTCTCGACCAGATCCGGGATCTCCTTGTTATATAGTGGGCCTTTGCCTTACTGAGCCACCACGGCTTCCTAAAGATTGCTATACGATATTTTATATACAGTACCCTAATCCAAAACAATAACACTTACTACTCATTTACATGTCAACATTCAGAAACAGGACACGGGCCGATAACATGCACAATACCATTTTTTCCAAAACAAACTGGTGTTGCATAAGATGGAAATCCCCGGCAGTGGTTTCCAGAATTAGAAATAGGTCCTTGGTCAACAATACTGTAGTTGGAGGGCCATAGTGTTATATTCCATGGATCACAATCGAGAGTGATGGTAAAGATAATAACAATGGACATGGTGGCCGCACTGCCTTTGTAAATTGTACCATATGAAGGGTGTACAACATAACACGTGGTCGCTGAAAAGAAAAACATATGTGCAATTAAAGCAATACCACACTGAACTTTGATTTTTTTTCAAAACATGATGATAGTAAATACATTCAGAATCCTTTATAACTTAGACAGTTTTCGAAAATATTGTCCATACATGACCGTAAAAAAGGCATAGTAAATACATATCAATCCTTTATAACTTGGACATTTTTCGAAAATATTGTCCATACATAACCGTAAAAAAGGCATAGGTCCGAAAGGAAATGAGAACCCTGAGAATGGCCACGGTTTCAGATAGACTACACTACCCGACTTCTAATCTAAAGCGCACGCGTTAGACCAGTCGGCTACCCAACGAGCAGTAATACTGTAATACACTATAATAGTATATAGAACTGCTAACTGGGTTATTTCTGATTAAATTTAAATAAAACGTCGATAAAAGGTGTTACTTACGTGCACACAAGATAGTTGGCTGCGACCAGGTTTGATTAAGTTGACAAACAGATTGATTAGAGCCAGAAATATATACCCAGTCAACTTTACACACATAGTTGACTACAGAGAAGGCGGTTGTAGTATCATAGACCATCTCTGTACCAGTATAATCTGCCAGCTCATCAGGATCACCACAATCAATTGTACCTGTTTATAAACAGAAATAATATATATGGTACATGTAATCATAATACTCCTCGGGCGAATGCTTCAGCAATATGGTTAATTATCCCTGAATTTTACCTGTTTTATTCTTTAGATCCCGGCTGCAAATTGAAATCCTTAAATTCCTAAATCCACATGTATCAGCACTGTACTTTATAATATAAAGTATTGTGGTTTGAAAACTCAAAAGATAACAATGCTGACCGAATTAATAATCAAAATATCGCTGATGTTGCTCAAGTTCTCGTCTTTCGAGTCAAAACTTGTCTGCCCTAAATGATTTGACTTCGTTGGGGGCGCAGATCGTAACACAGATAAGCTTATAAAGAAACTCTGAATAAATGATGATGATGCTTACTTGTACAAACTAGAGTTGGCACAGTCCAAGTTCCATTAGATTGGCAAACAGAAGTGTTGGAGCCGGAAGTATAAATCCAATCTGATTGACAGACATGGGTCGCCACAGAATCTTGGTAAGTTATATCATAGATGACATCTATACCAACAATTGCACTAGTCGGTATACCACAATCAATTGGTACTGAAAACCAATGTCCAAAAATATCAATAACAATAATAAGTTGAAATATGCTGATATTTGGACAGTTCTAAAATATAGAACTGGTCGCCCTATATAAACATTATTGTTAATTGTTGGAAATTAGTAACAAGAGCAAATTTTTGCCTTACAAGTACGCAGTAATGCAGGAGAGTTCAGGACAACACAATGTTATCGGAAGTGACAAATCGCCGTGTAGCCTAGAGGGATAAATAATTGTCTCACACACTGAACAATTAGCTACCATACCCCCCCCCCCCTCATCACACACGCACACATTGAGTATGCATCCTGGATTTTGACAGATATGTGAGACATGGTAAGGACCGGCTGTCACTGGTGCTACCATTTTCTACGACTTTCTTCCTGGTGGCTACAAGGACAGTGTTGCAGCGGAATAGTCATTAAAATAGGGAGGATCGGTTCTAGTTATGTTACGTCTACTTCCAGGTCTACTTCAGCTCCTGTTAGCTGAACTCCATCTCCATGAACTTTCAATCACTGTTATTCTATAGGAAATATTTTTGATTCAGAAACACGAAACTTTGCACATAGTTTCTTATTGATGTATTTGATACATTAAAACAACGAAGGGCTATATTTTAGTAAAAATAAGGCGAACAATTTTGAGTATGCTTTGTGATCTCGGGGCCTGGTCTTCGTTTGCTTTAACCATGGACGTGGGCATTGACAGTCTTTTTGTCATAATATTATATCTACTATAGAAGGATCCCATTGAGCTGCAATGATTTGGATGAGAGATGAGGTGCAGTACTTATTTTTGGGCAACAGTACAAACACCTCCATATCCACAACAAACCGCGGACACCAGTGTGGAATATACTCATCAAACACGCCATTTCACTGCCAAACAGTACAAGTTAGATTTAATATATCATTTTTTTTTTACATCGATCTAAGAGTTTCTGTGCGAACTTTCCGTTTAAAGTTATGTAATACCTTGACAAACAACATTACTTGAGTTCCATTGTCCATTACTAAAACATCGAATAGTTGGATTTCCACTTACGTAACCATATAGACAAGTATAGGTAAATTCCGCGGGAAAATACCGTGTTTCATTAGTGATCAGAGTTGCCCAATCTTTGGTTGGCGGAACTTCACACTTTACATCATAATCTAAATATAAAAAAGCTATAGCATGGACAACAAGACGGAAAAAGGAGCATGACAATATTACTAAAATAACTATACGTCCTCTATTTAAAAAAAGTCCTTCTGTTGGAGTTGTCATTTGCCTCATTCAATGACATGCACTAGGATAATACAATATTTGGGAAATGTTCCCTTTTTCTTGCTTAGTGTTCGGCGATTGTTTCCGTGGGGCATGTATATTATTTGGTGTTTAAGTTTCACTCGACACAAACCAGGTCATTTCGGGACTAACATATGGTTTAATTCTTATTTAAATAATTCACTGGCCGGAGAAAAATCAAGGCATTAGTCAGGCGACCTTATTCACTCTTTGTCAAGCACAAGTGGGGAATTGCCCCCCCCCCTCCCACGGTAATGAACGTGTATCTGTTATATCAACGCCAAGAGATTATCAGGCTAATGTTTTGTAATCATTTGTTAATTGCAATACATCTTAGTACATATTTGTTTATCAATAATTCCTTAATTACAATATTAATCATATATTTTAGCACTCATTTGTTGATAATTTCAATAACGTTTTTTTTGCCGAACTCATTTCTTCTTATTCGTTAATTAAATGGGGGGTTGGATGGCTGAATTGTTAGCGTGCGCGCGCTGTATCATAAAGTCTGTCATTGAGTCGACTGGCGTGGTTTCGAATCCCCGGTTGTACGTGACAAGGAGTAGGGTAGCCTGTCCAACCTCGTGGGTTTTCTCCGGGTCCTCCGGTTTCCTCCCACTGCTAAAGACCCCTATGCGCAAGCGAATAATTGAAATAAAATCAAACCATATGTTAGTCCCGAAATGACCTAGTTTGTGTCGAGTGGACGTTAAACCCCATTTCTCTCTCTCTCTCGTTAATTAAATAAAGCTTTAGTTTTTGAAAGCAAATTAATTATTTATACAAAAATCAATTTGCACTAAATAAAGGTTTTACATGGGCGGTTGTAATCGCTTGTAATTAATCTGTATAAACCTATATCTTCCTTTTACTAAATAATATTTTTTTATACATAAGCGTCGTTTTGGAGTTCATGAACAGGGCTTGTATTTCAGAAGATCCGTTTGGCATAGTCTATAGTCATTTGATTCAACTGAATGGTCTGATTTGTGTAGTCCACCTTCTACTAAAGAATCCAATAATATACATAGTTTCAATCTAAAACCAGCCTACAGATCTGCATGTCGAAGATTAAACCCATCATAAGAAAATTATGTAGTAGATTTCAAAATATCCTGAATTTCAACTACATGACTACGTTCTTTTAAAGGAGCTAAATCGCTAATATGTTGGACCTAGAAATTGGCACAAATGAAATGAAATGAAATGAAATGGAGTTTAACGTCCTACTTTTCTGCTCCTAACCTGGGCTAGTGAAGACGGGCATACGCCATACAGTGTGCTATGAGGGAAATTTTGCCCGGACAGCGGCACTACGGCCTACTCTTATATCGAATTCCAACTGCCAAGGGATCTTTTACGTGCACGCCAATGTGTACACGGGACCTCGGTTTTTCGTCCCATCCGAACGACTAGACAGCTTGGCACAAATGAGTCGCAACACATATAATAATGTAATATGAATTTATATAAACTGTTTTACATTCAATCGTGTCCGTTTTACTGTGAATTGTCATCAGTTATGTTCGGCGAAATACGTCAGAAGTCTCAACCGCAAGTCAGTTTCTAGCGTCTGGTTATTCCAGTCAACACCGATATTATTTATTGCGCATGCTCTCCAAATAAGAACATGATATCACCGTTTGACATGAGTTGTGGAATATGTCTAGCCTCATTCTTTGAGCACATTGTTACAAATGGCGCTGAAAACGCATTATGGTACACGATTCGTGTACCAATGGTAAAATGTTTATTTTGTCTTAAATATTGGATATCAGAAACCCATCTTTCCGGGTAAGATCACAACACCAATGCTGATTTAAATTGCAAAAATAAAATCGTGTTTCCAATGTCGAAGATTTTGGATGATATTGAGTTACGGACTTGGCTACTTCAACATTAAACTAAGTTATTAAAGAACATTAGCAAACCTCAAAGCGGACTGTGGGTGAAATTTGTCAAAGATGCATTATGTAACATAAAGAGCTGACAGTTCTCGCTATAATAGTTTTAAAAAATAGATCATGAAAATGGAATATGTTGAAAATTTCAGTCAAATTACTTCATTCTGAGCGGAGTTATATCCAATTGAAAAACAATATAGTCTCGATTATCAACGCCGCCGCTGTTGCGATAACAAACAAAGTCTCGATTATCAATTTCTTAATTAAATTATTAACTGCCAATTGTGTTTTAATCAGTTGAAAATCAAAAACATCAGATAGTCTAAAGAGTTGATTATGGGCTTGGCATGTGAATAAATGTCTAATTAATGACTTATATAACATTTGATATCAAACAAAAGATCTGCATTAGGCAGATTTAGCTCTTACATAATGCATGCATGTTTTAGGTATGCAAATCAAACAGAAAAATGTGAAACAATAGATTATTTGCCTTGCTCTAAGGTATCAGCTGAACATATTGAGTGAGACCTGTAATTTGTGATTGAGTGACCTGATAAACGCGACTACCTGAAGCATTTTTGCTTACTAAAACAACAACCGGCAATTTTATAATATGTGACTGACTTGGCAAAATTTCAAGTAAACAAGGGTCATAACTCTAGAAGTAGTTACCATGAATTCAATAGTATTCTCTGTTTCACAAAATGTAAAAATGCATAGAAATTTCAAGCAGATTACATATAATACCCTTTGTCGCTAGAAAAATAGTTCAAAATCAATAGGATTGTTTGTTTTATTAATTTCAACAATGAAAATACATTTCAAACAGATGAGATAATAATTTTTGATACTAAGCAGCAAAAGAAACGACAGGTTGGTATGTTACCCTGAATAGACGCATTGCGACACAGGCAACGGAGAACTGTTCTGTTCAAAGTAAAAGTCAGTATTGCGTATCAACTGCAGATGGCAGGACCAGAATATGGCGTCGACATGGCTAGCGTTATTCTGACCAATGTGTCATGGAACGAGACTCACAAGGAGGTCCAAGCATAATGGTTTGGGGTGGAATCGGCCTGAACCAGAGAGTGGGTCCTGTGTTGTTCCAAAAACTTGATCCAGGGAGAGTAGGCGGCATCACAGCAGTGCGCTACGTCGATCAAGCTCTCAGATCCCACGTCATACCACATTTCGCGCGTCATCGAAACAACGTTTTCCAGCATGACAACGCCCGTGTCCACACCACCAGAGTTACTCGGGACTTTCTACAGCAGAACGGTGTCAACGTTATGCATTGGCCAGCCCTTAGTCCGGATTTAACCCAGATTGAACATCTTTGGGATGAAATTCAGAGGAGACTTGATAACGTCGTATCGAGACCAAACACAGCCGATGGATTGCGCCAGGCTTTTCTGAGAGTGTGGTTCCAGATGCCAATGGCGTTTATCAATCGTCTGGTCCACTCCATGTACAGACGCTGCGCTGCTGTTATTGACACTCGCGGTGGACACACCAGATACTGATGTATAGACCGTGTACAGACTCTAGTTTCTCGTAATGTCTTGGTATTGTGATGAATTAATCACTAATGTGTCAACATACTGTTCACAAAAAATTGCTTTGATCCATTAAGTAAGTCGTTTGCTAGAATGATTTGATTAAAGTGCCTCTCTGATTTTGAAATCGTACTGACGTGGGTGGTTTTTTTTTTGTTTTTTTTTTAGCTGTTTAGTATATATATAGGGTTCACAAGATTTTACGAAGCGAAAAGGGGATATGATTTTTGAAACTGTTGAAATTGTTTCGCTATTTTGAACTATCAATTTTAATCAGATCGGATGAAAACGTTTGTCGCGGCCATAGCTATTAAAATTATCAACTGAAAGTGTTCAAAATCAAAAGAATTCATAATTTGAACAATGTAAAGTTACAGGAGATTGAATCATTTAATGTAGTATGTAGCGAGTTCACAAGAAGTTATGGACGACGATAGACGGAAGGGTTAGACGACAATATATAAATTTTTTTGCCAACACATTATACTGATCGATCATTTCTAACTTAATTTATGGTCATTTCAAATTTACATTTAATTTAGGCAATTATAATTATAATATGTGCGAAATTGCATTCGTTTGAAATACATGTGGACGAAGCGAATTGGTGCGCCTTTAATTAATGTAGGCGGTTAAAATGGAAGCTACTTACCAACAGGCAGACAAGTATAAGAATCACTGTATGGTATACAAACTGCCATCTCTGGACAATCATGACTCAGGCATTTACCAGCCAACTCCTGATTTAACAAAAACGCAAAAAATATAATACAGATTTGGAACTAAAAACAATACTTTTGGATTGAAATTTAAAATGCGTCATTGAACTAGATAAAATGAAAGTGCTTTAACTATGGGGCTAAGTGGAATATATTATTAATATGTAGATAATTATAATATATATTATGATATATTTACCCCTGGCATTTCTTCTAACAAACCATATCTATACTGTTCATCAGGCTCTAGTGGGTAGACATGACCATCTATAGGCTCAATATTCAATTCGCATTGTTTTCGTACACTGTGAAAATTAAAGGAGTGACAGAGCTTTCTGTAATAACATAAATTAATACATTGCTGTACAATGTTAGCACGTATAGTAGCGAATGTTAAATTCACTACCTTCTGTCCGATTTGAACGTTTGGGTTAACAGAATTAGGTCCGAGTCTTGTACATTGCTGACAATCTATTCTTCTCAAAAACCAAAGACAAAACGTAATAGCAGTAATCAGAAGCTGATGTTTTGCTAACATGATCATGTTAGGGCAAATCCATTAAGAAATCCTAAAAAACAATCCCTGGACTAAGACCGTCTTAAACCATTTATTTGGCGTACCAGTACGAAGATTGTCCGGCCTTCAAACTTTAAGAATTCCTTTTAGCCTATTAAGACGTGCCACTAATGACTTTATATGGTACAGGTATATTGATTTTTTATATGTGAAGTATATTGTGATTATTGCAGAACAACTCCTAATATCTATCATAAAATCCCAGAGTGCATTGTTTTTAAAAGAATAGTAAACTCTCAACATAAATATTTTGTTAACATTTATTTTAATCAAACTTCTTGAAATCCCAAACCGCTGAGTTTGTGGCAATAATCCCCCTCAGACCACATTTATATACATTTTATTTAGATCGATACATGATTATGATAATAAACACCTATCTCTAAAATGGGTGCTCATCCGTTATCATCTTTTCCATTAATAAAATAGGTATAGAAACATTAGGAATCGATATTTTTATATCGTAACAATGGATATGATAAAAGATAAAGAAATAAGCGTGACAGAAAGATATAAAGACATAATGGAATAATCATTAGTATGGAGAGATATCTTATCGAGTCTTGGTCATTAATGCCCTGGAAAGTGGGACTTCCCGTTCCCAATTGAGATGAACACACATCTTTATAGTAATAGTTATGTATTCATGTGAAAGAAAGTGATTGGAAAATATATACTGAGCGCCATGGAAAACGCATCACTTTTTTTCCCCAAATATTTTTTACTAGGTGGTTTTGTATGTATACTATTATGCAATACTATGAACTATTGTTTCACACAATGCTCCCAAACGCAAAAAATATCGGCCCGTGTGCACAAAAAAAATTGCACGAGATGCACATGAAAAACCCAATATTCACGCGCAGCATTGCGTTAGCCCTTTAAAAGCATGTTTTCAACTTAATGTGCAGTACATGAACTGTGGAACGTCAATCTGTCGTAATTTGTTGTTGGACGTGTGAAGGAATCGAGCTAGAGATGCCGAGACTTACTGAAAATCAACGGAATGAAGCCATGGGATTGTCCAGGGCTGGCATGTCTACACGTGCTATTGCCAGACACTTCAACTGTCATCAGTCCACTATTGTAACGTTGGTGGAACGTGTTCGAGTTACTGGATCAACACGTTACTGGTCCACAACGCGTTACAGCCCAGGCTCAAGACCGCTACATCCGGGTCACTCATCTGCGTGACAGATTCCGCCCAGCGACTCGAACAGGTGCAGCAGTCGTCGGAAGACAAGGACCAGTAAATGCCAACACCGTAAGACGTCGTCTAAGAGAAGTAGGACTCCGTGCACGACGGCCTTATGTTGGAGCTATCCTCAGGGATCATCACCGTCAGCGGCATTTGATATGGGCTCAAGGACACCAGACATGGAGAAGAGTAGACTGGTAAAGTGTGCTCTTCAGTGATGAGAGTCGCTTTCATCTTTATCACGCTGATGGCCGTCAACGTGTGTGGAGACGTCTTTGGGAACGTCTTGCAGACTGCTGCGTCTTCGAAACGAATCGATGGAGTGGGGGAAGTGTAATGGTGTGGGGAGGCTTCACATTTTATCACCGGACCGCCCTACACATTTGCAGGTGTCGCGTTAATGCTGTAGGATACCGTGATGATGTCTTGCAACCATTTGTTCTTCCGATGTTTCGAGCGCACCCACAACATCAGCACTTCCAACAGGATAATGCACGCCCGCATACCGCCCGTTTTAGTATGGACTACCTGGCTGCTAACAACATCAATGTCTTGGACTGGCCAGCCATGTCTCCGGACATGGCACCGATAGAACATGACTGGGATGAGATTGGACGCCGTCGGTATCGGAGACCACAGATGCACACCATTGCTGCTTTAGAAGCTGCTCTTGTCCAAGAATGGAACAATTTGCCCCAGGCCTTCTTTCAAACATTGGTAAATTCCATGCGACGTTGCTGCACAGCGTGCGTAAGAGCCCGTGGAGGACACACGCGCTATTGACATCTGTGTCGTACTTTTGGTTTTGACCCCTCTGACTTTGTACCGTTGATTACAGATTAAACATTCATAAGTGTACAAATGTGTTGTTATTGATGTGTTCCCATTTGAATATTGTTCACAATAAGAAGCAAAATAAATAAGATATGTTTACAGGATCATTTTGTTATACGAAAAACTAAGTGATGCGTTTTCCATGGCGCTCAGAATTTGAATATAATTTCCTTTTGAACGCAAATGTTCCATTATTATGAGAAAACAAATAATAAATCAGCATTTTTTTTATTATCTCTTTTGTACCAGTCTTATTTATATTTATCTATTCTGCTTCGTACATGATGTGATGAGTCCAGTTGCAGTACTTGCAAAATTATGTATTTTTGTACCGTGTAGAAAGAGATTAAGGCGATAAGTCGACATCACGACGTTACGACATTTGGTTGTGTTAATACTGTCGTGTTATCGGGTTATGAAAAGGGCGAGATTTCACATAGCCGCATGAGCCTCATAGTACGTTTACTATTCCCTATGGCTATTCGAAGTAAGAATTACTGTGTTCTCTCGTTAATCATATGGGATAACTATGTAATTATAGAATTATATCACATGTAATATATTTTGCAATATATATGTTACTACCTCATTTAAAATTGTATATGTATATAGATCACTTCTATTCTGGATATTTTTAAAAATACTTCATATCAGTTAACCGTGTTCCTGTAATGACTCTGACCGAAAGCTTGCGAGTTACTGTCGAGCACCAGAAAATTGCACGTCCTTAATACCATCTATCAGCTTAAAATTAATAGGAGAATATATTCGAGGATAACTCTATAGTTTGTTTTATTTCTATAAAGTAAGAGCAAGAGGACGCCGCAACATCTAACCAGAAACACAGAGACAATCTGCGCGGACAAGACAGAAACAAGGACATCAGAACATTGTAAGGCAATCAAATCAAGATGGATCTTGGGTCCGGTCATATGACAGATGGCACAAAGTAAAATTTATATATTCTCAATATCACATTATCTCATTGTCATTTTTATCGATTCCATGACTATTCATTTGCAAGAATATTAAGGTTGTCCATACCTTTACCGGCGGTTATTGCTACTAGAATTTCAACAATATACGGTATAGGCGGCTTGCATGTATACACGCTTGAAACTGAAGCCCTTCTTTAACGAACTGGTTTGCCGCAGATGAGATTGAGGGTTTTTTTTCAAATTTGCAGGAAATGTAATAAGGAAGAGACCATTCGAAATTCAGAATAATTCGATATCAAATGACAAAGTTATCTTCGAATATACTTTCAAATCTATGAAATCGTGTGAACGCCACGAAACAGGATATCTAGATGGAATATGTTGATATGTCGTGGGATTGGTCATTTGGACAAAGGGAGAACCCTGTCGAATCGCAAAACTTTTATGATCGTGTTTTATTCAAATAGGAAATTAATTGGACCCCAATCAACCAGGAAAACTATGATAAACCTCTTACAAGCACGTTGTATTTCAGTTTCCTAAAACCTTTTGACAAAGAGATGGCGGAGTGGACGGTCCAAATATAGGAATTGCTCGTAAATATAAATACAATAACTAGGGTTACACTAGTATTCATTTATCATGCATTTCAGTCTGTATCTAAAATGTATTCCATATTATATCTGTAATATTATTGAGATGTACAATAAACATACATAAATCCATATAAACGCTACTGTATTCAATGGTTGTTTTGGTGTGGTAAATTATAAAAATATTGTTAAACTAAACTGGTCATAGTTCAATATGCAATCTGATTAAAGGATATTATCATATATTACAGCCCTGTGTTTAACGATGCAATTTGCCATGGAGACAAAAGCTTACGTTGTGGGCTGTCAATATTCCAATAATACCACTCTGTTAATACGTGTAAGGCCTAGCTCCGAACACCAATACTTGTTGTTGTTGTTGTTTATTACAAATTTAACGTCCAATACATTATACATGATATTATAGACAGGTTGATTTAATTAAGACATTTACATATTATACTCTTCAAAACAAGTAGGGGATATTCAGAGGAGGAATCACCTTGACTGGCAGAACGGACTTGCATATTGTTCAAGGAAGGGTCACTGGTGTGTACTACCGTGACCACATCCTGGCAACGATAGTTCTGCCCTTTGCTCAACGTGCCGGTCGACGTTTCATCTTTCAAGATGATAATGCCCGTGTCCACCGCGCTTGTGTCGTGAATGACTACATCCAGCGTCACGATATTGTCCACATGCCTTGGCCAGCCATGAGACCTGACCTTGTCTGGGACATGATCGGGACACGTCGACGTCAACGTCAACCGACAACACTGCAAGAATTGGCCGTGGCGCTGCAAGAGGAGTGGGTCAGATTGCCCCAAATCGTGATTGGACGGTTGATTGGGAGCATGCCACGACGAATTGCTGAATGTCTGGGTATTGGTGGAGCAATTACTCTTTATTAAGACAAAAATCAAAAACGTCCATTTTCACTTTTGACAGTGTATCTCTTTGCGAGTGAAATGGGCCGTCAGATAAGCCGCCCATATGAACTGTTTATGTTCATGTGTAGGCAATTGGCCTGTTATTAACATACTCTGGTTACCTGTAATAAAAACAGCAGTGCATTTCTGCAGTTTTGTATTGTTTCTGAATATCCCCTACTTTTTTTGAAGAGTATTTATAATGAAAAAGAAAATGAGTAAAACATTATGTTTCGTGCTTTATGTTTATATTATAGGTTATCCATTGAGCCTAAATTTAGTTTCAAACGTAATTTGCAATACATGCATATTCCATTAACTTATAAAAACAACTAGTTATTTCTGTTTACTGTAACTTTTGCAAAAGGTGATATTTTGAAACCAAATTTACAGGGTAAGAATACATGTTGTTATTACCCCGAAATATCATAAGATCACCAGATTCTTCGATGTTCCTTCGGGTATTAATATGGGGTAAAGGTTAGTGAACAAAAAGGATATAGGGATATTAGATTATGACGAAATATTGTATATTTTGGGGGGTTTTGTAATGGGTCGAAAAAAATTCAAATACTATAATACACCAAATATGGGATGCTTACTCATTTCCGAACACCTGTTACCTCTTGCCTTTCTGAGGGGAGCGGGGGGTGGGGGGGCATTGAGTGGTTCTTGTGGTATTTTACATGTAGATTTGGATATACTTTGAGCGGTTGCAATTTGAGCATTGTTATTATCTTTAATACCCTTAAATGGCTTTATGTATTTACTTATTTTTGATATTCAAGTGGCGTGGTTTCGATCACAAGCTTCTACGCGTAGGGTAGGTCGTCTGCCAACCTCGCGGGATTTCTCCTGGTCCTCCATATAATTGTGTACGATTAGTCCCGACATGGCCTAGTTTAGATCGAGTGGACGTTAAACCCAATTTCTATCGCTCTCTCTCTACTTCTTCGTTTATTACTTGTTAATAAATCCACAAAGATATGTTTTTTTATTAATATTTTTGGTTTTCTGGCGGTCAGGTTTACCTTATTGTACATTTAATTATATAATTGTCTTCAAATACCGCATAACTACAGTATTAAGTGTTAACAAACAATATATAAACTACATCAATAGTGAAAAAATATAACATTTATATGTATCTATTTACGATCAATATATCGGAGTCTTACAGGCTGAGCGGGAGACATAATTATATCACACCATGTATCAATAGGTTTATCATCAACCAATTCCAGATGGAATCTTCTTAACATCTGAAATGAGTAATTTATTCTTATTATAATCTCTGATATTTATTTTATGGATTTTCATCACTTTAAACTGCAATATTGTGAAAGTTGAATACAATTCAATTCCGTTCAGTATTTACAAAGATATAAAAATTTGTAAACAATCGGTATACAGCCAAAACAAGGCAGCAGCACCTTTAAAGATACATTCCCACAAAAGTATTTATTAGATGGTTATTTCCAATAAAAGTATGGCAATTTTGGTATATATGGAAAGAAGAGTGTTCAAGACGGTATCCCAAAATAACAGACAGTCTCCCCCAGCGACGTAATGAGCGCTTCTTATGTCGTGATCTTATGGCTAAGAGCAGTGGCGTCGTGACCATTGGGGCCCGGGGGAGGGGGGCTCGGGCCCACAAATTCTCAGGGAAATAAAAATATTTTTATTGATATTATTATGACATTATTATTTAACCATTGCTGTTACCCATTAAATGAGAGCATACAAAATAGTATTGAGATTCAGACCTAGTAACACCATGTCAGAACTTGACTGCTTTTTACAAAATGTGAAATACATTTATTAATCCTTTCTTACTTGAGATACTAAAGTCTGCATTTCCATTTCTGCTACTCGACGACCTACAACAATTAATGCAGATAACGAAATTAAATCCAATGTAATTCACATATCAAATTTTCATACAGATTTGCCATTTTAAAGGTGAGCCCAGGTAACGGACTTCCTTGAATCAGCCTATTGTAGTCATTGGTAGGTTGCCTCAGGTTCAAAATTCAGATTCCCGCGGCATTTTCTATGATGGCTGACACTCCACACTCACCACATAATGAACATTCCCTTATCCAGACACAGTCTCGCTACTGCTCTGACCTCTATCTTTATATATATTTATGTCCAGGCCGTAAAAACAACCACAGATCATAGCTATAGTTGCTAAAACACCTTTCCAAATGTAGGCGGAACTGGATACATGTCTCTCATTTTATTAATAATGTTATTTTCATTGTCTATGTAATATAGATATCAAAGAGACGGGGCCAAATAGTAGAGTGAGACACCAGATATTTTCAAACAGCATAATCTCGACGTAATCCGGACGGTAATAAACCGCACAACTGCGCTTAAGGTACAGCCCTAACCAATGGCGTCTATGAATAATATTTTGAGTTAACTGAGCATGTGGAATACTCGACAAAGGGTCGATTGGTTGTTTCCCCGAGGTATCTTAAACCTGTTGTTCGGCACGCTCGATTGGTCATATTCCCGAAGAAACTTGGAGCACAAACAGGTTTCATAATTATTAACTTTTTAAAAATAAGGCCTACAAATATTTTACTTACCAACACACATTCTTGGTCCGAAACCAAAAGGTAAATAAGCAAAGGGATGAACTTTATCTTGTCCAGGTTGATCTCTTAACCAACGTTCAGGTTTAAACACTTCAGCATCTTTATACAAAGACTTCGTTTCTACCAAGTGCATATGGTGAGTAAGCAATCATTTTCTTGTTTAAATAAAAAAATAGAAAGCATTAAAGATAGGATGTCAAGCAACTAAATATACAAAAACCTGTAATAAAAGCTTTAATACGAGGAAGCTTTACACGGTTTAGGCTTGAAATTTCAATTTAGTTTCAAACAAGCAAGTTCACTTTCCATGAGTGAAATAAAAGGATGACAATAACAAAGTTATCGCGTGGAAATGGCCTAGCAACCAAGTATCAGTAATATTATTATATATACGTATGCTAATGAATGGATCGTACAGACTACCGAGCTAAACCAGAGTCTTCCAATAATACACGTGTATACAAAATTTGGCTGAAAGAAGGTAAGTTGTTGCACGGAAAGTATCAATCAATAACATTTCAGGAACCCCAATAAGAATGTATTAGCCGCAATTGCTCCCGAACTCGGCATACTTATGCACAATGTTGTTGAATATGGATAATAATTAGCGAATTATTACACTGAAACTATCAACCCATCAACTGCCAGCTCTACCGCAGGAGTCATACAATGCGTCTGTAAAAAACGTTTTGTTGAAAACATGTTAAACATACATTATGCAAGAGCTAAATCTGTCTTTCTTTAGGCCTTAAATTTTATCTAAATTATTAATTAGACATTAATTAACTGATCCAGACGATAATTGACTCTCGATGGCATCGCTAGTCTGCGATATTTACTGGATTAAACCCCGGTCTGCTGCTTCTGATTAAATAAATAAAAATGGATAATCGAGACTATGTTTATTACTGCACCGACTTTAATAATGATGATCGAGGCTAGGCCCAAAATTCAATCGCTAAATACTCGGTTCAGGGTGGATCAATTTGACTGAAATTTTCAGCAAATTCCCTTTACATTATCTAGCTTTTAAATATTATAGTGAGAGTACCAGCTCTTTATCTAATTTCCCATAATGTATCTTTAAAAAACGAAATTATGAAATGTATGGTTGTACTTCTAGCTGCCAAGAGTTCATTTCCGTGCATGCCAACGTAAACCATTCGAACCACTAACAACACTGAAACCAGGTGGAAAATCCCGAGGGTTATCACTAGGAAATTCCAACTAATCGTAGAATCGAGGGACAAAACGTCTCACGATATAGAAAAGATAAGGCTCCCATAATGCAGGTAAAACTATGTAAAACAATGATTCGAGTCATCAACCTTATCACTATTCAAGCATTGGTTGTTGGATTGATTGTTCCAGAAGTTTTTAAATTATCTCAACTCCCTTGGACAGTGACAACCAAGTCAAGAGATGAATTCCGCAAGTGACACATGAATAAAAATCCCCACCGTGATTATTATGATATAATGTCGTCTACAACTCTTGTTTTTGGCTTGCGGGAGCGGGAGGTTATGGTTATAGTGTCAGTTTGGAATTGAAGGTCAAACCACAATGTAAGAGTTACAGATGTTGCAGGCACCGTGGTAATCGAGCAATCAGAATTGTGCAAGGTTACTGTCTGATTCATCGTAAATTTTAAACGGATTTCTTCGATTATGAACAAACTACTTAACGTTGGTTATTATAAACTTACCTGTGTGTTTGTAATGAACTCCCGTTCGATAAAATCCATTGCACAACTAATTATCACAACGATGAAAACAAGTTCTCTCTTGAAAAATTGAAATATCACAAACTTTTCCCAGAGAAAAATACCAATATGGAAGATGGTTACGTCACTCTGCGGAAGATATCATTTCGTATTAGGAGTGACAGCATAGGAAATTCAAGTACAATTACGACAAGAATCCATGACCACTCGGACCAAAGATCACTCGGTTCAAGACCAGTCGGACCAAGTGATAGACCACTCAGCCCAAACAAATAGACTACTCGGACCATACAAAAAGACTATTCGGACCCAACAGAAAGACGACTCGGACCAATAATAAAATGTTGTTTTAATAAATTGATAATTGCGTTTGTTTTAATATAATTACTCGAACCAATAATAAAGTGTTATTTTAATAAATTGATAATTGTGTTTATTTTAATATGACTACTCGAACCAATAATAAAGTGTTATTTGAATAAATTGATAATTGTGTGTGTTTTAATATGACTACTCGAACTAATAATAACGTGTTGTTTGAATAAATTGATAATTGTATTCCAAATCGCAAAATATCGAGAACCACACTTGTAGTCACGTTTAAAAAGGGGCATATAAACGTCCGGTCTTCGTATTATTATGTGCTGTTTATATTAACGCATCAAGGGCGGATAACTTGAAAACGTGTCTCCACCCCCTCCCCCCCCATATATAGTAACCCAGGGGTTAGTGGGGTAGAACGGAATGAAACCACTGGGGATACCGCGAATGTGGAAAAAGTAAAATTAGGCTATCAGACAAGAACAGTATACCCGTATATGTAGAAACTGTCAAAAGTCTGGACATACCGAGTCTCATTGCAAGAGTAAAGAAAAATTAGATTGATATTTTTTTTTGGCACCATTATTAATTAATTTTAAAACTAATCGTTGATTTATTTACGTACACAAAATTGAACCAAACAACTCTAAATATAAGAATTCCGTATAAGAATTATTTGCTTCTTTGTATTGTGATTTAATAATAAATAAATAGCATATTGTCTAGCCTTATAATATAATTTAATTGGTCCGACTGGTCTTGTTTTGGTCCGACTGGTCTTAGTCCGAGTAGTCTTTGGTCCGAGTGGTCTGGATACCTACGACAATTGGCATTGTGTTTGAGCGTTCGCACACATAACTACCCGCATTCCTGTATTTAGTTACCGTCTTTTACATTCTAGTAAAATCTCTGCAAATTTTATAGCTTTACTTTTTGAAATATTTTGTTCTAATTATTTGATTAGCGACTCGGATGGGATTATTTACTTTTGAACACGCATGCCGCACAAACACAACTATACATTCGTTTTACGGGCTTTATCACACTTCGGTCAAAACTGTCGAATCGAGAATTAATGTTCCGCTTCTTACGGGGTCATACGGGCTTAGTAGCATTATATACCCACCCGGGCACCCAATACGGCAATAGACACGCTGAGGGCTGCCGCAACACGCTTAAAGATGTTACTGAAGCGGTTATTATTCGATCGAAAGAATGCGTATAAAATTAAAAATACACTCAGAGAATTCGGAGGTAAGCTTCATGATCCTTGTTAAATTATTTATAACATAAAGAAGATAGGATATTTATAGTTTATTCATGACTTTATTTTTACGAGTATCCGTGCAATCAGTGATATTTTAATTGTGAAGAAAATTTGATAGACTGGCGATCAATGGTTTCCATATAAATCTCCTATGTAATTGCCTTCAATTGATATTTTTCGTCGCCCAAACCCATATACGATCAAAATGATCGCGCTGTCAAACTATCTTTCAATGTTAACCAACCCCCGCAACAGGTATATTGGATTCGACCAATACGTCACGAAGACATTGTTGACATCGACTCTGTCGAAATTACAAGTAAATTTTCAAATTTTTCAAGAGAGAAATTATTCTCATCGTTGTGATAATTAGTTGTGCAATGGATTTTATCGAACGGGAGTTCATTACAAACACACAGGTAAGTTTATAATAACCAAAGTTAAGTAGTTTGTTCATAATCGAAGAAATCCGTTTAAAATTTACGATGAATCAGACAGTAAAACATGTAATATCCATGGATTCGTTTTTGGTAATGGTTATAATAGTTAACTAAGTCTACATTATAATTGTCTTTATTTTCTAGAACATTATTTGCTGAAATTTGTTCATTAAAGAAGAATAAATTGCAAAGTAAAAAATCTTTAAAAACGTACCCCTTTTGGTAGAAGGTATCCATTTAATACAGTATCATTCTGTAAGACACGACCAACACTATTTGCGACTGGGTACAACCTGTCATAGGTATTCAATAAAAACAGGGAATAATCGTCAACTGTGTATTTATTAAGTCATAAATTCCTTTTGTATATGGATACCCGGAGACTTACAAATACTCATCCGCACATGATGATAATTTGTGTTGATGTTGCAATGCAATGTTTAATAAATCACGAAACCGTCGTCGGACCATGTTAACAGTAAGTCTAAGATGTTGTTTGGCCGTTAGGTTCTCTTTCATGAGAATTTTGTTGACGATTTAAAATGTCTAGATATACATTAGGACAATTGCTTTCTCTAAGATCAACTACCAATTGACGTAACTCTATCAACTCAGCCCATTATTAAACCAATCCATGAACATAGGTCACGAATGGAAAGATTGCAAAATTATAATCTTACAATGAATAGGAGCAATTTTCACTTCTGGTTCTTGTCAACCAGTCAGCCAGCCATAACGCTCGAATTTCCGAACATTTCTGTTCACATTGGGACATTATATTTTGCCACACTATTTGACGAATTGTATAACTGTGTTCACGGTTATTAGGCCACAAAAAAATAGGGTAGGTCGGATAATCTTTTTTTTTTTTAAATTTTCTCATGGGGTGTGTGTTATCAATTTCCTACGGTTCTTGAAAATAATACAGAAATTTCAAAGTTGGAATTTACTGGAGAAAATCACACCAAGACTGAGTTATAGGGTCTGAGAAATTAGAAAAAGCGTTTAGTGTCGGCAATTTTGGCTTCAAAAAAAACACAATTATTACCTCAAAGTTTCTTTAATGAAAGCTTTTAAATATTTCAGATTTTTCAAATCCACCAAACCATTTTCTTTAATATTTTCTTGAACTTCTCGGTAAAGTTTATCTTGATAATTCTGATTTTTGGCTATTTCATATAGCACAAATTGCGATGAATTGGATGTCTAGAACAAAACAATAAAGGTATATATTAGCTTAGTAAAATCAACACAAACGGAAAAGTAAAGATTAGGGAGCATGTTATCATGGAATACAATAATGTTATAGCCTACGGGTATACTATATGCACACAGAAGTGGTGTCAGGTGTTCTAGAAAAGTAAACATATCCGGCCTCGAACACAACACCACCAACTCAAAGATAGGTTGCCAGGCAACGAAACATACGCCCACGGCAGCTAAATCGCCCGGGCGATCCACAGGGGTTGACGCATATTTATTCTTTTGTAGGTAATTGGGAATATTTATAAGACAATTTCATACAGATCAGATTATAATTTTTGTCGTTTTAGGGTTCACAAGGTTCTACAAACTGAAACAAGGGCTTTAAGTCTGGAAGTAATTTACACAAAATTTTGAAATTTGACAGGCTTCTTCGTTTCACTAATTCAAATAATGCACATACATTTCACAAAGATCGGATGATAACTTTTGGCGTTAAAGCGTTCACAAGGTTCAATAAAGTGTAACAAGGGCCATAACACTAGACGTAATAAACGGAAATTGCTGAAATTCAATAGGCTTCTTCGTTTCACTTATCTAAATAATGAACATAAATTTCACAAAGATCGGAAATTAAATAGACTTCTTCATCTCGCTAATGTCAACAACATATATCAATTTTAAAACAATCGGATCATAACTTTTCGCGTTAGAGCGTTCACACGAAATTGTGGACGACGGACGGGCGGACAGACGGACGGAGGGGGGCGACAGCAATATACGTCCACATTTCCATGTGGTCGTATAAAAAGGGCATATTTCATGTACGCTTTTTGGAGGCCGACCCTAAATGCTCAGTTAGAGCATTATCATTCTAATTGACAGATTTTGTAAACATTTCATTAGTTTTCGTTTAGCCACCTTAATTTAACACGGCGTGTGGAGAGAACTATGGATCAAGAACCGAGCATGGTGTCCTCGCGGCCATTTTGGAATTGTGACTTCATATAAAAATATCGATACTCAGTTGTCCAAGGAACCAACATGCCGAGTTTTCTGAATTTTAGAAATTTTCTGAATTATCAACTTCGTATATTATACAGATCTCCGAATTCAGAAATTTTCTGAATTGCGACATCTGTGCATATATATTATACAGATCGCCAAATTCTGAAAATTTCCTTTATATCAGTACAAATAGTTATATACAGTATAGACATTTTCTGAATTTATAATTACCTGCCTTCACAAGATTTTTCAAAGTGATCAAGGGCCATAACTCAGGCAGTAATAATCGAAAATAGCTGAAAAACAATGGGCTTCTTAGTCCCATGACCATAACACTATGTATAAAATCAAAGTCAATTGGGTAATAACTTTAGACTCTGGAGTGTCAACAGGGATAGTTTCTGGTCCATAAAAGACACACCACTCCTCTCGTTCCGTTCTTGACTTACCGTGTCTACACCACCGGCCATTAATTCTGTTATATTACTATAAACTTCTTTCAGTGGCATTCTTTCAATGAAATATTCGATAATTCCAACCTCTTCCCCTTCATTTCTCTTAACATTTTTTATTACTTCCAACTTAGCACTTGTACATTCTTCAGCTGAAAAAACAGTTCAGATCGAGACAGTTCGAAGGTAGTAGCCCAGTTGGTACAGAAAAGTAAGATGTTAAATCCTATTTCATTTCATTTCAAAGGTCGCGTATGCTACTCCAGAAACCAAAAAATAGCATGTGTGGTATATATACGAGACTATACCTGCTTCCGCTTGAGAACAGACGCGAAGCTTGTTGACCGAAATTTTAATTCCCACATCGACGAGGTTAGTCAAAAACCCTGTTAAGTATACTTACTTCGAAAGTTTTGAGAAGTATATATTCTGCTTCCATTTAATGAAATTGTGTTTAAGAAGGGTGTAAAATGGATTAAAACCGCATTTTTTTAACACGGCAGCCATTCGGGGCAGAGATCTATTCTCAAATTCGATAGTTCTCTGTGTGCAGAATGCTGCCTTCGCTGTGCGAAAACTTACTCCTTGTTACCAATATGATGCTTCATTAATAATACTACTTTGGTTGTTAACAGCCAATCTGTTTCACAGAGAATTACGAGTCTCGTATAATATCTCTGTCATAGATGACTGCCTTAACACGTGCTGTCACAGCACGCGGTGTGAATCATTGGCTGAATGGCGCGTGTATTGTTTACATAAGACATAACTGCTTCGGAGAGAATGCTGCATTTTAGTCAATTTAATACCCATTTACACTAAATCGGAAATAATTTTTACCTACAAATACGTCAAACGCCTTTATTTATTTTTCCAATATATACAAAAAATGTTTTAGAATTTAATTTGTCGCAGGAAAAAGGTTAATATTTCTAGCTTATTAAGCCGCATCAATGTCATCCTTACCAGTGATTGTCGCGGCCAAGCAAATATTCACTGCGGATCAGTGTGGTTAACAGCTATACCATGATCACTAGATTAGTCAACTATGATTGACCATTTGGTTTAATTCTAAAAAATAAGACGTGACCCACCTACTCTAAATATTGTGTTCCATGCTTCTTCATGTTCTTTCCACTTGCTCCTCATGATAAATCTAGACAGTAGAGGTGGTACTGAAAATAGATATACGGTGGTGGCAAACATACTTCTAACCGCCTCGATAAAATTGTCATTTTCAGGATTCCTGACGTCAGAGAGGCTGCCCATTCTTTTCTCATATAAGATTGATCCGATGGCTTAAACAAAAATACAAGTTGATCAGTGACAGTACGAAAGGGGTAATAACTAATATGTAATTCAGTCTTTGACATTTGACATTTATCAGTGTCGTAAAGTAAAATGCGTTATGCCCAGAGGGCGGTTGGGTGGCTGAATGGTTAGCGTGCGTGCGCTGTATCACAAAGTCTGTCATTGAGTCGACTGGCGTGGTTTCGAATCCCCGGTTGTGCGTGACAAGGAGTATTGTCGCCTGTCCAACCTCGTGGGTTTTCTCTGGGTCCTCCGGTTTCCTCCCACTGCTAAAGACCCCTATGCACAAGCGAATTATTGAAATAAAATTAAACCATATAGTAGTCCCGAAATGACCTAGTTTGTGTCGAGTGGACGTTAACCCCGATTTCTCTGTGTTATGCCCAGATTTAAAAACATAATATTATGTCTAATTATAAAAACAGAAACCTGACTCAACTTACGGCCGTGGGAACAAACCTGCCCAAAGCTCCATACAAAACTTTAAGCGTTGCAATTTTAAACATAAAAATCGAATGTATTTCTTGAATGATTAAGAACATACAGGAAGTACTTGAAATGGTAATCAAAATAAAGAACATCATAATAATAAAACTCATTATATATTTTTAATTTTTATTTTTCCCTTTTCAAGATATATAAATATTTGAACCTACACTCTAGCGCCCAGTTAAAAAGTTCCGAGGATAAATTTTCAACAATCATATCTGGACCTCTAATTCTCTCAAATCTATCGAGTAAGTCCTCAACTACTTTATTTATATCTTTAGCATAGTTATCCACTGCTTTGGGTTTCAACATGGGTTTATCAACGACTTTTCTCATCCGGGCCCATTCTTCACCATCACTGTTAATTTAAAGTAAAACTTTTACGTTTAAAATTAATCATTTACAAAATAATATTCGGTTTTATCATCATTCAGGTTTAGAAAGTTCTTTGACATCCATTTTCTAAATTCACTAATACAGTTTTCAAGTTCCAGTTTTGATAAATTGAAAAAAAGACGGACAATTAGGTGTACAAAACAATTAGAATTGGGTATCATCTGCATATAAATTAAATTAAAGCTGATACCATATTTTCTGACAATAATATTGCCTAATAGTGAAGTATAAAGGGTAAATAAAATCGAACCAAGAACAGGACTTTGAGGGACCCCAGATGATACCATATTTTCTGACAATATTGCCTAATAGTGAAATATAAAGGGTGAATAAAATCGGACTAAGAACAGAATTTTGGGGGACCCCAGATGATAAAACAGATTCAGACGACGATGTACAATTAACTAAAATACACTGTTTTCAGGCCACAAGATAACTTTCTAAAAGATTTAGTGCAGACTGCAGAGCCACAAATACCAAAATTAAAATGAAGTCCACGTAAAAGAATAGATTCTATTCAATAGAAGGATAGACCGTGCTGAAAGCGGCACATAAATCTAATAAAATTAAAAATGTACACCTTCTATTATCAGTTTCCAATAAAACATCATTTAAAACCGGGGTTAAAGTTGTTTCGGTACTGTGAAATTGTTTATAAGCACCTTAAAATGATTTTTTTAAAAAGTCCTAAATTTCGCCCGATCCAGCGTTGGTGCTAGAGGTGGAAAATGGCGATGGGCGCATGCAGCAGAAATATTTGTCCCAATTCTGTTATTCCAGGGATTAAAAAAACGAGATCCCATGTTCACCTTGGTGTACCCGTAACAGAACCGTTGGCATTCAAATGTTGTTTTGCTAAATTTCGCTCATAGCACAAAGTCTACATCGGGAGTACGATTTGCATCAGATATGGTGAGAAATGATTCCTTTTGGCGAAAAATAAAGAATCGCGGTATAAGAATAGAAGGTAAGGGTTCAAAAATAGCCTGAGAACAGAGGTGGGGAAGAGCAGTATTTTACCGCATGTTCATATTGCAGAAAGGAAAGGAACTGTCAGCGGACATCGTCTGATCAGAGACAGTTCATAAAGGAACTACGGGAGCCTATACATTTTCAAGGTACGATATCAACGTCAATATTAAATGCTCTGCGACAATGTCGTTTCCTTTGATTATATGTCAAAAGTACAATGTACAAAGTCCTAATGTTAATTGTTAAATGACAAATGTTTTGTGGGAAAATGCTTTTTTTGACGTGTCTACATTTTACATTTCTCTCATTACATTTTACATTTGCGCTCTGTCACATCCCATTTGTCCATTACGCTTTCTACATAGCAACTTTCGCACAGCATCAACTTGCATATGCAAATGTGGGATATCACGTGACTCATTAACATATATGGAAACCCGACACAAGCACACTATAAGGATATTCACCGCACAACAAAAGAAATCAAGCTGACACACCATAAGAAACTATCTAGACGACCGTGCGTAATTTTGAATGTGCCAGGAAATAATTGATAGATTCAAGCAGCCAAAGAAACATACTTTCCAGTAATTTATAACACAATAACTGGAATTTCGTATTAATACCCGTATTTTTATATTGTAAACACCCCCACTCTTTTCCGGTCTCTCTATAAACAGAGTTGAGTAGCCTACTTTGATCCATTAAAAAAACAACAATATATAAGCATTGTGCCCAACAAATATATAATATATTTAAAGAGAGGAATGACTGTACATCTTTTAGTATGGACATAGAGAATTTTCGATTAAGCCCTGTATCTTTATTTTAGTTTAGTTTAGTCCCCCCCCCCCATTCCTTCACTTCAACTTTAATCTTATTTTGTAAAGTTAGGCAAATATGAATGTGCCAGAAAATTATTTGCATATTTGAAAAGAGCAATCAGTGATACTTAACATGGTATCTGGAATTTCATATTTAGACCAGTATTTTTACTTGAATACCCATTTAATAGTGTGATATTTATTGGATTTAAATTATGAAAATACGATTGTACCAGAAAACTATTTACATATTTACAAACAGAATGAATGTGATTTTCACTAATATGTAACATGATACCTGAAATTTCGTATTTGGACATTGCACAGTCCCCCCCCCCCCCTCTTAATCATCATAAAGTGCCATCCAAAGTATCAAGGTGAGTAAATTTTTATTGTGTGCTAGGCTGATTTCCTAGCGTGCCAGGTTTCCGTATATGTTAATAAGTCACGTGATATCCTACATTTGCATATGCAAGTGTTGATGCTGTGCGAAACATGCTATGTAGAATGCGTGAAGGGCAAATGGGATGTGGCAGAGAGCAAATGTAAAATGTAATGAGAGAAATGTAAAATGTAGACACGTCAAAAAAAGCATTTTCCCACAAAACATTTGTCATTTAACACTTAACATTTGACGTTTTACATTTAACTCTTGCCTTAGATGTATTTTGACATTATCATTAACGGTATTATGACTTTGTACATTGTACTTTTTACATATAATCAATAGAAAAGACATTGTAGCAGAGCATTTAATATTGGCAGCGATACCCTTCCATAGGGATGGACCAATAATTTGTGTTTGTAATGTCGATAAACTGTGGATAGTATTGAATTATAACGGGAGACGCCTGGAACATTTAGAGAACAAACAGCAAAAGCTAATCAGTCAAAATTCACCTACATGGAATCCTTGACGTGATCTCCCTCGCAAACAGATCTTGCCTATGTTATATGAAGTAGGTCACCATCGAAAGTATTAATAAAAAACGATTTAATTAGACTAAAAAACAATGCTTACGTGGTTAATGTACCAAAAGCTTGGTTTGCTCTGACTCTATAATCATTCCATATTCGAATTGGAGGTCGAACATGAGTTACATCTTGTCGTAGTAATTCCTCTATTAAATTAGGATCGGAAATAAAGAAGATATGCATAGAGATCATCGGGATTTTAAACTGAACGAGAGGTCCGAATTCCTCGTGTAAATCCACATACATTTTATGCGTTCTCCCAGCATTTTTCTTCAGGTCTTCAAAGATTTTATAAAATGGTACAGGTTTTGGTCCTGGAATTTCGTCACATGACTTGATTGCCGCCAAGGAAGATTGTGGTCGAATTCTTACATCAAAAAATGATCTTGCGAGTAAATATCGACAGTTTCGTAGTGACATGATGTCTAATGCCAGATTGTCACCCAGTAACAATCTTTGTTTAATGCTATAAAGTACAAAAAGTAATCTTTATTAAGATCTATCAATAAAGGGTCCACAACCTTTGCATTACTTTTACACTATTAGCGTAAAGGTAGCGGTCATTCGACCGATTTTCGGGTAAGTGTGAAATATTTGAACGGTTTTTACAATCAATAACCAGCGGTTGCCAGGCAAGATACGCCCACATTTTGCAAAAGATTTGTCGTACAATCAGGGGCCATAATCTAGAAAGTTATGGTCTGAAATGCGCAAATATCAAAAGGGACTGTGATCTCTGGGATATAAAGATATATTTTAAGTTTCATCAAAATCGGATAAAAATTGTGAACTCTAGAGGGTCCACAACCTTCGTATTACATACTTTTACACAATTTGCGTACAAAGAGTATCCATTTTGTCGGGCAGTTTCATTACGATTTTCCTGAAATTCGAATTCAACCTTCATTATGGTGGAATGGTGATATAAACGGTTTTTAAAATCGGATAAACAATTTTGACCTGTTAGAGAATCCACAAGTTAGAAATGCGATTTTTCGAACAATCAGGGGCCATAATTCAGGAAGTTACGTTCGGATATGCGCGATTATCACAAGGAAGTCCTAGGATGGTAGCTCCAACCCCACCCCCACCCAATCAAGAATTGCTTCCGACGGCCCTGTCTCTGAACGTCATTTGAAGGATTGTTAATCCCCTTCAAACTTTTGAAAGTTGAATCTCTAAAAGGAATATCAGTCTAAAAAATGGTCCAATTCCGTTCAGTACCGGTATTTACAAAGATGCGGTAAATTGAAAATTTGTCAACATGCGACAGCCACTACAGACTACAGAATAGTCAACGGAATCCGGTGTTTCCTACACTCCTCTAATGCGGATACGACTGTTTTTAATCCGAATGAATCCAAGTCCGGGGGTTATCTATCGTTGATAGTTTGATTTTGTATCTTTACTAAATTGCTAAATAATCAACCTGAGTACTTTTAAGCGTTGATTGGGCCGTTGAAAATTTATATTTTCGTCGTATATGGCCGAGTTATGTAAATCCGTGCGTTACCCTAGATTTAGATTTCAGTGGCGTCTGCTAGGCCGTTTAACAGAATGGGGTATTTTTCACAGCATGTTGTGTTGCACATGCTGACGCTAGCGAGGTAAGCAAGGGCTTATTTTCTCACTAAAATGTTCCTTTGCGTTCACAGAGACTGACACACGACCGTTTAGCAGTAAAAAGTTGCCCAGTAAAATCGACTCGGCCGATTTTATTTTCGACAAGGATTCAATAGGACGGTTCCTGAACGCACAGAGCGAGTGTAATGAGACCTACCGTGACAAAGTGATCTATACCTTTCATCAAATTGAACGATCATTTAGGTGCATAGAACTTTATGACCTCTGCTGGTTTTTGATAATATATGATATTGACGTTTCAACTCTATAAACTTCTGTTAAGGCACGAACTGGCTATGGTTTAATTAAACATGTAATAATTCAAGATGTCCTTTACAAGCTACACATGATCTGTGTATAACACTCGGCAGAACATCAAAGAGAGAGAGAGAGAGAGAGAGACTCGAGAGAAAGAGAAATGGGGTTTAACGTCCACTCGACACAAACTAGGTCATTTCGGGACTAACATATGGTTTGATTTTATTTCAATAATTCGCTTGCGCATAGGGGTCTTTAGCAGTGTGAGGAATCCGGAGAAAACCCACGAGATTGGACAGGCGACCCTACTCCTTGTCACGTAGAACTGGGGCTTCGAAACCACGCCAGTCGACTCAATGACAGACTTTATGATAAAGCGCGCGCACGCTAACCATTCAGCCATCCAACCCCCCTAACATCAAAGAGAATGTATAGTACTAGTAGTGGTCAGTGCATCATACCATGACATGATAATGACTTCAAAGGAAATACGCAGTGCAGTTACAGATGCCATAATCTGATAAATAAACAATACCATATACGATTTTCCCCTAATTGTTTGGTTTGTTCTCACTTTCCCAGCAGATTAACCCTACTAATTAAGCGGATTAGGGATTAGTTATAGATTAGTGAGTTATACTCTGTTTTAATTATTGCACGAAACAGTTCAATTTAACCTATGACATGTATGAACTATAAATCACTGTCTGATTTTTCGTTCATATGTCAAAGTATCGAAGGTGTAGATATAAGTTTATGGAACCATTTCTACACTGAAGGAGCAAGAACAACCAAAAATATGTTGAAAGTTGGCATTCAAAGTTAAAGAAAGTATCGTCAAATTACCCGAATATTTTTAGATTCATAGAACTACGTCAGAACAGGGTTACACAGAGATACAAATTTTACAATATGGAAATGGAGGCGTTTCAGTCCAAAGAAAAGAAAATACATAGAATTAAACAGAAGAATACATGATGAAAAACAAAGATTATGAACTGGTTTGACGACTTTATATGAATATGGAAATTCGATATCACATTAAGTCGGATTTTAAATATACATGTACAATACTAAATTTGTTAATAAAATAACTTGTATGTAAAGTACTTAATATTGATATGAAAAATATATATTATTATGTACATGCTAAATTTGTTAATAAAATAACTTTTATTTAAGTGGTTAATATTGATATGAAAAAGACTATAGTTTTAACACCATTAGTTACCCTAATTAGTACTGGTCCAATGATTTTACCTGGGAAACAATAGCTGCTATATAACCATGGAGTTTACTGACATTTATAACATGTTATTGTCTGCGATATCACCTCGGTGGAAGCGGACGTAAAATACAATTAACTAAGTAAGTGACATTTACGAACGAACGGCAGTAAGTCGATCAGACTTGGAATAGAGCTCCTCCCGAATTATGTCCTTATTAATTATGCTGATCTTCTGTTATCTGTAGTGTTAGATGAACTAATATAATATATGATCAATAGTACGCCCATGGAGTTGGGGACGCCGTATGGGTTATAGACATAACGGCCCTAAACCATAACTGCCAAAAAATTTGGTCATAGCGGCCAAAATATTTGGTCGAAACGGCCAAACAATTTAGTCATAACGGCCAAGAAAATATAAACCATTTTTTAAAAGGAAATGTATTTATTCACAAAGATATTGCCTAACAGATAATATAAATACATACATTAGTTAAACATTAATTTAATACATGAAAAAAAATAACCCGAATGGATTGCTTGTTGTTGTTTATTAAAGATTTAAGGTCCAATACAGGTTGGTTTAATTAAATTATTTACACTTGAAAATTGTTAAAAACACAAAGGCTTTTACCTTATTACCTAATCACTCGACTTAAGGCGAATTCCAGCTGTCAATGTACACGCGACCTACGTTTTTCGTTCATCCCGAATGTAACCTATTCCCTGTCACACCCTTTTGCTGCCTCTGGTAAGAACTGGTGTGTTTTAAATTTTTTATTTCCTTCAGAACGGGGCTATATTTTGTCTTCATCAGCCGATCAACCCCATTGAGGAAAGAAAAATAAGTAAAGAAATGGCTGTTCTTTTAGATCGAGATATAACTAGGATGCCATTTGAGAATTTAACGAAGTCGAGGCTCACCGCAGTGCACCGAGTGAGCAAGAATCAACATGGCTGCGATTATTAATATTTGCGATAGAACTTTGCCAAATAAAAATCAAAGATTTCAAATCCACAATGTGGACATAAATGAAAATGTTCTGACTATAAAGGAGAAAATTTTGAAACTTATCGAACCAAATACTAAAGATGTTGGTAAGAAATGACTGTGTTCGTAAATCAGAATATGACCTACATTGATGATTCATTTTGGCTGGCTTATAATAACTAATTAGAGTTATTTATCAATTATTGTTTTAAAAAAAGTCGTTTGTTTACCTTTTTTGGGGAATGACGATTTACCCAACTTATATATGATTTACCAAGTAAACCACCAAATTTAACTACTCGCCCAATACTACCTCATCTTTGTGAAAAACTGACAGGATATTTAATCACTTAATTCGTGGAAAACTTGCAAAAAATGTACAACAAATGTGATGGTCAATGCCAGTTATCTCCCTTAATTCTATATCTAGTTCAAAAATAGATAGATCTAATGAAAAATAAATATATAACAAGGATTTCAGTCAAATTACATTATTCTGTGCAATGTTATAAGTGTTTGAAGTTTTGACAAAATGTATTGTAGCATCGTAGGCCTACATGTAGGTAGATTGATTATTATCGAATTGGGCAAATCGCCCAGCTGCCTTTTTTCATGTCACATCAATCTTGAATGCTCGGAAATGGCATAGTGTGTGTCCAGTGGATGTTAAACCCCCTTTTATCTCTCTCTATAGCTCTTGTTGTTCAGGTTTAAACTTGGGCTATTTCGGGACGGAGGGGACGCCTAAAGATAATTGTTATACACGCCCACATTGAAATGTGGTCGTATATTATCGTCGCCCCCGTCCGTCCGGCATCCAGAGGCTAAAGTTAATATAAATTTATACACAGTGTTTAAGGTGATGAGACAAAGGAGCCTATTGATTTTCAGCGATTTCTGATAATTACTGCCAAAGTTATGGCCTTTGATCACTTTGAAAAATCTTGTGATGCTCTAGAGGCTAAAGTTATCCAATTGACTTTAGATTGATACACAGAGTTTAAGGTCTTGAGACAAACAAGTATATTGATTTTCAATGAATTTTGATAACTTGAACAGCTAAATCCATGATATTAAATGTTTCACATACTAAATGTTAGCATGGGGCAGAACTTTATAAAAGCCAAACAAATTCTAATGGTTTTCTGATAATTACTTCATGAGTTAAAATTGTTACTCTTAATCAGATTTTAGTGTATTATAAATGTTACATTACCGAAAGAAAGTAAAATTATGCGACAACTCTTGTTGACTGCCCGGACGATTTAGCTGCTGTGGGCATATGTTTTGTTGCCTGGCAACCTATCTTTTTAGTTGTTTTAAACAGTTAAGATTCAGGGCAAAATGCACTTTTTATGTGGGGAGCACTATTTAAACTGTTTAAATATTTATTTCAGAGCTTATTTATTGTGGTAAACAGATGAAAGATGATAATAAGATAGATATTTATGGAATTAAAAATGGATCAACAATTTATGTGCTTGAAAAACATGTCCCAGAAGCGTCAGGTATGTAGAAGTAAACTTGGTAAATGTAACGTGTAGGTACTTGATACTATTTACAGGCCTCCACCCAGTCAATTACCAGCAGTTGCCAGGCAGGATACGCCCACATTTTCGAGAGATGGATAGAGAACAAGCTAAAAAGAAAGTGATTTTTCCTACAATCAAGGGCCATACTTCAAGAAATTACAATTCGATGTGCGCAAATATCGAAAGGAACCAAGATCTTTGGGTTATAAACTTACATTTCTAGTTTCAACAAAATCGGATAAAAATTGTGACCTCTATAGGGTCCACAACCTTGATATACCATATTTTTACGCTATTTGAGAATGAAGGGTGGCCATTTTGTCTGTCAGTTTTGGGCCGATTTTCACGAAATTCGAACTCCGTCGTTCTTAGGGTGTAATGGTGATATAATAATACGTTTTTTTGAATCCGATAAAAATTATGACCTAATGTCCACAAGCTAAAAACTCGATTTTTCGTGCAATCAGGGGCCATAATTCAGGAAGTTATGGTCCGATATGAACGAATATCGAAAGGAACCAAGATCTTTGGGTTATAAACTTACATTTCAAGTTTCAACAAAATCAGTTAAAATTGTGACCTCTATAGGCCCACAACCTTGATATACCATATTTTTACGCTATTTGAGAACAAAGGCCCATTTGTCTGTCAGTTTTGGTCCGATATTCACGAAATGCGAACTCAGTCGTCCTTAGGGTGTAACGGTGATATAATAATACGTTTTTTTAAATCGGATAAACATTATGACCTCTATAGGGTCCACAAGCCAAAATCGTGATTTTTCGTACAATCAGGGGTCATAATTCAGGAAGGTACATTCCGATATGCGCGAATATCGAAAGGAACCACGATCTTTGGGTTATAAACTCAAATTTCAAGTTTCAACAAAATAGGATAAAAATTGTGACCTCTATAAGGTCCACAACCTTGATATACCATATTTTTACGCTATGTGAGAAGGAGGGGCGGCCATTATGTCTGTCAGTTTTGGGTCAATTTTCACAAAATTCGAACTCCGTCGTTCTTAGGGTGTAATGGTGATATAATAATACGTATTTTTGAATCGTATAAAAATTATGACCTAATGTCCACAAGCTAAAAACTCGATTTTTCGTGCAATCAGGGGCCATAATTCAGGAAGTTATGGTCTGATATGAACGAATATCGAAAGGAACCAAGATCTTTGGGTTATAAACTTACATTTCAAGTTTCAACAAAATCAGTTAAAATTGTGACCTCTATAGCCAGGGTCCACAACCTTGATATACCATATTTTTACGCTATTTGAGAACGAACGGCGGCCATTTTGTCTGTCAGTTTTGGGCCGATTTTTAGGAAATTCGAACTCAGCCGTCCTTAGGGTGTAACAGTGATATAATAATACGGTTTTTTAAATCAGATAAAAATTATGACCTCTAGTCTATATGGTCCACAAGCTAAAAACGCAATTTTACGTACAATCAGGGTCCATAATTCAGGAAGTTACGTTCCAATATGGGCGAATATCGAAAGGAACCGAGATCTTCGGGTTATAAGTATACATTTCAAGTTTGAACCAAATCGGATAGAAATTGTGACCTCTACAGTGTTCACAAGCTAAAAAGGTGATTTTTCGTACAATCAGGGGCTATAATCCATGAAGTTACAGTCCGATACATGCCAATATCGAAAGGAACTCGAGATCTTAGGGTGTTAAACCCTTTTTTTTTTTTCAAGTTTCATTGAAATCGGATAAAAATTGTGACCTGTAGACTGTTCACAAACAATTATGGACGGATGGACGGACAGGGGCGGCGACAATATACGTCCACATAAAAATCCTGCAAACTCCTATGGCTTATTCATGAAATCGGTTGGGTAAAAACACCAATGAGTTTAAGCTTAAATCAGAGGGGTCTTTGTCCATTTGTCATTTGGAGATTAAAGTTATCATCTGATTGACTTGGAAGAAATTTATACGCAGTGTTCCATGAAACAAAGAAGTCTACCTGGTATTGCTTTTGAGATTTTTCTAATAAACTCAAACAGCTAACTTTCCATATTTTTGCTTGTGTATGCTTTGTTAATGTTATAACGGGCGAAAGGCCATCAATTTTTTAATTGTTTGATAATTACTTCATGGCATGTGAATGTATTTTTCTGGCCTGGCAATAGATCTTCATTTTTTAAATAAGATAAGTCTACTTTCCTTTAATTGCTACAGTTTGAGTAAAACTTTGATTATAGAATGTAGTTGGAATTGCACATTAAACCTCTTAAACAATTACTTTTTAAATAAGATAAGTCTACTTTCCTTTAACTGCTACAGTTTGAGTAAAACTTTGATTATAGAATGTAGTTGGAATTGCACATTAAACCTCTTAAACAAATACTACATATTAATAACAAGTTGTTGTTAATATTGTAAGTATGATGGAGTTTAGAGTATCAAAAATTTGTCCGTCTTCTGTAGGGTCCACAACCTTGATATACCATATTTTTACGCTATGTGAGAAGGAGGGGCGGCCATTACGTCTGTCAGTTTTGGGTCAATTTTCACAAAATTCAAACTCCGTCGTTCTTAGGGTGTAATGGTGATATAATAATACGTTTTTTTGAATCGGATAAAAATTATGACCTAATGTCCACAAGCTAAAAACTCGATTTTTCGTGCAATCAGGGGCCATAATTCAGGAAGTTATGGTCCGATATGAACGAATATCGAAAGGAACCAAGATCTTTGGGTTATAAACTTACATTTCAAGTTTCAACAAAATCAGTTAAAATTGTGACCTCTATAGCCAGGGTCCACAACCTTGATATACCATATTTTTACGCTATTTGAGAACGAACGGCGGCCATTTTGTCTGTCAGTTTTGGGCCGATTTTTAGGAAATTCGAACTCAGCCGTCCTTAGGGTGTAACGGTGATATAATAATACGTTTTTTTAAATCAGATAAAAATTATGACCTCTAGTCTATATGGTCCACAAGCTAAAAACGCAATTTTACGTACAATCAGGGTCCATAATTCAGGAAGTTACGTTCCAATATAGGCGAATATTGAAAGGAACCGAGATCTTCGGGTTATAAGTATACATTTCAAGTTTGAACCAAATCGGATAGAAATTGTGACCTCTACAGTGTTCACAAGCTAAAAAGGTGATTTTTCGTACAATCAGGGGCTATAATCCATGAAGTTACAGTCCGATACAAGTTGTTGTTAATATTGTAAGTATGATGGAGTTTAGAGTATCAAAAATTTGTCCGTCTTCATTAGCCTAGTTCGGAGCAGAACAGAAGGACGTTAAACCCCATTTCATTTCATTTCAAAAATTTGTTGATATTAGATGTGTAATATTATTTTGATTACATGATTATAGTGATACAAAGTTAAATTGAAATACTATTTCTCACTAATTTCAGTGTATTCAAAAATTTATACTCCATTTGAATTTTCTCTCTGAAAATTTCCTCCTTTAAAACTTGAGTTACTCTTTTCAGGAATTGTAAATAATTTAACAGAACAGCAAGTTATGGTGGCTTTGAAAGCTGCCATTCGTAAACCTACATACTCAAATATTGTAAGTATTTTTTAGTCACAAAATAGAATATACATGAAAATATCAATATAATTTGCAAGAATATACAATTTAAACTGATTATTACATGTTACTACTGTATCAATATATCTACAGCAGACAAGAAGGTCAGGTGGTTGAGTGGTCTAATGCACTTTAGATCATAAAGTCTGTCGTTGAGTCAAGTGGTGTCACCCTGTGGTTTTGATCCCAAGCTTGTACATGACACAGAGTACAACCTCATTGGTTTTCTTTGAGTGCTCCAGCTTCCTTCCAATGCTAAAGGCAATTATGTGCAAGTGAATAATTGAAATAAAATTGAACTAATTGTTAGTCCCGAAATTACCTAGTTTGTGTCGAGTGGATGACAAACATTATTTCTCCCGCTGCAAACAGATGTTATAATATATAAGCAGCCATTTTACATACATACCATTAATAAATTGATTAAATTCTGACCTTTTCATTAAGGCTTAGGCAACATAGCTGATGTGTTGTGTATGGATGATTTTCAGTGATATAGGCACTATTTCTGATATTTCAGGTTCAAAAGATTCTCACTGATGAATCAAAAATCAATAAACTTGTCTCAGATAATCCAACTTTAACATCAGATCCAGCTGTTTTATGTAAGTAGACCCGATGCTAAAATTGACCAAATATTCAACACTTAATATAATGATATTAATTAAAATATGACATCAATCAAATATGTTAATTAGAAGAGCACATGACCCTTTTCCTGTGAGTTTGGGATGGTTAGAGGAGTGTGTGTAAACTGTGATGTCCAAAATAATTTTGACCTCATCCACTCCTGTAATATAAGTAGAAACAAGCCAACAGTAAGGCTGATGTCTCCCTCCAAAATCCCAAAATTAACAGATGACACATATTAATTAATAGCACATTTATCTTTTTGAAAATTATCGAGTAATCAAACTGATTATCTATGCTTAGTCTGAGCAGGTTTTGAAGTACTTGGTAGTGAAACTATACACTAAGTTTCATCACTCTCCATCAGTTAGAATCAAAGTTATCTTGTCTCAAAGCATCAACCAACCCAGTCAAGACATTCGCCTAATGAACAGCTATACCTCAAAAGCAGAGTTGTTATGTTCCAAAGTCTCGACCAATCAAATTGCTTACTGCACTGCTTACCCTGAGCAGAAAATGCTCATTATCAAATTTACTCAAGGTATTGATGTGATGAAACTACTCTCACTTAATTAGAACCAAAGTTATCATGTCCCAAAGCATCAACCAATCAAATTGCTTATCTCTGCTTACCCTAAGTAGAAATTGCACATGTCAAACTCCATCAAGGCATAAACACCTACACCAAGTTTGAACATTCTAGTTCAATTAGAAGGAAAGTTATTGTGTCCCAAAGAGTGTGACAGACAGACAGACTGACAGAGGTACAAACCCATTTAATTAGTCCCATGCTTTTTTCGAAAGGGTATCAGGGGAGAGACAAAAAAAATATCCGTAATTCTTCAATTTGTGTGTGTAAGGCAATCATCATTTAATTTATTTTCCTTTTCAGCAATGTTAGTTGACCGAGGGTTGTTAGTTAGTTTAATACAGCCTGGTAATATTTCAAAGTAAGTTACAGTATTATAGTAAAATATATAAACTGCGTATATTATAGTTATGTCTTTATGGTAGACTTTTTATCTATTTGTTGTAATTTTCAGATTATTATCAAGACATCCTGTATTTGGTCCTACAGCATTAGCTGTAGCTACTATGGTAAATGAAGAAGCTGGTAAAGATGGTGGTTCAGCTTCTACAACAGCAGGTAATTATTCATATTTTTCCATTATTGTTCCCTGTTAATGATTTGTTCATGTTTTCTGAAAGTCATACATACATCCATCTTGTTGGGACATCACATTATTGACATTTTACAGATCACTACCAAATAATGATAGTAAGAACAGTAGATTGTTGGGCTAATAGTCTCTCTTAGAGCAATTAGTGACTCTCCTTCAACTTCTACTAACAGAATATGGTGTCTGTGCATGTAATAGTAGCTAGTTAAAATATTTTAAAATTTAAAAATTATTTTTAGGTTCATATTCAATTGACCAGATGTCTGATGAGGAAGATGAAGTTGGAATGGGAGCACAGGTAATGAATTTTCATCATTTAATCATCTTCAGTTAGAATTTTCAATCACTTTTCAGTTTATGATGAATAGAATTGCATAAAGTAGAATTTGGTCCTAAATAACTCATGTCATTCTTTAAATTGTTTTATACTTGATATTTACAGGGTGGAAGACCAATCACAACATCCCAACTAGCAGCAGCGTTAATGCAGGCCCAAGGAGGATACACCACAAACCAGGTTTGTTTTTATTATCATTGAAATATGATATTCATAAAGCACATTATTTTCACTGGAGATTTTCTGATACCTACTCTTATTTTCTTGTTTCTTTCTGAAGAGTTGATTGTATGATCGAAACTCATAGGGATGCCATAATGTTACATCATAAACATACACACCCCCCCCCTTCATCCATTGTTATCAATGACTGCATTAATATTTAAGAATCATTAATATTAACTATAATAAAAATGTATTACCTGTCATTAAACTTGAATTATATGATATTATCTAATGATATGATGAGATACTAACTATTAAAGATACATTATGGGAGATTCGATAACGAGTTGGCAGTTCTTACTATAATAGTTAAAAACTAGATAACGTAAAGGCAATTTGCTGAAAATTTCATTCAAATTGATCCACTATGAACCGAAAACTAAGCGAATGATATTTCTGCCTAGCCTCGGTCATCATTACTAAAGTCAGTATGATAAACAGCATAGTCTCGATTATCTATTTAATCGTTTAATCGAGAAGGAAAGTTCTGCAGTAAATCGGCTCACAATCCACTTAAGATCGCAGGCTAGCGAGGCCATCTAGAGTTGATTATGGTCTGGATAAAGAAAGACCTACAATAGACAGATTTAGCTCTTGCATAATGTATGTTTAATTTATGCACATGTTAACAATTATAGGATAGATTGCAGATTAATTTATTGAAGAGGCACACACTTGCGAAACCTTTCTTTACAATTATACTATCAACATGAGGAAAAGAATCACACCATTAGGCAGGGCTTGAACCACGGTAGACATTTTGTGCTATGCAGCATATTTTTGTAAAATTTAACTATTGTTGTTACAATTTTTGTGTTTAATATTTTCAGCCTAGTACATCTAGTAGTGGTGAAAGTAGTGCAGCTTCAATATCAGAACAATTCTTTCAACAGGCTTTAATGAGTGCCACTCAATATTCTGTACCAGATGTAAGTACTATTACAGATATAATTCAATCAACCCCATAATACTTATTTCTTCATATCATATAATGGATTAAATAAGCAAACAAGAAGTTTATAAAGTTGGTGGTAATTGTTACACAGAGCTCAAACACGATTAGACTATTGTTATCCGAGTACATGTATGTGCAGTCAGTTGCATGGTAATGCACATAAAAGTCTTACATAGGCTCTGCAAATTACTACTAGATAGTAATTTGAGCTTCCAATATTGTTTCTTAAATTACAAACTGTTTGGCAACAAATGTATTTTTCTATTGATGGGTGTATATTTAGGATCTTGATGCCTATCATGGTAATATATAGGCTACTAGTTACCCGTTGTTGCATTAGTGAAAACTTAGATCAAACTATTTGTCCCCCCAAATGAGAATGTTTCTCCATTTTTGTAACATCCATACTAACGCAATAATCATAAATTGTGAACTTTATCATAAGATACTGCACCAAATATAAAATAACATCACCATTAAATTTCTTGTAAAAAGAACCTGGTTGTTTATGAAGTTATTATGATATATATATAATGCTCTGTTTCCTATAGTGAACGAAGAAACAAACTTTCTCTTTTATATTGATATTTTCTTGTGGAATCCTTTAGACTTTTATTTTCTTCAAGCAATTATTCTTTCAATATTTTTCATTTTATTTTTTGGGGCCGACGAGGGAGTATTTTGATTTGTATTGATGTTAAATATGTCCTCTTGCCTTCTTTTAATATCTATCTATGAATGCTGCTCTGCATTAGCAATGTAATAAATAACATGAAAGAGTAATTTCCTCCCTACCATCCATCTATAATTGCAACACATGACACAATTATTATATGGAATACAAGATTTATTTCTGGCAGCGTTTCAACAAGACTTCTCTTGTCTTTATCAAGCAAACAATATTTTCACAGATCATGTCTGTTGTTAAAACGTTCTGTAAATGTTCTTTTTCTTTTAATATAGAGTCAATTACAACAATTACGTGACATGGGTATAACAGATGACAATCTAGCCAGACAAGCTTTGATGCAAACTGGAGGAGATCTAAATGCAGCTATTGAAATATTATTTGAAGACAGATCTTGATGTATGTACCTATATTAAAGATAATATTGTGGAATTGCTCATTTGGCTAACAAGGAACCCTGTTGAATTTTTTCAGTCACAAATCAGAATTATTCCCTGTCATGTTCTTATTTATATAATCTTGTAAATGCAATCCAGGTCAGAACTTGATAGGATTGTTCATTGGGGTATATAGAAAAAACCTAGCAATTTTCAAAGTTCGAAGTGTTTTTTTAGGCAAAGGTTTTAGAAGTAGCACGGACGACTTTGCTTGTGGTGGGAATATTACTTAGAGGGGTTGATCTCAAACCCCCATTTATATTTGAGAGGTTACTATGTTCACAAGACTGAATTTGTTGAGAATTAGCAATCCCCCCCCGACTGTTCAGTACACCCATCATATACACAATATTCTCCCCATGTGTTTATTGGTTGAGAAATTCGGTTCATTAATGTAGAGAACAAAACACTTTAATCAAAACCAACTCGAAGATTCAAAATCCTGGATGTTTTTTTTTTACCCATCAGCTATGCAATTATTTAAATTGTTCCACTACAAAGCGTCTGTGAGTAATGATATCCTACTCGTTGACATATGGGGGTTGAACAAGTAGTGGATAGGCATGTAGACATTTTGAAGTTTGAGAATTAGCATTAATTATGTATTTTTTTATTATTTTTTTTTAAGGGTATTTTAAAGGTTTGTAAAGGCTATACTTTTAATTTGGAACAGAACAGAGTCATTTCGTTTGACAGAAGTGAACAAGCCACCAAGAAAAGTAAAATGTACAATATTATCTTAACTACTTGAATAAGGTTAGAGAAAGGCTGGGACTGACAAGTCAACTTTAAAAAGTTTAATAGACATTGGTAAATGTATATGTGAATGAATGAAATGTGAATGAAATGTTGTAACTGTATGAAGAGGTCTTGTTAATAAATTAATTTATATATTGTTCTTGTTCTGATTGATTCTGGAATTGGTCTAAGCTGAAGTCAATATCGGGTATGTCCACCCCGAGCTCTTACACATGCCGGAGGTCGCCTTGGCATGGACTGGCACAGAGATCCCACTACTCGCTGTGGGATTGTTTGCCAAAGATTTTTGAGTGCCTGTGCACGGCTTGGGTTCATAGACATAGCGGGCCAATCCATAACACAGACATGATGATTGTTCAGAAAGTCTCTTGTCAACCTGGCAGTGTGGGGTCAGGCGTTGTCATGATGGAAAACCATCTGTTGACGGACATGCCATGTTGAGCCAGCAATAAAAGCAACACCGGACGAAGGGTGGCGTCAACATAATGTTGAGCGTTGAGATTGCCTTGGACCACCACCAACTGGGACCGAAAGTTGACATTGATAGCGGCCCAAACCATGACGCCACCTCCCCTGAAACGATCCCTTTCCAGCACGCAGTTACGAGCAAAGCGTTCATGTCGATGTTGGTAGATACGGTGACGTACATCGGGAAAACTGAGGTTGAATCGGGATTCGTCCAAGAAGATGGCATTTCGCCATGGTGTGTTGTGCAGATACCCCTGATTTGCAGCCCATTGCTGTCTGGCAAGTCGATGACGATGCAAAAGGATTTGACCTGATCTGACTGGTTCCAACAGTTCCCCTGGCAGTAGCTGACTGGAACCTGTTGCACAGATGCTGTAGTCGGATGTTGCAATCTTGAGCAGCGGTTGTTCCAGTGGCGTGGAAGCGTTGTGAGGCGAGCAATGGTCGATGGGTGGACATTAAAGTGTCTGGCGACGGCTACCTGTGAAGCCCCCCTGATCCAGCATGCCAGTAGCTCTGTTCCTGTTCTCTTGTGTAAGGTGTGGCATTTGTCCAAAGAGATGAATTTTTAAATTTTGATCTGTATTTAAAGGTCCAGAGTGCAGGGAATGCACATGCAAAAAGTGACATGGGACTGCTTAAATTCGTGAAAAAAGACAAATGTTGCATTTGCACGAACAAAGTTCATTACCGAGAACTGATATTGGGTTCAAATGCAGAACTCCACAAAAAGAGACCCATCACAAGTTTCACCTATGTGCCATAAAATAAGAAAGCCCAAGAAAACGTTTCCCAAAAATATTTCACGAATTAGGCATTGCGTTTTTAATGGCTTTGAGTGTGGGTTGACAATTAGCTGTCATGATGAGGATCATACTTCTAAGAGAGTGTTAATTATAGGACAATATAAAACATGAGTTTGATTTGACATGAATAATTTAAATGGAAACTTTGTCAATACATTATATTTTATTATAAAAATTACATCTATTTATTAAAGTTATTAAATGTAGCAATAATAACATACATGTACAATTAATGTTAAAATATGTTAAGAATTTAAATTTTATAGAAATTGTTTATTAAAATATGTAATGCATGAATGATTTTAAATAGTTATATAATACTGATCAATATTTTGTATAGCAAACAATTAATTTCAGGGGCCTTTTTTATTTTTTTTTTAAATTTTATTAGGCTATTACTAGACTACAATAAGATATGCATGCTTGAATAGAACAGTCAAATACACATTTAATTATGGAAGGATAACGTTGCCAATATTATTTCAATGTTGACGGTGCAAACTGCATATGTCAGCAGTTCAAAATACGTATTTTAGTTTTACAATTTGCAATTTCTATTGCTCCACAATGCCAATGTCCCAGTGTTAAAATACAGAATGCACTTTTCAATAATACAAAATACAGTATAATAGTTATTTTGCACATTACACTTCTCCATTCTGCATAATAGACAAATGCATAATATAACTGTCTTTTTGAAATGCTGACATATGCAGCTTGCACTATGAACATTGAAATAATATTGGCAACATTATCCTTCCATATTTAATAACATATACATTGATTATAAACATCTTCTGAACATAAAAACAGACAAAAAAAAATATTATGACTAGCATGGAACACACAGTTTCTTATATAAAATGCCCTATCAGTTACATGTAGGTAAAATTTACATAAAACCCATAAAAAGGTGAATACTTTTGGGCATTTACAAGCTTATTAAGGTTGCTGTCGTTTTCTGCAATTTTTAGACATTAGTCGAACTTGTCTCTCCAGTGATTTATCCAAATCTAAATTTACCACGTGGCTTTTTGAGTCGAGGATTATTTTTTTCTCTTTTTCATTGGTTGCTTCCATAATTGATTTTTCAGTAAATATCAGAACACGTTTCACTGAAAGAATAAAAATTAAATAAAGGGATTGTTAGACGAAAAAGACAGTTACATGTATATGGGTTCTCCTCTTTCATCCCCATCCCTAATCCCAGCACCATAGACCATTCCTTGTATACTGCAAATAAGCTGGATTGAATTTGACTTTCAAAATGGCCCCCATTTTTGTTCTGTGCACTCTGTGAGGGGATACTTTTGTTACACAGACTTGTCTATTTCAGCAGATTTCAAATTGTAAACGACAATTTGCATTCCATTTTAGTGTCACTAGCGGACTTACTTGATACTTTTCTTTTTTCAAATTCATAATAACAAGAGATGAATCTTCGAAGATAATTAATATGAAACATTAAAGAACCACAAAGCAATCAAATGGACTAAATGTTCAATGCTAGAAAATTATTATTATCAAACTCTCCTGTTGCTTTACGTGAAATGAGTCATTTATTCAGTTGATAAAAGACATGGTGCTGTATAGATATTGTGTGGTATATTGTGAGAAAATAGTTTAAAACTTAAAGAGTAATTCTCAGTAACATCAAGTAAATAAATATTGATGAAGTGCTCTTCAGAAAAGCCACGATTTGTAGTAAGTCTTGTGTAAGGAACACAATCAACAGAAATAATTACGTATTAACATGGGTCATAACTTTGAATGAAAAAACCACAGAGATTGTCTTAATATGAAAACACTAGAATCAGAAATTTTTCATGTTAACTGCAGCATTATTAAGACCTGACTTTATTTCATGCCTTCATATCAATCAGTGAAAGTGATAAAATTCTGCATGAATATAATTTGCTATGTTAGTAAAGACGGGTTGCCAGGCAACGAAACATACACCCCACAGCAGCTAAGTGGTCAAAACAGTCGACAAGGGTTGTCACACATTTATGTTTTTCTAGGTAATAGGAGCAATTAAAAGACACTGAATTCAATTTCATACAGATCTAATGTTTGCAAGGTTCACAAGGGTCATAACTGTAGAAGTTATTAACAGAAATTGCTTAAATTCAATAGGCTTCTTCGTTTTACTAATCTCAATGCATTTAAATTTAATACAGATCGGATGATAACTTTTATCATTAGAGCGTTCACAAGGTTCAACAAAGTGAAACAAGAACCATAATTTAATTTAATAGGATTAAACAATATATATAAATTTCAAACTGATCTGATAATAAATATAGTCTGCATTGATGCTATTTTGCCCATATATTCTGGACATATCCTACACTATTTCCCAAACGTCCAACCAGGTTATGGTGAATACTATTCAAAATTCCAAAATTAATTGACTGTACTGAGTGTATAACTACTACTCATCTCGATTATTGTTGATAATAGACTGCATTGATTAGGTAATTAAGTGATCAACGTATGTACTGCCTATATACCTACATGGCTCGAAATGTTTGCCTGTCCGCTTGTCGCTAACAGGCGATTTTTACGTCCGACAGGTAGCAAGCAAAACTTGATGACATGCAGAGGGTGGCTATGCTATTTTACCAGTGAGTAAAGTACCAATGTAGTTTTACAAAACCATTTTATAAAGAAGAAAACAATGTTTCGACATAACAAACTATTCTTATTTTGGATGTTTTGCTTTCATTTGCTGTGGTATAAACAAAGACATGCTTTCATTATATCACAAACTATTCTTATTTTGGATGTTTTGCTTTCATTTGCTGCCGTATAAACAAAGACACATAATTTTGGAACAATATTACTGGCCTGAATTTGAAGAAGGTACGGGTCGGCATGTTTTCATTCTATCGTATTATGAAAACACATAATTTTGTAGGAATATTACTGACATAAATTTGAATACTGTATGGGAATTAAATATGAACCAGCGGCTGCCAGGCAGATACGCACACATATTGAAAGAGCTGGATAAAGAACAAGCTAAACAAAAAGAGATTTTTCGTAGAATCAAGGGCCATAATTCAAGGAGTTACAATCCGATATGCACGAATACCGACAGGAACCAAGGTCTTTGAGTTATAAAGATATATTTCAAGTTTCATCAAAATCGGATATACCATATATTTACACTATTTGCGTTCGAGGGGCAGCCATTTGTCTGGCGTTTTTGGTCCCATTTTCACGAAATTCGAAATCAGCCGTTATTAGGGTGTAACAGTGATATATTCAAACGTTTTTTTTTCAATTGGATAAAAATTGTTACCTCTAGAGGGACCACAAGCTAAAACTGGGTTTTTCCGTACATTCAAGGGTCATAATTCAGGAAGTTATCGAATATCAAATGGAATCAAGATCTAGAGGGACCACAAGCTAAAACTGGGATTTTTCGTACAATCAAGGGTCATAATTCAGGAAGTTATGATCCGATATGGACGAATATCAAAAGGAATCAAGATCTTTGGGTTACAAACATGTATTTCAAGTTTCATCAAAATTGGATCAAAATTGTGACCTCTAGCGGGTCCACAATCTTGATATACCATATATTTACACAATTTGCATACAGGGGGCAGTTTTGGTCCAATTTGAACTCAGCCATCATTAGGGTGTAAAGGTGACATATTCAAACGGTTTATAAAATTGGATTTAAATTGTTACCTCTAGAGGGACCACAAGCTAAAAATGGGATTTTTCGTAGAATCAGGGGCCATAATTCAGGAAGTTACAATCTGATATGCGCTAATATCGAAAGGAACCAAGATCTTTTGGTTACAAACATGCATTTCAAGTTTCATCAAAATAAGATGAAAATTGTGACCTGTAGAATGCCCACAACCTAAAAACGTGATTTTTGCGTACAATCAGGGGCCATAATCCATGAAGTTATGGTCCAATATATGCTAATATCGAAAGTAACCAAGATCTTTGGGAGATAGACCTATATTTTAAGTTTCATCAAAATCAAATAAAAATTGTGACCTGTAGAGTGTCCACAAACAAATTGTGGCCAGAGTGTTCACAAGACATTAAGGATGGAGGTAGCAGCAATATACGTTGACATTTGTTATTTTAGCAAAAGGGGAGAAAAGACTATTAAAGTGATTATGTGACACAATTTTGTAAAGAGAAACTAGAAATTTATGCAATAGAATTATATTTCTTTTAACTCATGTCATCTCACCTTTCTTACTTTTTTCTACAAAGTATACACATAAACAATAATTATCCACATCTACTATCATATATACATTTAATAAACTATTTTTAAGACAGTCTCATACAGGTATGTCTGGTAGGTAGTCGTTAAGGTGAGCCACAGCATGCCACCCATGCAACATGCATTTCAGATGACACAACCGCGTCATCGCAAGAAGTGGTGATGTAGTACTAATGTCAGTCCAAAAATATAGAGTACAGCATTTATTCAACTCTTATAATACATTTATAATACACTATAATCTGATTTTCGAGTAACAACTCAAAGTAATTATCTGAAAGAGAGAGGAATGGGGTTTAATGTCCACTCGACGCAAACTAGGTCATTTTGAGACTAACACATGGTTCAATTTCATTTCAATAATTCGCTTGCGCATAGGGGTCTTTGCACTGGGAGGGAACCGGAGGACCCAATGAAAAACCCACGAGGTTGGACAGGCGACCCTACTAGTTGTCATGTACAACCGGGGATTCGAAACCACGCCAGTTGACTCAATGACAGACCTTATGATACAGCGCAAACGTGTTAACCATTCGGCTATCCAACCCCCCAGTAATTATCAGAAAATCATTAGTATACAAAACATTAATATCATGGATTTAGCTGTTCAAATTATCAAAAACCATTGAAAATCAATATACTTGTTTGTTTCAAGACCTTAAACTCTGTGTATCAATCCAAAGTTAATCGAAATGATTATAAATAGGCGTAAAAACAGTGTATAAATATAAAGTAAATCGGATATAAACTTTAACCTCTAGAGCGTCCACAAGGTTTTTCAAAGTGATCAAGGGCCATAACGCTGGCAGTAATTATCGGAAATCGTTGAAAATCACTAGGCTTCTTGATCTGATGACCTAAACCATTGTGTATAAATTTAAAGTCAATCGGATATTAACTTTAGCCTCTAGAGCGTCCACAAGTCATAAAGGCCCATAACTCTGGTGGCAGTAATTATGGGAACTAATTGAAAATCAATAAGATTCTTTGTCTCATGACCTTTAGCCTCTACATCGGAAATCAAGCAATTGTGGACCTCGGACCACAATATACAACCACATTTCAGTGTGGGCGAATAAAAAAGTAACTTTTGCGACTCCCCTGCAGAACATTTACGCAACCCAACTACCGACACTCTGCCTGTGCTACCTTGGTCTCACACATCACATGCTGACTTACACAAATATCAAACGTTAGGTGACACAAGGGGGTTACACAGGTAGCAGAATAGTCATGCACTCGGATGAGACAGGCTTCAGAGATGGTGATTTATAGAATAATAAAATGAAAAAGTTTCAAATTATTGAATATCTACTTACTTGGAGGATTGATCAAATTACAAGTACATGATTCTTCCATTTCTACACTAACAAACTCATCTATTCGTAGTTTTCTTTTAGGTTTTAAATCAGATTTCACTTTCATTGAAACTTTACCATTTCTTCCAGCAAGAGCCTTTAGAACTAAGATAAATAGATGGAAGTTTTATATTAATATGAGAAAAAGTCAGCACAGAGAACAGTTTCTCAAACGGCAATATCTTGGCAACAAAAAATATCATAGTAGATAATACTTTAAACTCAGTCCATCTTGATAATTGTCCATGCTTGTTCCCCAACCACTTATCTACAGGATATACACAGTCGTCCCCTTAAACAATTGGTCTGTTTCAGCAAGTTTAATGAGCACACAGCCCATGTCTAACATTTACCAATTATGTCTTCCTTGGTATCCCTAGTGGTCTCATTCCGTTCCAACTTCCACTCCAGAATACCCAGGGTTCATCCATGGGGTATTCACGTATTCAAATTATTTGCCCATGATCAAGGGACGGATGGACAGAGGTGACGCCAATATACATCCACATTTCCATGTGGGTGTATAAAAAGTGGATGTGACACGCCCCAGGGGGTCGGAGCATGCACCAAAATAAATAGTAGCTGTCTTTACGGTATACGGAATAAATATGCAAAGTTCCAAGATGATCCATTCAGAATTGCAGCCTGTAGATGATAAATACAAAAATTGGGCGTGGCTCTGCCCCTGGGGGTTGGATTTGGAACAATATAAATAGGTACCACCCTGGCCTGTTATGGAAATGATTGATATGCTGAATTTGAACAAAATCTGTTAATTATAGCGACCTGTAGAGTATTTAATTTTCCAAATTATCGGTAAGCTCTGCTCCTTCACTTGTCGCAAAAGATTGACGCCAGCCTCTGTAACCAGAAATTTTTTCAGTCATCAACCCGTACATCTATGCAGCTACTTCTTTGGAAATCGCCATCACAAATGAATACAACATTAATGTTTAATTCATAAAATTAAAATATATGACATACCTGCTCCGGATTGACATACAAGATTTAAAAGATCTTCTGGAGGGCTGTCAGTACATACTGGACACGAATTCTTTGAGTTAAATTCCTGGTGGGAGGAAAATACAATTTTATACAACCAATCACATGTTACTCTTACTGTTTGAAATAACAAAGACATTCCTATTTATTATTAAGATAAATTGAAATGTGATATAATCATTAGACTTTTGTGGAAAATTCAAATTAGTATTAAGCCATTTAACATATAATTACACACAATATGCAATACATAATAAACTATATGGATTCGTAAAAAAGCTATAAAGCTTATATTAATCTGTCTCCAAATGGTAATAAACAAAATAAAAATTGCATGTTTAAATTGCATAATAATTTGCATAAGAATAGTAAGAAAAGGATTAGTATAATATTGTGTCATCATCCCTGTTAATGCATTCACTGTGGCAACATTATCTTCATATTCATCCTCATCATAGCAGCTGCCAAGAGGCAAAGTATAAATAAGCCATTTAATCAATTCATGACGATAATTATTTTCTCCTTAAATTAGGGACAATTTTCAATAAACAGTAAAATGATAACAGTAAGGAATATGTTGATAAATAATTAAAAACAATAAAATTTAACTTACTCTGGCTGGACCCGGTTCACGTACAAATATAGGCACTTCTTTAAGATAAGAAAATAAAATCATATTAATATATTATTTATCAATATTAAGCATTAAGATGTTATTTATATCTCAAGTTCAAAGTTAGTAATGTACTGCTGCATCATCATTAGTTTATTTGTATTTATTAATTGGACCCAATTTAATGTTAATTAAAGTAATCTCAAACATTCTACAACACATAGACTTATATTGTTTTGGCATTAGAAAGATATAGCCCCATTTAACATACCTTCAATTCGTCTCTGTAAGAAAGGGTCTATTTGGATTTCATCTACTGGTGGTCCTCTAGGAATTTCTGCTTTTGTTCCACAAATGGTCTTTAATTCATATGATTTTACTGTTGTTATTTCTACAAAGAATATTCAATTGTGAATATACAATTAGACAGTATTCTACCTAATCAATTACCTCTTTTGACTGCAAATAAAGCTCAATCCACTATAAATAATCACATTAACAAGCAAAACCAAAATCAAATATTCCCATCTATAGTACAACCACATGCCTCATTTTCTGCAGACTCAATCCAAAGAAATTTTTCTAAAAACAACTTGGATGAAAAAAAAAAAATCACAGCAAATCTGGGGTCTGGGCAAAGTTTCCTCACTGATCAATGCATAGCGCATCTTCATTAACCCAATTGGTGCAGAAAAGAAAATTATAAAGATAGAAAGGCTTACCTTTTTCATAATACTGGAAGACTTGAACAGTAGCAGGTTTAGGAGCTGACACGGCTAAATCTTTATTTTGTTGAACATCGAATGTAAAACATCTGTTACGATTGTCCAACTAATTTGAGGAATAAAAGACAACTCATTAATTAATAGACACAAAACAATATTTTGAACAGGATCAAAGTGCATAATATTATAAAGAAAATTATGTCATAAGTATAAAGTCTGAATAATCCATAGGGCATTTATGAACCTACAGTTTTTGGACTTCAAAAGCTAATTCCAGCAAAACCTTCATTAGAATCACAACCAACCAATAATTTTCAAAGTTTATCAGCTAATTTGTCTCGTTTTAAAAAATCTTCTTCTACTAAAATCCAGAATTTTTGAACTGATATTAATTTTGACCAATATCTCAAATATTGAAAATAAACTTTATTAAGATTTTATTCTCTTAAAACATCACTCTTGCTTAGAAATTACTTGAGATGAATATATATTATATATAAACAAGATGACTAGTCATTACCATCCCGCGCCCTTGAACTTGTTTAAAAGGCATAAGGAAAAACAACTTCTTGGGACTAGTCAGAAGATTCATACTCTGATCATAGTAGCTCGGGAAGGCACAGTCGTTACTCCCTGTTAGGTTTGCACAACAACCTTTGCCTACCTCAATCAGCTGCTGTATGTTAAACATTAAGCTTATACATTAGAAAATAAAATAATAGTTTGATGTTTGTATAAAATTTTAAAAAGATTTCTCTGAATAGATAATCAAATATGCTTTAGAAATGAAATCGGGACAGAAAGAAGGTCATCAAAAAATAAAATAATAGGTTGATGAATGTAAAAGTGTTATAAAGGTATCTTGAAAAGTTTCTGAGATATGCTCTAGAATAATAATGATATACCAAAAATAATTCAAATGTGTAGTAAAAATCGTTCAACAGAGAATTTGTTTTCCATGGCAACGCAAAAATCACTAAATCCGACAAATTTCTAATTAGCAAAAGGCATAACTATTGTAATAGGATGATGTGTGTTCAAAGTTTCAAAAAGATATTTTGAACGATTTATGAGAAAAACTCAGGAAACAAAATTGTGCATAAAAACTAAGTCAAATTTGTTTCCATGAAAAAGGCACAACTAATGTAATAGGTTAATGTTTGTAGAAAGTTTCAAGAAGATTTCTTGAATGGTTTATGAGATATGCTCCGGAAACAAAATTGTACACCAAAAACTAAGATAAATTTGTTTCCATGGAAACACAAAAAATATAAATCCCAGAAATTCCTAAATAGCAAAAGGCACAACTACTATAATAGGCTGATGTGTGTACAAAGTTTCAGAAAGATATCTTAAATGGTTGTTATGTTCCAAAGTCTTGACCAATCAAATTGCTTATCGCTCCTTAGCCTAAGCAGAAAATGATATATAATCTATAGTCGGAGTTTCATCACTCTCACTTCATTATAACCAAAGTTATCATGCCCAAAGCATCAACTAATCATATTGCTTATCTCTGCTTACCGTAAGCATCCCTAACTTTGGCAGCCTGTCTACAGCTAGCTCCGCCTGAGAACAGCCCTAACCTGATTGACTGACATTTAAATTCCTACATCAACGATTTTAGTCGAAAACACTGAGTATGGTTTTAGAAATTTTTAGAAGTATTTATTTCTCTTCTATTTTCGTACTGAATGAAATCAAATATGACTATTTAGCCGTTGTGTGTATGAAAGATGTCAAACTGATCAGAGCGGAATCACGAAATAGTCCACTAATTATTCAATGTGGCGGCGCCCATGAAAGATAATTTCACAGAAGCAGTTTTGTTTGCGGAGGCAAATTTAGGAGTATCTAACCTTGTTTTAAATGATAAACAGATTGAAACTGTAAAGACAGTTTACAATGGTAAAGACTGTATTGCAATATTACCCACTAGCACATATCATATCGCTTTTACCGTAGTGGCAGAAGTCGACATTTTGCTAACTTGACATTTGTTTACATAAACCACGTGCTTCAGGTGTACAAAGCAGCAGGCCAGTCGATAAGTTCCGCCTCAAAATGATCATGTGAGCGTTTTAAATGAACGGCATTTAGGGCAGTGATGTATTCTCGAAGTATGATGTAGATGGATCGCTGCATGCAGTATGTACCGTAAGCAGACAATGTTGATCATCTAACTCCATCAAGGCATTCACCTAATGAATGCCTACACCAAATTTGAACATTCTACCTCAATTAGGAGAGTTATTTTGTTCCAAAGTCTCGGCCAATCAAATTGCTTACCATGAGCAGAAAATGCTTATTATCAAACTAAGTCAAGGTATTGATGTAATGAAACTATACACCAAGTTTCATCACTCTCACTTAAAAATTCATTATGCAAGAGCTAAATCTGTCTATTGCAGGTCTTTCTTTAGGCCTGAAATTTTATCTAAATTATTAATTAGACATTAATTAACCTATCCAGACCATAATCAACTCTAGATGGCATCGCTAGCCTGTGATCTTTAGTGGATTATGAGCCGATTTACTGCACAACTTTCCTTCACGATTTAACGATTAAATAGATAATCAAGACTATGCTGTTTATCATACTGACTTTAGTAATGATGATCGAGGCTAGGCGGAAATTTCAACCTCTTAGTTCTCGGATCATAGTGGATCCATTTGAATGAAATTTTCAGCAAATTGCCTTTACATTATCTAGTTTTTAACTATTATAGTGAGAACTGCCAATTCGTTATCGAATCTCCCATAATGTATCTTTAATTAGAACTAAAGTTATCGTGTCCCAAAGCATCAACCAATCAAATTGCTTATCTCTGCTTACCCTAAGAAGAAAATGCTCATCTTCGAACTCCATCAAGGCATTGACCTAATAAACACCTACACCAAGTTTGAACATTCTAGCTCAACTTGAGAGAGTTATTGTGTCCCAAAAAGTGTGACGGACAGACAGAAGGATGAACAGACAGACAGACAGAATTGCATGAGTGACTTGATAATAGTGACGATGATTTACCACAATAACTTCAACCAGTAAATAGACATGGTTATCTAGGCAATGACAGCATGAAATTTGGCAACTTATGTTCAATCGCATATGGAAACTAAAGGTTAATATTTTTTTGAGAAAGCATCACAAAGTCTCAGGTCTAGGAGAACAGTTTCTATGAGCTTTATTCACTAAAATCTGACACAAATAAAATCTGCTTACCTTATCAAAATAAAAGCTTATTGATCCATCTTCATCACTTATTTCATATTTCTTCAAACTCAACATTGAAAACATACTTCGTAGCTAAAACAAAACCATCACTATTTATGATAATGTACTAACATTTTGAAAAATTTTCAAAGGGTCTCTTTGTCGTTAGTATTAGTGAAAAACAATGGGATAACCATCTCCAAAAATCATTGGAGAGAGAGAGAGGGACATGGAGTTCAATGTTCACTCAACACAAACTAGGTAATTTCGGGACTAACAAATAGTTCAAGTTTATTTCAATAATTTGTTTGATCGTAGGGGTCTTTAGCTGTGGGAGGAAACAACAGGAAAAACCCCACGAGGTTGGACAGGATAACCTACTCCTTGTCATGTATAATAAGCAGGGAATCAAACCCACACTACTTGACTCAATGACAGACCTTGTGATCTTATGCACATGTGTTAAAACCATTCGACCACCCACCCAAATTCATAGGTAATTTTATGTTAATTTAGAAGGTTTTGAACCTAATTTCATGTCTCTTATTTGTTAAATGAACAGAAAGATAGATTTGTTTCACAGACATGTATGACAATAATACACATGATCACACAAATCTTACAAATATTAAGAATATGACCAATACATATATTAAAGTTAATAAATTCTATTACCTTTTTCAAGGACTGTGTAACAGGTGACCATCCAGTTACCATAGAAACAGTAATAAGGCTCATACCATCAGTGTTACCATCTTTCTTTGTATAACTGGAGTAAAGAAGAAAACAAGAAATTAGTCTTATTCCTTTAACTTAGTATAAACAGTTTAAGTAAAGGGGAGTGTTGACTGGAGGGCTGTCAGGGGCCTGAATATTAAAGTCCCCCCCCCCAAATTAGTTCTAGTAAGCCTGTTTTATATAAAATATATAAATTTATTGTTTTATTTATGATGTTGTATATGTTTGTGCCAAATAAATCTATATATCTAGTATATTGACATATTGATTGCATTTGTGTGAGTGTGATGGCCAATGACTAGAATATGACCCCTTTTCACTGTTGTTGCAAGGGTTCCAGTTACATTATCAGCCAGGGACCCCATGTAAGCTTAATCCAGCCCTGAGTAAAATACATCACATCATATCAACGATCGGCTTCATGTAGAATCACATTTCACTACACAGACATTAAAGAAATAGTCCTGCCATTGCCGTTTGGCCAGTGGGCTAATTAAATATCTCTGGATGGCATCAATGTTCAAATATAATGATGGAATTTGATATTCGAATTTACTTGAGGTAATGGAGTTTTATGAAAATCACAATTGCTTACTGTTATTGCATTTCAAATGATCAACTAATCAGATTGCAGTCAGTTCACAGAATATGTGCAAATTACATTAATACAATTGAGAATACAAGTCCAATTTTAGCTGATATCTTTGCATGAGAAGTAAAGTTATGGGTCAATTAAATATGCACAGACAAGTGTTGATTCTCAAACTTAGGCAAACATAATGCAGGTATGTTCCAAGTTATATCAGAATTCATTCACTAGAAATTAAAGGACAATATTGGTGTCTGTCATTATCACATATGTGATAGTACTGGTTAAACATGTTTCAAATATAATTTAACACAGAGATCATTGCTACGATAGATACGTTATGGAGATTTCAAGAAAGGGAAGTTATCCTTCTATATAACTGACTGAAGTGAAGAGAGATAACAGATACACGGGTGAATTTCTGCTCACTAATAATTCCTTTCGCAGACCAAAAGTTGTTATATGAGACTGTGAGATGGTATCTGACAATTCAAAAAAATAACTGGCTGTCACTAGACAAGAGAAAATGAGAAAAATAAAAAAAAGTCTGTTCATTACCATGTTTTTATTAAGTATACAATGAATAAAAACAAGGGAATGTATGGATTATTTCTTTTTTTCTCGTTTTCCCTTATTACATTTTTGAATTATCAGATATCCTCTCACAGGATAACTTGTGTTTTCCTTTTGCATTCGTCACTTCCCTTTCTTGAAATCTTCATAACACATCTATCATAGCAATGATCTCTGTGTAAAAATTATATTTGGAACTTGTTTAACCAGTTGTATCACATATGTGACAATGACTGACACACATATATTGTCCTTCAAGTCACTGCCTTTCAAAAAGAGTGGCAGAATAATGAAAGGACCCAATTTAATAGCCCCTACTTTTGTAGCAGAACATGATTTTATATTGTGAATGACAATGACATCCAGACCATATTAGGATATCAAATGTTTTGGGCTTTAGTGTAGGCAAACTTTTCTATATTTACTCACCTGACACAAATTTTTAACCTTTTCACGCTACAATCATTATCTGGTCTTGATGTTTTTACAGTTAAGTTGAATAGTGGTTCATCATTGTCTAGATCTTCTGGTTGTTTGTTATAGCGCACATTAGCTTGCACTAAAGCACAACCAGCTCCAGCTGCTTTAGCACGTACAATGTTCGGTAGCTGTGTAAGTTTAACTTTTTGTAGAAGTAAACTATTATCAGTATTAATTTTAACAACTGATTGTAGGTCATCTCCAGACAAATAAATAGTTAATCCTTCTGTAACATTTCCTTCTTCATTATCAACATGCAATATGGTAGCAAACTCAGATAAAGCATGTAGACCAACAACTGTATCCTAAATACAAAAGAAGAAAAATCAACAAAGACATTCTGAACTCTTTTCAGCATATGGAAATGAAACGGGGTTTAACATCCTACTTTTCTACACCATTAACTGGGCTAATGCAGACAAACATAAGTTGAGGAGTGTACTAGCAGGGAAATTTGCCTGGACAGTGATGCTACAACCTACTCTTATTTCAAATTCCAACTGTCGATGTTTTTTTTATTGTTTTTTTTTACGTGCACACCAATGTGTACGACGTACATGCTTTTTTGTCCCATCCGAATGACTACATGCTATTCCTTTCTAAGCCGTCCATCCTGCCCCATTGACAGGGGGAAAACACACTATAAAATCATGAGAAGCTTTCTCGGCCAACACTGTGAGAAAACCTGAGAACTCCTGGTTAGGAAGCCAGCTCCATTCAAAATATGGAGTGTTTTATCAAATAACTAAATTTTTGCTTTTTCATACATATTTCAGATTGCCTAAAATGTATGTTTCAAATGTTTCAGTTCTCTGGTAAATATGTCCTACCTGGGTAGAAGCATATCCTCCAAATGCATTACGTTGTTTGGACATCCACATTGCAATGGGCAGATATGCTCCAACTCCATTTTCTTCATAAAATAACATTGAAGCCAGCATAGCATAAGCTGTCATTTCTACCTCAGCTGATGGAACATTGAAATGAAAATAATTTTCTGGTTTGGGTTCTACCTTCTTACGTCCCCAGTGTTTTAGCGAGCCTAAAAAATAAAAAAGATGAAGGTACAATGTCATTAAATATCGTGAATGTATCATGTTTTCTTAATGAAACAAGTACGATAGTACTATATAAACCAAGAACTGTGCATGACGTCATCACTGATATCTTTGAATTGTGATGTCAAAAATTAAAGTCCAAGGAACAAGCATGCAAAGTTCCAAGTCGATCATACTTAAATTGTCGAAGCCTGTATTTGAAAAACATCACTTCAGAGAAGAACAAGAAGATGAACTTGTACTTACCATCTACAATGGCTTTTTCATTTAAAGCTTCCATTGTTCTCTTGGAATGATCACTATCTGCATCAAACAAAACGTTAGCATACGCTACTATGGCCTTAGTATAGGTATCATCAGTATTTTCTTGAAGATTCAAACACTTCATTGCCATTGTCAATGCTGAATTCTGCAATGAAGGATATGGTATACAGGATAAAACAGGGCATTAGTTTCTAAATACACATAAATTAAGATAAGATAGGCTGCAAGGCAACGAAACATACGGTCACAGCAGCTAAGTCGTCCGAGCAGTCAACAACAGTTGTTGCATATTTTTTCTATTATCGGTAATGAAACATTTATAATACACTAAAATCTGATTAAGAGTAACAACTCATGAAGTAATTATCAGAGAATCATTAGAATTTGTTTGGCTTTTAGTTCTGCCCCATGCTAACATTTAGTATACAAAACATTTAATATCATGGATTTAGCTGTTCAAGTTATCAAAATTCATTGAAAATCAATATCATAATTCATCTCAAGACCTTAAACTCTGTGTATCAATCTAAAGTCAATCAGATGATAACTTTGGTCTCTAGAGCATCCACAAGATTTTTCAAAGTGATCATGGTAGTAATTATCGGCAATCATTGAAAATCACTGGGCTACTTCGTCTCATGATCTTAAACACTGTGTTTAAATTTCAAGTCAATCGGATATTAACTATAGCCTCTACAGTGTCCAAAAGATTTTCCAAAGTGATCAAGGGCCATAACTCTAGCAATAACTATTGGAAATCATTGAAAATTAACAGACTTCTTCATCTCATGACTCTAAACACTGTGTACAAATTTCAAGCCAATCCGATATTAAATTTAGCCTCTAGAGCGTCCACAAGATTTTTCAATCTGGCAGTAATTATCGGAAATCGCTGAAAATCAATAGGCTTCTTCATCTCATGACCTTAAACACTGTGTATAAATCTAAAGTCAATCGGATATAAAATTTAGTCTCTAGAGCGTCCACAAGATTTTTCAAAGTGATCAAGGGTATGACTCTGGCAGTAATTATCGGAAATCCCTGAAAATCAAAAGGCTGCTTCATCTCATGACCTAATTAAACACTGTATAATTTTTAAGTCAATCAGATATTAACTTTAGCCTCTAGAGCGTCCACAAGCAATTGTGGACGCCGGACTAACGGACGGACAGACGGAGGCGACGACAATATATGACCTCATTTCAATGTGGGTGTATAAAAATTGATCGATCTGAATAATTTTTGGACCAAAATGTTTTTTTTAAATAAAAGTAATTTGGATAATTTATGGTGACAAGCTCTGTATTTGACCTTTGTTCTGACTTGTTGGTGCTTTAATGAATAGATAATAACTAAGCCTGCTCCCTCACTCTTGTTTCCAATCTCCTCTACAAGCAGAAATGAAACTGTAGCATTATCACCCACAATTTGTATTATCATACTATAGATTGGATCATATTGTGCTTTCCATTGATTTAAGAGTTTTTGATTGATGCTACATAGTTTCCCTTGTTGTAAGTACCAAGCCTTGCCCCTAAAAGCTGACTTTCATAGAAATGTTATAAGATCATTTGTTAAATAGAATATTCATAATGACTAGCCCTTTAAAGATTTGAACTACCAGGATATGATCTTTGTTTATTTTCTTTTACAATCAAATTCAAATTTAATTCTGCTGTTCTTAAGAAAGAATGGGTGACAAAAATTCAATGTATGAACAAATCAACAAGCCCATCCCTTACTCTATCTACATGTACATATGAAATTTTGTTGAAATCAGCAGAAGTGAAAATTGTAAAATACGACCTTGGACTAATGAGTTAAAAATAGAAACTTATAAGATTTTAAATGTAAATTATTTATGACTGACAGAACTAACAAGCTACACTTGATGTGATACAAATAGAACCTTATAAGATTTTAAAATTAGGAATCAAGTTTGAACAATTACTCACATCCTTTGAAATATTAGCCTCCAGTAATGAGATGATCACATAAGCAGTAATTGCTGTAATATCAGCTTCTGAAGATGTTTTACTCAATCCTCCCATCATATAGGAACTGAATACTTTTCCCACTTCTCGAAAGCAACCGTTTTCCAGCTGAGTGGACATTAAAAAGGTAACACTTTTTTCTAAATCTTGTGAATCAATGTAAATGTAGTCCTTGGCTTGAGCAAAAGACTGGACAACAAAAGCTGTTAACCATGTGCTACCAGAAGCATCTGATTTACCAAATGCGCTGTATGAGCCATCATCATGTCGAAATGTTAATTCTCTCTGATAACCTAAATCAAAAGCATAAAATTTTGTAAATAGAAAATGTCAATTTTAATTCTAGACATATTTAACCCTTTAATGTTATCTGAAACTGAACGTAAAATAATGTGTATCACATGAAAATATAGCAAAATGTAGAATTTCATTCAAGGTCAGTCTCCTGATTTTATCTTCCTGCAGTTATCAGAAGTCTGAGACATGTATTAGTCTTTTTTGTCTTTACAGCAATGTTTTCTTTTGAAATGATATGTCAAATTCTCACTTCAGATCATGAGCAGAACATGGTACATGCAGAATGTGGTCATGCAACTCAACTGAGGACGGCCGACTAAAGCAAATTCATGCAAATTAATATAAATTAATACAAATTATGCTATGATAAAAAGGAAATGCAACTAGTATGCATCACAACTATATCAAGGATAAGTAATACATATATAATATTTATCTACATACCTATTTCCATATAATGTTTAGCAAGAGTTTCAATTGCGTCTGTATTCTGCTGAACACTGCTGAGATATTTTAAAATATAAATATTTGGTGTAAATTTAACCATAGTCTGTTCACCACATCCAGTAGGTTGCGATATAAGACTGTCAAGATTTGATAAAGCTGGTCCCATAATATCACCTGAAATTATTAATACATATTTCGGCAGAAATATTAAGAAAAAGAAAGGCACATTCATTAACGTATTAATAATCCATTAATAATTCAAATAAATATTTAGATTTGTTTTTTTAATCCTTTAAATATGAAATTATTTCCAGTGTTACATCATACATTGTTGAATAATGAGACCCCATGTGTATCTATAAAATCATATTTGGTAGAACTATCTCAAAGAATAATAAATTGAGAATGCTCTAAGGTCATTTATAGGACAATCCAGAGACTAATCACTGCATATGACCGGAGTGAATATCTTTGCCTTAAGACTTCAGAAATCAATCTTTTAAGACGAAAATAATTAATTTCAAGATTTAAATTTGTAAATGTTTTGTTAAATCTTAATATTTTCAGAAACTTGCATTAAATGAACAATGTAATAATTTTAAGTAATAGTATTGTGATACTATCTTGTCACATGCCTAAAACAACATGTGTCATTTTTCCAGTCCCTATAAAGGGTTAAAGTGCTTTTAGCTGTGGAAAGTCATCCCTGGAAAGGATTAAATGGCTTTTATCTGTGGTGTTTCCTTAAAGGATTAGTCAGATGCTCGGTGATTAAAGCACTGGCTCATTAACTAGGAAGTTTGGGTTCAATCACGGTGTTGGCCAAGAAAGGTTCCTCATATTTTCCAGCGTGGTTTGCCCTTGTCACTGGTGCAGGATGGTGGTCCTGGCAAAGAAAAGGGTCTAGTCACTCAGATGGGACCAAAAAATGAGATCCTGTGTACACAATGACGTGCATGTAAAAGAATCCTTGACAGTTGGATTTCAATTCTTATCCTGGTAAAATTCCCTCTATGTACATCTTTATTAGCCTGGTAGGTACAGGAAAGTAGGATGTTAAACCCCATTTCATTCATTCATTAAAGGGTTAGCAACAAGTATCAACTAAAGGTAAATAATTTACCTATGACAGCGATTTCACCACGAGCAGAATCCAGGACAATATCATCTGGTATTGGTATATCAAAATCTTCTATCTGTTCTGCATCTAAAAAATACAGTAATAATACAATCAGAAGTAATTCAAATGATACATAATTAATATCTATCTCTTTTTTAATCAAATTCACCATACTGCTCAAACATTTTTATTTCTAGAATATTAAATTGGCCATTTTTTACATGTAAAATGCAATAAAAAATTCGACTTACCATTGGGACATATGTATTTGCTGTATGAAAATTCTTGGAGAACACCCTCTGACTGTAATAAAATGAAAGATTACATATCTAATTTCAATTTTCAAACATTTAGTTAGTAGTGACCAATAATTTTATTTCATCAATAATATAATCTAAATTCTTTAAACATGCTCAGCTCCTAGGCTATTTTCTTAAATAGACAATATGGTCGACAATATGCAATGATTGAGGAATTTATTAATACAGTGGATTCTGTCACTTCCAACATCTGAATATTACGGAATTCTGTGAAATCTGTCATCATTTTCATGTCTCGATTTATTTCCTTATTACTTCAACCAAAAAAGTTTTGATTAGTCTGTAATCTGAATATTACGATATCAATCAGCGGTCCCGTCACACGATTTGCGTTCAATTAACATTGGATAATCCGGCCTTCAATCAGTGGGTGTTAACAAGCAATCACCAATCAATTATCTGCGAGCATAAAACACGTGTCAGTTTTTGTTGATTACCTTGATAATGTTATAATCTCTTGTAAGAGAGCGCTTGGTATTTGATTTGAGTTTCTCAAGTCAATTCATAATGTGTGATCATCCTGCAAAGCGTGCCCGTACGGATTTGACATTATAGCAGATTTTGAGAAAATTCCATGACCTACAGAGAAGGAATTAGCCATTAAGTATTCAATAGTCTTACTACAGTATCCAAAATTTTAAAGCGAAAAAAAAATTCAAACCAGAAGTTTGCCAATAACTTTAACAGCCGTAAGAAACGATTTTACTTGAACGCTAAGTTTGAAGACATCAAAAGAATGACACATGGGTGGTTCAAAGGCATGGACAATGGTACAATAATACTTCTGGTATAATACTTCTGGTATTAAGGCAATTGAGTATTCCCACGTGCTGTGTAATCCAGCATATTTTATCGATCCTGTACAATGTCGGAATTGACTGTATATCCACTGTATATCTAAAACTCTACCTTAACAGAAATATTTCTTTGTGCTGTGTCACTTCTTCCAATATACTGTGTATCCATCTCTACTGAATTATCACATAATCCAGGAACAATTTCAGCCTGTATTAAACAAATTCTTTCGTTATATTGTAATTTTGACATCTTTAATATCTGTTTACCCCACAAAGTAAAGAATGTTGCTGTTTTAATGAAAGCATCAATTCACATTCAAACAGAACAAATGTTTTATAGACCTAATTTGTGAAATTCTTCCTTGAAGTATTTCAACTGATTTTACAAATACAACACAACAATGATTCAACATTTTGATTTGAAACTTTCTGACAAGGTAATTGGGATATTTCTTCGAATTTTGGTGTTTAATTTGCATACTTAAACCCACTTTTATTTCTGTGAAATCTGGAACTATCCCTCTCAAGTACATGTATACATATATTCAGTAGTAACTTACAGAAGCTGTTATAGGTAGATGACCAATTTCTTCAGGAATAATATAATATTTTTTGGTATTACTTTGACCACCACAAAGACAGAATGGTGCATTATTAGATTCGCCATGAACAATTACTATTTCATCATCAGACACTTGAATATTCATCTGCATCTGAAACAATGATAACAATTCATATCAAATCTATTTTACTGGATTATTTACATATATAGCTTTTTATTACACAAGAAACCTGAATAGCAATTAATCCATTCATTAGAATGAATTTTAAGATCCATTTGAGCTAACTTGGTTCAATATTCACTGTTTTTAGAAGTAGACATCCCTTAATTATTTATAGCTGACCAAGCAGTACTCTGAATTTGTATGTGCCAGTGTGCCTTCCTTTTCAAAAGATAGGCTGCCAGGCAACGAAACATGCACACAGCAGCTAAGTCGTCCGAGTAGTCAACAAGAGTTGTCGCATATTTTTTCTATTGTCGGTAATGAAACATTTATAATACACTAAAATCTGATTATGAGTAATTATCAGAAAATCATTAGAATTTGTTTGGTTTTTATAAAGTTCTGCCCCATGCTAAAGTTTAGAATACAAAACATTTAATATCATGGATTTAGCTGTTAAGTTAACAAAATTCATTTAAAATCAATATAATTGTTCATCTCAGGACCTTAAACTCTGTGTATCAATCTAAAGTCAATCGGATAATAACTTTAGTCTCTAGAGCATCCACAAGATTGTTCAAAGTGATCGAGGGCCATAACTCTGGTAGTAATTATCTGAAATCATTGACAATCACTGGGCTTCTTCGTCTCACAACCTTAAACACTGTGTATAAATTTAAAGTTGGTCAGATAGAGCCTCTAGAGCGTCCACAAGATTTTTTGAAGTGATCAAGGGCCATAACTCTGGCAGTAATTATCGGAAATCGCTGAAAATCAATAGGCTTCTTCGTCTCATGACCTTAAACACTGTGTAAAAATTTAAAGTCAATCGGATATTAACTTTAGCCTCTAGAGCGTCCACGAGCAATTGTGGATACCACACCGATAGACAGGGACGACGACAATATACAACCACATTTCAATTTGGCCGTATAAAAATGAAATGAAATGAGAGTTTAATTAACGTCCTACTGTTCTGCTCCGACTGGTCATATGCCATACGGTGTGCTATGAGGGAAGATTTGCCCACTCTTATATCTAATTTACGTGCACACGGGGCCTCGGTTTTTCATCCTATGCGAATGACTATACATTGCCCCTTGTCAGGCCCACTGTCCTGCACCACTGAAAAGGGGGAACCATGCTGCCCCCCTTCCTGTTCAAACATTGACTAACTCATAAACAATTACCACCTGACAGCATTTTACCATTAGTCCTTTAACAGATAAATGTCCCAGGTTTGATCCATGTGATGGTCAAGAAAATTCCTCAGGATTTTCGGCCATGGTTTCCCAATATCAGTGGTGCAGGATGGAGGGACTCCCTCACAAGGAACATTGTCTAGTCATATGGATGATACAAAGATAGGTTGCCAGGCAAGGAAACATACGCCCACAGCAGCTATATCGTCCGGGCAGTCAACAAGAGTTGTCGCATATTTTTACTTTTTTCGGTAATGAAACATTTATAATACATTAAAATCGGATTAAGAGTAACAACTCATTAAGTAGTTATCAGAAAACAATTAGAATTTGTTTGGTTTTTATAAAGTTCGGGCCCATGCTAACGTTTAGTATACGAAACTTTTAACATCATGGATTTAGCTGTTCAAGTCATAAAGATTCATTGAAAATCAATATACTTGTTCGTCTCAAGACCTTAAACTCTGTGTATCAATCTGAAGTCAATCGGATGGTAACTTTAGCCTCTAGAGCGTCACAAGATTTTTCAAAGTGATCAAGGTCCATAACTTTGGCAGTAATTATCGGAAATCGCTGAAAATCAATAGGCGTCTTCGTCTCATGACCTTAAACACTGTGTATAAATTTTTGAAGTCAATCGGATATTAACTATAGCCTCTAGAGCGTCGAGAAGATTTTTCAAAGTTATCAAGGGCCATTACTCTGGCAAAAAATATCGGAAATCGCTGAAAATCAATAGGCTTCTTCGTCTCATGACCTTAAACACTGTGTATAAATTTAAAGTCAATCGGATATTAACTTTGACCTCTAGAGCGTCCACAAGATTTTTTGGAGTGATCAAGGACCATAACTCTGGCAGTAATTATTGAAAATCGTTGAAAATCTATAGGTTCTTCGTCTCATGACCTTAAACACTGTGTATAAATTTAATGTCAATCGGATATTAACTTTGACCTCTAGAGCGTCCACAAGATTTTTTGAAGTGATCAAGGGCCATAACTCTGGCAGTAATTATCGAAAATCGTTGAAAATCAATAGGCTTCTTCGTCTCATGACCTTAAACACTGTGTATAAATTTAAAGTCAATCGGATATTAACTTTGACCTCTAGAGCGTCCACAAGATTTTTTGAAGTGATCAAGGGCCATAACTCTGCCAGTAATTATCGAAAATCACTGAAAATCAATAGGCTTCTTCGTCTCATGACCTTAAACACTGAGTATAAATTTAAAGTCAATTGGATATTAACTTTAGCCTATAGAACGTCCACAAGCAATTGTGGACGCCGGACGGACGGGGGCGACAACAATATACGACCACATTTCAATGTGGGCGTATAAAAAGCCATGGTCCTGTGTATAAATTGGAGTGCATCATCAGACACTGATCCTGTTAATACCACAGATGCTGATAATATTTACACTTACCATCACACATTTATCCAGATAATTAAATACAGTTATTCTGATGGGCAGACGTTCTCCTCGAATTGCAGAATAAGGCAGTGAAAAGGATAAGAAAAACGGTTGGAATGTAGTTAGTGATGTTACTGGGGCAAATCCAAAACCCACTTCTTTACTCGTGCAAATAGTATTACCAATCCATTTGGTTACCGTGTGGGGAGCAGCTTCCATTATTATCAATTGACCATCCTCACTAAAAACAAAATGTTTACAGAATTTTAAACAAAATCTTTTAAATCTTAGCAGAGCAAATTAGAATTTCTAAGACATATCATATCCTTATAAACCAGTAAGAGAAATAACATTATTTTAAAAGAGACAGTAGGCCAAATGCATAAAAAATAACTTTAAATGTACAATGATTTAATTTAATAAATTTTGTGTTTACCGGTACTTTTTTTTTTATATACCTCATTTTATGTACATTTTTTTTTTTTTTATAAAATTAAATACACTGTCCACATTAATACAATGTGGCACCTTCTTTGTATCCGACATTAATGGCAATTTCATGCTCATTTTAAGTTTTTATTGAATTAGTAAAAGTGCAAGTTAAAGATTAATATTGTTTAGATAAGGTCATCTATTGTGAGTTTTGTATGTGTAAAATAAAGGGCATACCCAATACGTTCAAGCTGCCATAACCAAGTTTCTGGAAAAAACCTGCGAACATTCTCAGATTGTGCAGTAGATTTAACAGATGGACTGGGAATGGAGCTTAATGCTATCTGAGGTACAGACGTTTCTAGTGTTCCAAGTGCTGGAAGAGGTCCATCTTTAAGAAGAGAAAAGTGCACAAGTTTTAGTAAATGAAATTATAATAAAGATTTTCACATCAATGGAATGAATAAGGTCCACTTGATTTCACTATCACAAAGGATACAGTAAATAAGGTTTATTGTTTTGAAATATACTTTTACCTGCATGCAGATTAATTAAAATACAATTTTGTCACAGATGTGATCATTTTGTTTAGAAACTTGTCTTATTATCAGTAATTACTTGTTTTTCAATCTCAATAATTATATCCTTATACCGAGTCACTTTTGTGATCTGAAAAATCAACTAAGTCTGTATTTGTCCAAAACATCAGACTCTTGACATGTGATGGTTTTCGACATGGCAGAGTTAGTTTCTGAAATTTCAACATTTTATTAGGCTTCTCAAATTGATTCCCTCTCTGAAACATTTTATAGCTTGATCGAAAACTTAAAGATGTATCCGATACTTTTATGTGGAAGTTTTGTCTAAAAAAATATCACCTATTGATATAGCATGTTGGCAGAAAATGTAGAAATATCAAGACATGCTAAATCTATTGTTTTGTACACAACTTAAGATAAATATCTTTGGAAAGGTAAACAATTCAATGGGTGCATAACATAATTCAGAAAATTCTCAAAAATAGGTGAATTATTAAAGTATTGAATGAATACCGACATGATTGTCAACCATCACAAACACCATCAGACAGGTTTAAAAAGAATTAGACACATCTAACTATGTCTGTAATGAGTTAGTTAAAAGATTGTATATTAGTTGAAGAGTGAACTGATTAGTTAACAGTCAGAATAAACTGTCCTGTACTCTACCCAATTTTCTCAAGGCTCCACAGCCATGTTTCTGGGAAATAATTTCTGATTATGTTGTCATCTATCGATATTGTGGAACTAGAAGGATTGTTTTTCACATGTTGATGTTTTTTCTTTAAAAAGGTCCTCCTACTAGGACTATGTTGCATAATTGGCATTCCTCGACCCAAAAAAAAAAAATATATGGATGGAACCAAAAGCAAATTCAACAATAAACACATTGTATCTGTCACACAATGCCACAGATACACTCGCCGGCAGTTTAGCGAAGAAGTGTTTCCCTTTCAGGATCTGAATGGTTCAGCAGAAAATCTGGAATCCTCTAATCTGTTGAGCTTCTACATGGCTGTGATGATAGGAGCCATACCACAACTCGCATCAAATTCATGACAAACAATTCTGATATGGTTCATATTTCTAAGCGAGAGAGAGAGAGAGAAATAGGGTTTAACGTCCACTCGACACAAACTAGGTCATTTCGGGACTAACACATGGTTCAATTTTATTTCAATCATTCGCTTGCGCGCAGGGGTGGGAGGAAACCGGAGGACCCGGAGAAAACCCACGAGGTTGGACAGGCGACCCTACTCCTTGTCACGTACAACCGGGGAATCAAAACCTCGCCACTTGACTCAATGACAGACCGTATGATACAGCGCGCGCGTGCTAACCATTCGGCCATCCAACCCCCCTCATATTTCTAAGCAGAAAATGCTCATCCTTGATCTCCATCCAGGCATTTACGAAAATATCAACAACATCAAGTTTGAACATTTTACCTTAATTAGAAGCAGAGTTATTGTTTCCCCAAAAAGTGGGAATGACAGTCATTCAGACAAACAGGCAGACCCATTTTAATAGTTCCTTGACCTGGTAAGCTATCATGGGTAGTAACTAAAAATCGGTTGTCTATTGTGTAATACCAAATTTTACTCACCTCCATCATAGGCATAAAACTGTGGTGTGATTCTAGATACAGAACATGGTCTTGTCTCTAAAACCAGATTGGTCATAACTAATAATCCCATTGACTGCAATATATTATAGATTGACCCAATATATTATAGAACAATTCATTGTCTCAGTAATAAACACTATACATCTATACATAAAGATAGTTTATAAAGATAGGTTGCCAGGCAACAAAACACACGCCACGGCAGCTAAATTGTCTGAGCAGACGTTGTCGTATATTTAATCTTTTGTAGGTAATGGGGGGCATTTACAAGACAATTTCATACAGATCAGATTATAATGTTCGTCCTTTGGGGGTTCACAAGGTGCTACAAACTGAAACAAGGACGTTAACTCTGGAAGTAATATTCAAAAATTGTTGAATTTGACAGCGTTTTTTGTTTTACTAATATAACTAATGCATATAAATTTCATACAGATCAGAAGATAAAGTAACTAGAGAAATAATTATTAGAAATTGCTGAAATTCAATAGGCTTCTTCGTTTCACTAATTTAAATGATGCAAATTTCATACAGATCGGATGATACCTTTCATCATTCAAGCGTTCACAAGGTTCAACAAAGTTAAACAAGGGCGATTACTCTAGAAGTAATTATTGGAAATTGCTGAAATTCAACAGGCTTCTTCTTCGATTCACTAATTTACATTATGTGTATAAATTTCATACAAATTGGATGATAACTGTTGTCGTTGGAGCGTTCACAATATGAAACAAGGGTCATAACTCCAGAAGAAATTAATTGAAATTGCCGAAATTCAATAGGATTCTTTGTTTCATTTATTTAAATAATGCATATAAATTTCATACAGATTGGATGATAACTTTTTCATCTCACTAACGTAAACAACATATATCAATTTCAAAACAATCATATGATAAATGTAGTCTGTAGAGTGTTCAAAAGAAATTTTGGATGACGGATCGACGGACAGACAGGCGGACAGACCAATGGACGGAGGCGATGACAATATATGACCACATTTCCATGTGGGCATATAAAAACATTTTATTATCGAATGCATCCAGTTTAAGAACTTTTTTAGCTTATTTAATATTATGAAACCAAAATTCTCTGTAGGCAATTTCTGATTTTATTTGCTTTAAGAACAATTGTTGGGGTTTTTTGGGGGGGTAATTTAGGTTGGTTTATACAATTTCTTTAAAGGAAAACAACAAAAAAAAATTGTGGGGACCAAAGAAAAAGGTGCTTCCTGCGGAAATATATTTCACCAGACAGGAAGATGTGGGATTATTCTGTTTTTCTTTTTGCTTACAAAAATAATAATAGAAGAGGAACAGATGAGTGTATGTTTCTAAAATATACCTTAAATGCCTGTACAGCATCAACATAATTAGATGAATATTGACTTTCAAACCATCCAAATTGATACATTTCTGGTCCTTCTGTAATATATTCAATTAAAATATATAATTATATATCATAATATAAAACATATCATCTTTAATGGTGCATTACCTTAATTAATAAGCTACTCTTTTCAAAAAGTATATTTTTGATCATTAAAACACGAAATGAAAAGAAATGGGGATTAACGTCTTACTGCTCTGCTCCGACTGGGCTATGAGGGAAATTTTGAACGGGCAGCGGCACTATGGCCTACTCTTATATCGAATTCAAATTACGTGCATGCCAATGTATACACGGGACCTCAGTTTTTCGTCCCATCCGAACGACAAGATAACTGTCCTTGTCAGGCCCTACTTCCTGCACGACTGACAAGGGGAAACCACGTCGGAAAATCCTGATGAACTTTCTCAGCCAATGCAGGGATCAAAGACGCTATCTCCAGGCTGGCACAGGGTCCCACCCAGTTAGCCACCGTGGCTCCTTCATTAAAATACAAGGTAATGTGTGCAATATGGGGTAGGAGAATTTTCCACGAGTCTTCTTTTACCGGATTTTAACATTTTTGAGACATGCTTGAAAATATTGTCCATAGTTTGGATATAGTGGTGAAGGCTTCTTTTTTTACTTCTGTGGCCTTAAAGAATTGACAAACATTAATAAAATCTTACCATTTTCTTTCCTTCCTTCTAATTTTTTTTCACAATAATCTTTATCACTAAAATAATTGTAGCCATAACGAGACACACTAAATTCATCTAATTTCTTCAAAAGCTACAAAAATTAGGAAACTCAAGGTAGAAAAAAAAACTAATAATAAAACAAAACATTTATTTGGTAAATCCTTTTAAGATCAATCAATAGATCTATACATATCAGAACATTCTTATCAGTGAATCCAATCAAATTTCTTTCAAAATTAAAATAGTTTCAAATTCTGATAATTAAGGATTACATACATCTTATACTTTCATTAGAAATGACAATAAGTTTTCTTAATATACATAGACCAATTTCATAGAATGTTTCTAAAATCATAAACTGATGTCAATATGCATTCACATAAAAAAAAAAATTGCTTAAGAAACATCTTGAAAGAATGATGTATATAAAGAAGATGGCTTACCTTTTCTGGTGTAATCTGATGATCTCCACCCAGAATGTTAACACTTTTATCAACAATACCAATAGAACATAATGAACCTGGAGCAGCTTCCAGTTTAATACCTGTTGTAGCACCTGGTAAAACTTGTTCTTCAGTAAACTCCATACTCACCTAAACAAAAACATATAATATCTTACAATCCACACTACAGATCAATATTTGATTCAGAATATAAACATTGGGGGTGCTCGATTGTCAGTCCGGAAGGTCCCGAATTGACAGAATTGCAATCAAGTGATACAGAATTCAGTCCTATCACAGTTCTGCCAGTCCCCACTTCTGAGGTGGTGTGAGTAGAATTGTGACATATTTTAAGTAACAAATATGTTTCAGCTGCCATGGTTTGTTAAGATATGTTGTACTCTGAAATTCTCCTTTTCACTCGATTTAGTAGAGAGGTTAGACAACTGATCGTTTGATTTGAAGTGCTAGTGTCCATAATTTTGCCAACTAGGATGCCTTTGGTTGGTTTGTAACATTGTTACGGGAGTTCAATCAGTCTGAAGAGTTCAATACGAACGAAACTAGTCACTGACACCCAGAATAACCAGGTCTTTATAGTCACTCTTATATTATCTCACTTTCTGCTTACGATATCGTTATGGCTAATTTTATTGATCAAATCGGTAGGTCGTGATTCCCCTTTTTGCCTTGGATTCAACCACCACTTTGATGGAAGATATTCTCTCAGCTAAAAAATCGTTATTCTCTCAGCTACAAGAGATATCGTAGAATCAAATCGGTCCAGAGATTATCTGGTTGAAAAGAAGCTGCTCATTCAACAAGGACACATAACCAAAGGATGACAGGCCTACCCGTCCAGTTAACACAACGGACAATCTCAACTCGGTCCACAAAAAAGAGACACATACTAGTCGCCTCCCAATTCCATTTTCCAAGGCATGGTCCAAACCTTGACTCTCATATAAACAAACCATTTGGTACTAATTCGTACCAAAATATATTAAACCCCACGAGTGCCATGTTGAATTACACAATATTTAACGTTTTAAAACCTAACTACTTTATGGAATCAACGACAAATCTAAACTTGGGCACTCCAACCATTTTTATTTTTACTTTTTTTGTTACCATCAAAACTATGATGTTGTAAAAACAATCAAATAACCAACAGAGATTATTTGATAGTAATCATTGTACTTTTTAACATCTGATTATCTAACTGTTCGTTTGTCTGTTCTTGGGATTAATGTCCACTTCCGCCTAGTATGATATCGTAACCAATTATCTGACTGATATTGGTCTGCTCATTATACTGATAAATCTGAAAGAAACCACTCTGCCAAACATAGTCGACGGCTTGCAATTCCAGGTAGCAAAAGTGACAAAGAAAAAAAAACCAGAGACTAACCTTATTTCTAAAACATGGCTCAACATCAAACTGTATGCTGTCTGCTACAGTTTCACCATCAGCTCGAACATAGTACACAAGTAAACTGGCTTTAGGTGACATTTCTGGTGTCACAACAAACTTAATTTTAACATGTGAAACATGTGTGGAGGGATTTTCTGACATTTTTACAGGAATTTCTTCAGCATTTGTCATGTCAGGCACTAAATATAAACAAGATAAACTTTTGATTAATTTAATAAAATAAAAAATAGCATTTCCAGCCAATATACCCATCAGTAGCATTTTGAACAAGCAAAAATACTGTATAAAATTGGTGAGCAACTCTAAATTTCTATCAATCCTCAAGAATTCCTAAACAATCCCAGTAAGTCTGAAGGAGAAAACAATTTCTAAAATGCTGGCCTGTAAAACATTTACAAGGTTTTGGTCTAGGACTAACTAAACAATCCCAGCAGGTAGAAAAAAACTAAAAAACTCACACCTGTAAATCATTTTTAAAAATTGTGGACTTAAGGACAAGGAAGATGACAATATACTCTTACATAAAGATTACGAATTTCCAAGTATGTTATTTATGTAAACTTCTCAATTGAGAAGTGGTATCAGGTATTCTAGATAGAGTATGCATACTCTTTCTTGTAGAGTAAAAAAAAGTATAAAGTATTCATTTTTAAGTTATCAAGATAAATGACAAAGACTTAAAAACAAATTTTACATACTTATCATAGATCTCTTTCTTCTAATTGGTGCATTCAGTGGTTCAAAGATTTCTTGTTTAATTTCTTCTTCTACAACCTGTTTTCTTTTACCTTCGACATTCTCAGCAGTTTCAGATTGATAATCTCCTTCAGTCGGGACCATTTCTTCTACTCGTTGCTGTGGTTTACGTGTTGTTGTTGTTTTCACATTGTCCAAATAGACTGGTACAACCACAGGTGGAGGAGGTGGAGAAACCGGTTTAGCAATTTCTCTTATCAAGCACTCTTCTTCTGGTACCTCCAATACTGCCATAGAATCATGTTTCAGAAAATGGTGTTCCATGTGTCCTGTGTGTATAATTCTTCCTCTTGACATAACCTAATAACAGAATTGGCAGTGTCGACAAAATTGTTCTTAAAATAAGGTATTAACACAACAGGGTTAGGAGTAAAAACAAAATGCAATTTTATATGGATAAAATCCTTGCACTGTATTCGACACTTATCTAAACCGGAGAACATTTAAAATCCCCTACACAAAAAAATCATAGCATGGCAGAAAACAGGAGAGTTTTATACACAACTGGTAACAACTGCCAACCTACACGATCATACAACTCACCAGTTCACAACTGATAAAATTTGGAATGTTCACTTTCCACAAATCTTAACAACTATATTTTTTTTTGACATATACCTACTGAACGACAGAACCGATAGGGAGACATCCTACACAGCAAATCACATTAGTGCAGATTTTGTCACATGTCAAGTTCACCATGGAAAATGGAGGTTGTCGAATGGGCAGCAATTTGGTATTTGTTTAGTTCTGTTTTTACGAGTTATAACAAATTCCGACAAGTAGATTTGAGCAAAGTTAAAGTGGGTTGCATTGAGCAGAGCTTAATTGGGTAAAGTTGTAAATTAACACACACCTGCCTTTAAGAGCAGCTAATCTACAATTTTCCAATCAAAATTTCAAATACAATATGATCACAAGACAAATAATTTAGTATGTCTAATCTCCTATCTATGTAGATATTATTTTTATCTATAAGATATATTATTCCAATTTCAACTTTCTACCCTGAAAACATGTTTAATTGTAACTACCTGGAAATTAAAGACTGTGTAGGAATCTAATGTTGTTGTGTATGGAATGTCGAATGTAATTTCTTCACCACACTTGACAGCGTCTTTCATTCTTCTTGGTATTTGAATGTGACTAAGAGATGGAGAAAACCATTGTTTAACAGTATTAAATCCTCTAGGCATGTAGATTCGGTAAGATGGTGGAGAAAAATCATTGGCTGCATAATTAACACCTCTAGCCTGAAAACACAAAATGTAAGTAAAATTATTCAACCGATTCTTTAAAAAGAAAATTTGAAGAAATATTGAAGGGTTTGTCTTAGAAGTTTGACAGATTTGTTACCATACAGTGACATGATAACGCTTCAAGCTAAGTGTCAAATTCTTGTGCTCTTGAAATGGGCTTTTATATACCTGATTATGAACTTTGGCTTTTTTGGTGTGCTTACACTTTCTAGTCACTGAATACCACCAGTTGCCACCAGGTTTATCTGTGAGACCAATATTGTCTAATGACAAGATACATTGGGAGTGGAATGACCAAAACACATCATTTGGCACATTATAAATGTTGCAATATTTTTTACGACCTGATTTCACTAATAATTGATGTGTTGTTTAAGAAGAGAGTAAGAACAAGTGCTTATAAGTTCTCATGATGGACAACCTGGACAATTTTACATAGCCTGTGTTGTTCTGTTTTTGTCAGACTGTTATATCATATACACAGAATTCTTATTGTCAAGCAGTTATAGGAGCATATCATAGACACAGGATCCATCCTTTTTGGTGAATATTTCATATAACAAAGTATATTAAATAAAATATGAAAGAATAAGTTACCTCTATTCTAAACTTTGATGTATTGGTTGTAATAGGATCGCAAGTTGAGAAATGAATCAACCCATCTTTATCTGATGTGAAATTTCTAGCTAATCGTATATCATTTTTATAATTAATCATACTGATCTCTATAACTTCTCCTGGTGCTGGTGAACCATCAGGTTTAGTAATAACTGCCTGGTAAACAAAACAAAATTCAAATATCCAGATCAAGTCTTTGTTTTTAAATTTAAAGATCAAAATGAAGGTTAAAAAGCCAACTAAATTCAGAACTTTTTTCTCATTATGGACAAGAGAGGTTAAAATGATTATCTATTATAATTAATTAAAAAGCCAACTAAATTCGGAACTTTTTTCTCATTATGGACAAGAGAGGTTAAAATGATTATCTTTTATAATTAATATCCTACTGAATCTAAATATTATGAGCTGATATTGCCGGGAGCTCTAAGATAATTTTGATTGCAGACAAAATTTGTCGAACTGATAGCTGCCGTAGTGTCTTGATAACCATGTCTAAAAGCCTGGCAAGCACCAAACCAACCAGCGGCTGCCAGGCAGGATACGCCCACATTTTCGAGAGATGGATAGAAAACAAGCTAAAACGAAAGTGATTTTTCCTACAATCAAGGGCTATAATTCAGGAAATTACAATTCCATATGCGCAAATATCGAAAGGAAATGAGATCTTTGGGTTATAAACTTACATTTCAAGTTTCAACAAAATCGGATAGAAATTGTGACCTCTATAGGATCCACAACTTTGATATACCATATTTTTACTCTATTTGAGGACGAAGGGCGGCCATTTTATCTGTCAGTTTTGGGCTGATTTTCACGAAATTCGAACTCAGTCGTCCTTAGGGTGTAACGGTGATATAATAATACGATTTTTTAAATCGGATAAATATTATGACCTCTATAGGGTCCACAAGCTAAAAACGTGATTGTTCATACAATCAGGGGCCATAATTCAGGAAGTTACGGTCCGATATGCGCGAATATCGAAAGGAATCGTGATCTTTGGGTTATAAACTTACATTTCAAGTTTCAACAAAATCGGATAAAAATTGTGACCTCTATAGGGTCCACAATCTTGATATACCATATTTTTATGAAATTTGAGAACGAACGGCGGCAATTTTGTCTGTCAGTTTTGGCCTGATTTTCACGAAATTCGAATTCAGTCGTCCTTAGGGTGTAACGGTGATATAATAATAGGTTTTTTTAAATCGAATAAAAATTATGACCTCTATAGGGTCCACAAGCTAAAAGCGTGATTTTTCGTACAATCAGGGGCCATAATTCAGGAAGTTACGGTCCGATATGCGCGAATATGGAAAGGAACCGTGAGCTTTGGGTTATAAGCATACATTTCAAGTTTAAACCAAATCGGATAAAAATTGTGACCTCTACAGTGTTCACAAGCTAAAAACGTGATTTTTCGTACAATCAGGGGCCATAATCCATGAAGTTACAGTCCGATACATGCCAATATGGAAAGGAACCGAGATCTTAGGGTGATAAACCTATATTTCAAGTTTCGTTGAAATCGGATAAAAATTGTGACCTGTAGACTGTTCACAAACAATTGTGGACGGACAGACGTCCGGACGGACGGACGGACAGACGTCCGGACGGACGGACGGACAGGGGCGACGACAATATACGTCCACATGAAAATGTGGGCGTATAAAAATATACAACCATATTTCAATAATACAATATAAATCTTTAAAAAAAAACATTTCAGCATATACTTACACGTCCACGGTATGGAAATGATGGTTTAAAATGGTTATTTGTATCATCTTCTAACGTTATCTTCAGTGGATCAAATGAAACAGACGGTCCTGTGTGAGATTTTTTTACTTCAATTCCTGTAATTATAATTAACACTGATAAGTCAGTAAAATGACTTTTCACTGACAATCCAAACTACAAAACCTTTCCAATTGATAACACATCATGAAAAAAACCAACAACCGTTTGCGAATGTGATTCAAAAGTTAAAGTTACCCGTGTTTCTTTCTGTGACAGATGCAGATATCTTCAATTTTGATCTATACAAATAAGAATCTGGTCGAAATCCTACGTCCGATCCTGATACAGAAAACTTGTAACATCCATCAATCTAAAAATAGACACAATTTTCAATAAAACATACATTTATATACTGAATCCACCAAACCATTTCAATAAAACATACATTTAGATACTAAATCCTTCAAACTGTTCCAATAAAACGTACATTTTAATACTGAATCCTTCAAACCATTTCAATAAAACATAAAATACTGAATCCTTCAAACCATTTCAATAAAACATAAAATACTGAATCCTTCAAATAATTTAATGGATGTTTATCAGCTATTTCTGAGTACTAAGATAATTCAGCTACAAATACCTCCCAATGAATAATTTAAATGGCGGAATTTAATATTCAACTTGAATTCATTAAAAAATTTCAAATGAAGTTAGCAACCAAAGTTATTTAACTTTAAATTCTGAATGCAACTAACTATAGTATCAACTAAGCACTCAGTTCTCTATTATACTGCAATAATTAAGACAAGGGTGACAAAAATATTTTATTTCTGTAAAATAGTTTAAATCCTACCTCCTCATCAATTTTAGCACAAGATGAAAAAGTTCTCAATCCCCCTAAACAAATTTCAGCAGATAAGAAACCTTTAACTGGCTGACCATATGTATAGCTGTTAACAAAAAAACATAATCAATAAAGAATCATACAAAATACATGAACAAATGAACCAATGTCGTGTGAATTCAACATACCAACATCTCTATGAAGTAATTGATTAATATATTTTTTTAACGATTAATCTATTTTTTTCTCGATTAATGTATTTTTTATCGGCATACATCAATTTGTTTCATTCAACACATTTGTTGAGTGGTATAAATCGTCTGTCCAATTCCTCAAGAACCATTTCCTCCATTCAAAAATTTAAATAGTACAAACTATTCTAAAATGAAATGGAATGGGGTTTTATGTTTTACTTCTCTGCATCAACCAGGTTAATGATGATGGGTATTCACCAGGCACTGTACAATGAATTACCCTGGTAGCAGTGTTTCTTCCTAACCTTTATCAAATTCTTACTTCCATAGATTGGAAAAACATGGTTGGACCTCATTGTTTCATCCCGTCCAAATGACTAGACACTTTTATTCTTGCCAGGCCTTCCATCATCAACAACTGACAAGGGAAAAGCACTATTATAAAAGCAGTACCATATTTCAATAAAACATGTAGGTAGCTTACTTTGCACATATTTCTCCCTCTACATTTGATACATTAGCGAGCAGATATTTTGGAGGATTTATGGTAACTTCAAACTTTGGTAGAACTGCAATTATAAAAACAAGAATGGAATCAAAATTTTTTAGTCAATTTAGCAATCAGGAAAATATATCAGATTGATAAGGTAGTCTTAAGCATAAATTCAGTACAAAATTCAAATATATAATACTGAGATGAGTCAAAGACATTATATTAATCACCTTGACAGTGACAATGAAAAGTTAACGTTGCTAATCTGATGTTTATAGTTTTTGCATTGTCTATTTCCTAGCATTTCTAGCCTAAATACGAAGTTAGGTTCTTGAAACTATTATTGAACTCAGTCAAAACGAAATGAAATCGGGTTTATTGTCCTACTGTTCTGCTCCGACTGGGCTAATGAAGACGGGCATACACCATACAGTGTGCTATGAGGGAAATTTTGCCCGGGCAGTGGCACTATGGCCTATTCTTATATCGAATTCCAACTGCCAAGGGATCTCTTACGTGCATGCCAATATATACACAGGACCTCAGTTTTTAATCCCATCCGAACAACTAGACAGCTATCCTTGTCTGGCCCTCCGTCCTGCAACACTGACTAGGGGATACCTGATGAACTTTCTCGGCCAATGCAGGGATTGAACACCCGATCTCCAGGCTAGCGAGCCAGCGCCTTTTTTTTTTAAAACTATATTTTATTCAATAAGAATAGGATTTGGGAACAGGCTACTAATAAACATCTACACCAAGTTTAAACATTCTATCTCAATTAAAAGCTGAGTTTTTATGTTCCAAAGTCTTGACCAATCAAATTGTTTAGTGCTACTAGCTTAAGCTACTTAGTTTCATCACTCTCACCCAATTAGAACTAAAATTATCGTGTTCCAAAGTCTCAACCAATCAAATTGTTTATCTTTGCTCAGGCTTATTGGAAAATGCACATGATCGAACACTATTAAGGCATTCACCTAATAAACATCTACATTAAGTTTGAACATTTTACCTCAATTAGAAGGAGAGTACTGTTATTGTGTTCCAAGGTCTCGACCAATCAGAAAATGCTCATCATCGAACTTTGTCATGGTACTGATGTAATGAAACTATACACGATGTTTCACCACTCTCACTCAATTAGAAACAAAGTTATCAAGCTCCAAAGTCTCGACCAATCATATTGCTTATCGCACTGCTTACCCTGAGCAGAAAATGCTCATTATTAAACTTAGTTAGGTATACTATACGCCAAGTTTCATCACTCTCACTTAATTAGAACCAAAGTTATCGTGTCCCAAAGCATCAACCAATCAAATTGCTTATCTCGGCTTACCCTAAGCAGAAAATGCTCATTTTCGAACTCCACCAAGGCATTCATCTAATCTGTCACACCTACAACTAAGTTTGAACTTCTAGCTCAATCGGGAGAGTTCATGTGTCCCAAAACAGTGATGGACGGACAGAAGGACAGGACAATAAACTATGTGAAGATCAGTGTTCCAGTGTTTTCTAAATATGCAGTTTCTAAGATATAAGAAATCTGTGATGTTCATTTTTTGTTGCAAATGAATATTATTTCTCAGTTCTGATTTTCCTCGATACTATAATTGAAAGTACTCACCATATTCTGCCACTTTGAATGTCTGTTTAGTAAGTTCATTATCAATATTAGCTTCAATAGTCCAATCACCAAGCTTGGGTTCAGCAGCCAGTTGAAATTCAAAACTACTCAGACCTTTTCCAAAAGATTATATTACATGACAACTTAGAATGGCTTAATATTATCTCAGAACACAATTTCAGTTTTTATTAGAAAAATTCTGACAAGTGCTACCAAGGCATCCAATACATGCCTTCCTAATGTTATTGAAATTGTTCAAGCCAAACAAAGGCAAAACTGTCTTAGAGATAATTGGATATCTACCACTTTAAGGTTCCACTTCCTTTCTCCCGTGAAACTAAGCAATTTCATTGATATGAATAAGTGGCACACAAGAAGAATTATAACCAAATTTGGAGGAAATACATTTTCAAATGGAACAAGATGTTTAAACATTTATATTAAATTGTAACTAGACTTATCCATTTCAGCCATTAAGCGAAAAAATTATTACAAGTTGTGTGGGATTATAAGAGTGCATGTCATTAGTTGTGTGGGTTGAGCTCCCAGTAATGGGCATTATTTGACAATATTTCAAGATATATACAGGGACTTAAACTCTTAGAATTTCTAAACTGATATGCATATTCAACAACTCCCCAAAGTATTTCTGATCTTTTAACAAAACCTCCTCTGCACAATGAAACAATTTGTTTTTACACTATTAAAATGAGATTTATAACATACCATCTGAATCAATATCAAGCCATTGTTTTACTCGTATTTCATTTGGGTCTTTGATGAATACTTCAGTTATCTGGAAAGTTGAATAAAGTTTAGAAGGAAGAAATACTGCTATATATAAATCATTTTCAGACTAACATATGGGTTTTCTTTACTGCACTGTCCATGTGTACAAGGTACCCCAGTTTTCGTCCTGTTCATACTAAAAGACACTTTTTATATGTCTTTCCATTTAGAATAGTAGTCAAGATTTGTTAGTACAGTAAATATTATTTCCATATAAAGATTTCAATTTCTTTGAATCAGTGTTATTTACTTCGATAAGGCTAAGCTAATTAATGCTCCGGGCCCTTATTCACGAAAACTTAAACTAAGATACAATCGAAATTTTAAGAAATACTGCAATTCGATTGGCTAACCAGTAAAATCAATTTGCATCCATCCAATGAAGTTGCAGTATTTCTTAAAATTTCGATTTTATCTTAGTTTAAGTTTTCGTGAATAAGGGCCCAGGTCTAAATAGAAAACAATGTGGGGCCATAGCACCAAGATAATTTGGGAGGGTTGTAACTATTTGAAAAATTAAGAATTACCTTTCCAACTCTTGGTTTAAGATCTCTCTTCATAGTCATTATACGATAATTTACTGTAAAAACAAATTTATCATCTTTGAAATAAGTTGCTTTAAGTCGACTCAAATATATTGCTAATATGGTTAAAGAAACATGTAGTTGATGATAAAATAAATAGATATTAACAGGATTATGTCAAGAAGACTTTCTACTAAATTTGAAAGAAATCCATTACCATTCTGCGGGAAAGACAAATTTTAGGATAAAGTTGCAAATAAATCTTCTACATATTAGTTGCTGAACTGAGCAACTGCCAACTTCTTTATATTGGTTTTCTCACAATAATTTACAAGAACTCTTTCCAATAAACTATATACTTTGCAATTTAGATTGTGAAATTTAAGTGTTTTCCATTACAAAATCTGTACAAGAAGTGACAGTTCACACTGTGCATATCAAGGGAGATCTAAATTTAATTAAGTGTACAAAATTTAAATCAATTATCTCAAGTCAACATAAGGCTACAATTCAGTAAAATACAAATGGAATCCGATCAAAAGCAAACTAGACCTGTAATTCGGCTATCAAATATCTCAAAATTTAAGATGGGTCATGTGAGGATATTTTATGATTATTTTATAAATCTGTTAGTATAGTAATATCAGTAAAATAAAAACACCACCACACTACTAACACCTCTCATATATGATCTTTACATACAAAAATATAGTCATATCAGGATTGTGTTCCCTATTATTTCTTTTGTTCTGGAAAATATCCCTATATATTTTTTACCCGAAACTCGTTGTTCTTGGGGGCAAAGCCTAAGGCTCTGCCAATTCAAATACGATCGACATGAAACTTCAACGCCTGTGGTTCAATGGAGAATTGCGCATCAATTGACAGACTTCGTTTTTTGATAGCGGCGAGAATATCATGCTCGTTTTTTAGAGTCCATATAGTACTATCATATTTGTTTTATTTCGTTTTACGGTTTCTCTCACCTTTCTGTCCTGGTTTATACATTGGTTTGTCTGTCTGAATAAATGTAATAAGATTTTGGCCTCGGACTTCCACTTCCATCTCTTGAAGTAGTTTATCATCATGAACAAGTGACACCGTATAAGTTCCAACTTTATTGGGTATTGCGAATTCTTCACAACCACCCTCATCTGAAAATGAAAAAATATAACATGTGAGTAAAAAGTATTCAGCCAAATGCACCAACTATTTTCTTTCATAAAACTACATGTATGACATATTTAAAAAAAACAAAAAAACTACATACACGAAACATTTTTTTCAAAACAATTTGAAATTTTGTAAACTTAAAGATACATTACCTATTACAGGTCTTTCATTTGACTTCAAATGTCATACACATTATTAATCAGACATTTATTCACATGACAGGCCCGTAGACAACTCTCTAGACATTCATTGAATGACAGTGATTTTTAATGGAGTAAAACACATTCACCATTTAATAATCTAATTCAAAAGTGGATACCCAAGACTTTGTTTATTACCGTAGCAATGGTACTTGACAATCAAGACTATATCGTTAAACCTTCGAAAAATCATAACTCCACAACTGCGCTCAGAATAAAGTACTTTAACCGAAATTTTCAACAGGCCCTAAATTCATTTTTCATTATCTATTTTTGAACTATTATAACAAGCTCTTTATCTAATTCTTACAAAATGCATCTTTAATGATAACCAAAAATTGAATACATTTAAAGTTTTCAGTTGTAAAATTGACAATCCTTAATGTAACTACCAGCTATTTTCTTTTCAATATTATTAAATTAAGGAGCACTCCAGGAATTGTGTAAGAAATTGATGAATATCAACCTGTTGTTTCCTCTCACCAAACCAGACAAAGTATAAATTCAAAAAATTTCAGACTGGAAATGTGACACATCTTAGGGGAGTTTACACACAATTTCTAGAAACCAGAGACACGTATGACAATTGAAATATACAATCATATTTCAATGTGGGGTATAAAAATGTGTAGTAACAGGTTTAATATGTAATCTTTAAGAGGCATTTAAGAACTGGATAGGGTAATAAACTATAACACATACTTATGGAAAAACAGCTACTTATTTATTTGAGCGACGTTTCGAAGAGTATTCTCTCAACGTTATCAAGTTTAATATGACTACTTTTCTTGTTATCATTATAGCCACGTTGATTTATTTCCGTTATGAATCACAATATTGCTAAAAGATGTTCCTGTATTGTCAAGTTGGTGGTGTAAATTAATTAGATCATCATTCTATATATCATACGGAAACATGTCACCTCATCTTCCCGAACATCTAATATTTATCATCACCGGACACTCATCAATTTCTCATCAAGCAAACAATGGAATTAACCAGTCTTTCTAATGTGTCCTTAGAAACTACAGACATTGAAATAAGAAATATACGTTCAAACCTTTTTACATAAATGCGAACTTTCCATCAGTTTTATTTGAGGAAATACGTTGCAATTGATGTTATGAATTGAATTGAACAAGATCGATGCATGATATTACATTTGGTTGCTGTGTGTGTTACGTGGATAATTGCATTGCCCTAGAGGCTAAGTACGAAGCAACCGCTATTATATGGATGTGGATCTAACAAATCTGACATTCTCAGGGTTTTTTCTGCTCAAATAAACTTGTGAAGAAAAACACATCAAGCACTAACATTCCATCATGCAATATCTAAAACACTCAATGAAGTACCCTTGTCAAACCATCATAATACATACATGTATTTATAAAATGTAGCTTTTACATTTTGATAGGCAACGAATGATTTAAATCTTTTATTTTGGTAGCAAAATATTTTACAAACCACACAAAAACACTTTTTACAGAAATATTGTCAATCTGTATATTAGAGTTATTGCAGTTTAATGAAGCTGGAAGTAATATGCCAAGTTTGGAAGAAAATTTAGAAAATTTGATTAAGTTCAAAAGTTGATGTCAATTAATCATCAAATGGCTCTTTTTTTGGGGTATATAAAATAATTTCAATATATCTAGTGCCATATTGGACTTTCGTCTTTGCTGTCAGTGTTACAAACCATTTGCAATTATTGTTAAGACATTATATAGGTGTTTCCAAATTAACTATTCCACATAAAATATGCAAGAAATGTTATACGACACAGAAATATTAATAAAGGTTTACAAAATAAAAACATTTTTGGCAGCTGATACAGAACAGTTTACACATGGGTGTAATACTGTTACTGTGACATAGACTTTTTCTTATAAAACAAACATTCTTGGACAATCAAGAACAATGGACACACAACATCCTGTCTTTAAGAAAAAAATCCAGAAGTGAATCATAAAACAGGTGAAATTCATCACACATCAACCTTGACTTTTATTTTACCTATAATTTAGGTGTAACAACACTGATATTTAGATGAAGAAAAGGTTACAGTGTAGCCAACATGTAAAATTATGAATTTATCAAATTGAAACATTTGTTGACATTACAATACAAAGAAAATTTAATATGTACAGCCATTAGTTCATTGTTACACGACCATAATAGACATTTTCACTCTGTATTCAAGGCAGTTGTAGCATGTCGGTGGAGATTTATCCCTTTTATTGATCAATCTGTGAGAATCAAATGAATGGAATCGGATTTTCAGCAATTTGCAAAGTACCTTTTAAAATGTTTTTAAAGATGTCTGAAACACAATTTATCAACTGAATTTCCTCAAGTTTAAATCACAGTGATCCAATTAATAAACACAGAGATGAACCAAAAATGACAATACCCCTATTAAAGAAAGAAAAAGAGAATAACCCTATTAAAGAAAGAAAGAGAGAATAACCCTATTAAAGAAAGAAAGAGACAATAATCCTATTAAAGAAAGGAAGTGAGTATAACCATATTTAAACAGAGCATCACTATCACTGCAATATATGTCCCACATTCCTGCTTTGATTCATATGGTACTCTTTAAAATAAAGAAGGCTAGGTGTTGGGTTTCTTTTGCCAAATTTACAGACTAAATTTAACAAAACGTGGGTGTGACAAAGCCCCTGGGGGTGAGGACATGCACCAAAAAAAATAGTTGCTATTCTTAAGGTAGAAGGAATAAATATGCCAAGTTCCAACACAAATATCAAAAGGAAACAAGATATTTGGGTCATAAACATGCATTTCAAGTTTCCTTAAAATCGGATCAAAATTATGACCTATAGAGGGTTCACAACCTTGAAATACCATATTTTTAAATTATTTGTGTACGAGGGGCGCCCATTTCGTCCCGCAGTTTTGACTGATTTTCACGTAATTCAAACTCAAGCATCATTACAGTGTAATGGCAATATATTCAAACGCTTTTTTTTTTTAAATCGGATAATAATTTTGACCTCAAGCTAATAACGTGATTTATCGTACAATCTGGGGCCATAATTTAGGAAGTTACAATCCGATATGCATTTCAAGTTTCATCAAAATCAGATGAGAATTTTGACCTCAAGAGTATCCACAAGCTAAAAGGTGATTTTTGTACAATCAGGAGCCATAATCCATGAAGTTATGGTCCGATATACGCCAATATCAAAAGGAACCGAGATCTTTGGGAGATACACCTATGTTTTAAGTGATTTACATTCAATTGTTTCTACATTCAATCGTTTCTATATATACTGTAATTTCTAATCAGTTATATTTGGCGATGTTACATGAAGAGTCCAAATTGAATGGCAGTCTTTGGCGCCTGGTTAATCCAGTCTACACCGGTAGTATTCTCTTGTAGGGTATGTTGATCTAAATTTACCAATAAGTTGTGTTTGCAATGTCAAAAAGACTGTGGAAGATATTGAGTTAGAGACTTGCCTCCTTTTAACAGTGTCAAATTCTATAAATTCTAAATATGACAAACCAAAAATCATGAGACAACTGGAATCTTTCATATTACATTATACAATAAAACACTATTAAGATGATCTTTGTCAAGGAAATTTTTTTTATGTCTGCCTGGAGGCAAGTTCTATTTATTTCTCAAGTCTGGTTAATAAGGTCAAGCTTTACTGTGGTTAATCCAGTCAATTGACCACAAGCTTCATGACAAGAATATCTTCATTGTCTTCAATAAGTATATATTGATCTTGTGGGAATTTTCATTTTTTGAAAATCCCTTTATCATAAAACTAGCAAACAACATGCTTCAAAACTACTTGTAATCTATTGAAAACACTCTCTACTTCCATGTTCAGGACCACTTGAGCATTAAACATCTGTTTGTTTACCATAATACATAAATAATTTTCATTTTTTACCTGTCAAAAGTCGGCCATGCTTGATTTACGCTTTGAGCTTTTCATACTGCTCTCTGATTGGCTGTGCGCAACCAATCAAATCGGCATTTGAATTGTCGACATTCAGTGCTGATCGCACAAGCGTTTCGGGAGTAAGAGGGTATATAGGCAGTCGAATTCATCACCGAAGGCAATATAGGTATGGGAATAGTAACTATTCCATTTATTAGCCAGGAAAAGTAGCTTTTCCGCCATGCTAACAAACAATATTTAATTTGGGCTTTTATTTATCGATGATGTAAGAAGTATTTAAACATGGTGATTTAGTTAGGTTCAGTTATGAATTTTACAGGCTTATAAATTCAGCATTTAAAGTGGCTTTCTACATTTTCAAATATTACTGCGCTTTCAGTTTGAATTGCTTTGTATTTATACTTGGTCGATCATTGGCATGTGGATCACCTTCGCGAAGTGGTCCCACAGAGTTTTTTTAAGGGGTGGACTTTTGTCTGCATTCAGTAGATTCGGTTTTGGTTTTTCATATCATTAAGTGGGCTGCAGACTTTGTGCAAACCGGTACCTGTATTGTTTCGTGCGTAATGACTGTGCCTGCCCATCTGAGTTTTATCTTGCGTGAAGCGAATTCCTGCATTTAGGAAGTGGTCTTGACTGGCTGGAACCAGTTTTAATGTAGGCGGAAAGATGCATAAGATTCGTAGTTGTTGAAAGTTACTATGGTACGATAGTCATGGAATCTCGAGATTACATTTAAACTGGTTACTTTATTTGTTTAAAAACGTACCCTCATATTCATCTGGTAAACACTGGGATAAAGCTAAACCCTAATCTTGGAACTTGAGGCCCATTTAATTTGTTAGGGATAAACTCCTTCATTCATTCATTCATTTAATCATCTATTTATTCATTTATTACAGATGTTACCCTTTATTTAATAAAACTTTTGGAATAATAAATAATCGTTTTGTTTTCTCTGAATTGATGTTTGGGGCAAACCATTGAGCATCCAGTATTCGAATCCCTGCTTCTTCTGAATAAACCCACAGTTGGAGGTTGTGTGTCTGGTAAAAAGGGGTGGGACTTACTTTGCATCTATTTAAACTGAGGGTCGGTTTTGCCGAGCTTGAGCCTACATTTTTTCTTATTATAAGTCCCAAGATACTACATTTTTTGACGGACTTGCCCTCATACTGTATACTGGCGAGCTTCGTAAGATACATTTTTGCCAGTCATAAACCCCTCTTACTACAATCTTAAAGTTTTTACATTCTTTAATTAACAGTAAATTAAACCACTGAAATGATATCAAAATGTTTTGTTTATGAATTTTTTGTATGTGTGCTACTAACACTGATTTTAAACAGTATGCAAAATTTTCGGACCAGAAACTGGTCCCCAGCACTACTCATCTTGTTGTTCTTTAGGGAGTCGCTTTTTGAAAAAAAAAAAAAGCCCAATGGTCAGCCAATTGACAGACATTTGGCATACTTGTTCCTTGGTTAATTGTGCATCTACTAGATTTTTGATATGACGTTACAAGTCCAAGATGGCTGAAAACATGCTATGCTTGGTTCCTGTTCCATAATATAGTAGACTCAAACCCGCTATAATACTATCACTAAAAATCTCTTCAAAAATAGGCATAATTCTGAATGTATCTGATTAAAGCAGTTATATTTAGTTATATTAATAATTCATATTTTATTATACAAAATAAAGTGTTACCTGTCCATAATTCATAGGTGTCTTGGATTTCTGTATCTTGATGTGTTAATCTAAGTGTAAATGTTGAATATTCCAGGGGACCATCATGAAACATCAAACAAAATCTTTCTTTAGCTCCAGCTTGAAGAATTCTTGGTAGTGTAAGTATATAGCCCCTACAAAAACAAATTTGAACACTTTTATAGTTATCTAAATAAAAAATAAAAAATATGCACTACATTAATGCTTAATTTAAATATTGCCAAATTCCATTGTGCTTTGAACCACCAATAATGGGACCACTATTGAAGAAACCTTACCATTTTACACAAATATTTTTCAAATTATCAAAAATAACTACAGGCAAATAACCTTTTAACTCACCCAAAGCATGGGTCTTTAACTTTTTTTATTTAAAAATATATTTTGGGAATTTCTAACGAGCTATTCGCTAAATTTAAGTGGCAAACTTTTTGCATAAACTATGCTTTCTTAGGAATATTTGGCCAACCGGGAATTAAACATCAGCTTATATAGACTAGCTCATCAGACATTATTATAAAAGTTACTTCATCCATACATTTTCCCACCATTATAATAGATCTTCCGAGCTTTAAAGATCACACATTCATTTGGAGGTTAACCAAATCTAATATATCAATGGCTTCTACTGATGCTCTTATGAATATTTTACAAGAAACCATTAGTATTTACCATTATTTGAACATGGCAAACTTGCATTGGTCTTGTTTCTTTTCCCTTGTTGATCCTCATATAAATTCCTAATGTAGATACATGTAGACGCAACTGTATATATTAAAATTTTACATTTCTCTTAAGAATTCTATGAGATGCATCAATCAATTCAAGAATTATTTTATTTTGAGAAAATCATTCTTCAAATGTAGCACCATTTGACGGTAGGCGACCATCAATTTAATTGGGTCATTGGCGCAACATAAAAAATTACTTTAATGAAACCACAGAGTAAAAATACCCAGAGTGGCGACTTCTTCATTTGCATAAAAAGTAGGTCACGCACTGCATCTTGGGGTTTGTCTGTAATGTCACTAAACATGGTGGCTAAAGAAGACGTTTCGCAGTTGAACAGAAGAAAATACTATTATACTATAGATTATAATAACAGCAGTATATATCATCAACAATTTTATTTTGTAAGAGTACACATTTGGTGAAAGGTGTTTTCATATTTGATTGATAATTAGATTAATTGGCATTATATTGCATATGATATATTCCAATGTAGAGTAGGCCAACTGAGTACTGTAGGCCTAGAAGTAGATCTAGAGGTATACGTCTTTAGACTATCTAACTTATGATAACTAACTTGTCTAAGCTAAATCAAATCAAGGTAATTTCGGGACTAACATGGTTCAGTTTTATTTCGATAATTCAATTGATGGGTCTTTTTTTTTAGCAGTGACTGAGTGAGAGGAAACTGTCCGAGGACCCGAAGAAAACCCACAAGGTTGGACAGGCGACCCTACACCTGTCGCGTACAAGCGGGGAATCGAAACCACGCCACTTGAATTCATGACATGTCATAGTCATAGGTCGTATTAATACTCGGTAATTTAAATTGTAGATCTTTTTTTAGTAGTTGCGCTTTCGCAGGACAAGAAGTAGTTGCGCTTCTATGTAAACCAACTCATTCCTTGCATTCTTTATCGCATGCTGTATCTAGTATTTTCGTAATTTTAGAATTACATGTAGTTTTGATTTTTAAAGGATCAAATATTAAATCGTAAGCTCTACCCATTAAGTCTGTAGTTGCACATGTTCTTTTTACATTCTATATTTTTTGTAAAAACAAATAAAATCTAGAAACACAATAATAGGCCTACGTAACGCTAGTCTACCGAATAAAATAAATTTAGATTCATATGTTATCATTAAAAGAAATTGAAATAGTATCATGTGCAATGAAACTAACTATATTTTCCGAAGAATCTGTTGTATTCTGGCAAAAGGATAATGGACAAGCCATAATTTTTTCTAAGATTGTGTATCGAAAAATAAAATGTGATTCTATGTAGGCCTACAATTACTTGTGGTAAACAATTTAAGTGTTAAGTTTATGGTATTGTAATATACCTTTGTAAATGTCATAACAAAAATATTATTTTGCTCAATTTTCAGTTGCAATAAGCTTTTAATAAAACAGTAAGTCTAATACTGTTATGCTTTTCAAAATCACATTTCCCCTATTACTGGTAGGCCTTATCCGACCAATAAAATATTTACTGAAGCACTATCACTAGTTTTAAACCATTCAGTAATTCAAAATAATTTTAATTTACTCTGTCATTATCTAGTAATAGTATGCTGTATGGTTAACTTCAGTTTTCATGGCAGATAATTCCATAAGTACACAGTATAAACTAAATTTTCTATTTCTAAATAATCAGTTGACAAAAAAAATCACAAAAATAAAAGTAACTCTGAACACAGATCAGACCTAATGTCATGGATATCTAGAGCAAACTTCAGATTTATAATAATTTAATATATTCTTGTGCAGTAGTGTAAAATGGATAATTTCATAGTATTAGGGGGCCTATAAAGGCTGTCAAAACATTGACACCCAGAGCAATATGCAAAGTATTCATTCTAAAGTTGTTCTTGGTTTATACTTGTTTGTAAAAAGAGAAACCAATCAACTCAAATAATGTATATCGAAAAATGTTATAGACCTTTTTCAAATAGAATTTTAATATCGTTAATTATTTTATTTTTCTAAAAATGAAAGCCTACATTAATTAATAGAACAAAAATCATAAAAGCACACAGTGATTCAACGTTGGGGCTCAAATCTGTTTATTGGAAAACGTTATATGCCTATTTGAAATTCGATTTTAATATTCTTAAATTATTTTTCCATATTTTAATGAAAGCTTACTTTATTAACATAACATAAATAAGAAAATCACACAGTAATAAGCTCTAGAAGACAGGTAAATCATGTTGATGTTGAGTAAAATAGGCCTTATCCAAAAAACACACACAACTAACGTATGATTGTATGTGATAATTCTCGGTAGTTTTGTTACCAAAAATACTATAAAACTACGAAATTAAAGAGATTTAGTTCATCGATATAGATATTGTAACGCCGTTGAGCGAACTGTCAGTGTGTTTATTACAGACAATTCCTAAGACGCATTGCGAGTCGCTGTGTTTCTATGGGCTGTAATGCAAGTCGCCACTCTGTGTATTTTTACTCTGTGAATGAAACTAAGGTATTTCTATGATCTGGAAGAAAGATAGGTTGCCAGACAATGAAACACACCTACAGTAGCAGAGTCATCCAAGTGGTCCACAAAGGTGGTCACACATTTACTATTGTAGGTAATTGGAGCATTTATAATGCACTAAAGATCAAGACGGATCAAAAGTAACAACTCTTGAAGTAATTATCACAAATAATCAATATAAGTTGCCATGCAACAAAACATGTACCCACAGCAGTTGACTGGTCCAAACTGTCAACAAAGGTTGTTATATAAGACCTACACAAAGTTTGGACACTATAGCTCAATAAGAAGCATAATTATTGTGTCCCAAAAAGTGCGGACGGGTGGACGGACAAACCCATTTTAATAGTACTCTGCTTTCCTTTAAAGTGAAATGGGGGTTTTAACATCCTGATGTTCTGAACCAACCAGCGTAAAGAAGATTATACTGTGTGCTATGAAAGAAATTTTGATCGGACAGCAACACTTTAGCCTACTCTTCAAGGAATTCCAACTATCATGGGTTCTCATCTTGTTGTTTTTCTTCATCTTGAGGGCGACAAATAATGCTTGTTCAGTTGACAATTATTCATCGATTGATAGACTTCAATTTTTGATATGACATCACAATTCCAAAATGGCTCCAATGACATGATACTCGGTTCCTGGTCCATATAGTGTGTTTGTACTTGTTTAATCTAGTTAATGTTGCAACTTTCACCCTCGTATCAAGTGGGTTCAATTTATTAAATGTCCAGTTGTGCCCTACAGAGGCTGTATACCCCATACTTGATTTTTTTTAGAAAATAAATTTAATCAGCACAGACAGATTAGTTTCATAGACTGCTGGTGAAAATCAATACTTTCTAATTGAAGTCCTGCTTGACCATTGCCATTTAGATTCCCTCCATTTCTTTTAAAGAGATAAAAAGATATTTGTTCAGTTTCAAATGAAAAAAGAAATTGACTTCAATCTTTTAATCAGTTATTATTTTTTTTCTATAGTTGGTCCTTAAACATACATTATGCAAGAGCTAAATTTGATTATTGCAAGTCTTTACTTAGGCTTCAGATGTCACAGAAATTATAAATTAGATCTTTATTTACACAACAAGCACAAAATCAACTCTGTAGACCCACGGAGGACTTGGATTTGGCTTGGATTTAAACATGATTTCATTGATTGATTAAATTTTTAAATGGCGTCGGAAGCGGAGATTGCCCGTTACGTTGACGTCATACTCTCGGAAATTTTAGATCGAGGCTAAATAATAGAGTGTACGAAGCGAGGCCGCTAAATGATAGGGTGTACGAAGTGAGGCCGCTGTTGAGCGAGGCCGCATATCAGTCAATTTGATTGAAAGTTTGATATATACGGCCTTGATATTATGTTTAGTTGTGGTTAAAATGAGAGTTTGGATGTCGGTATTATATGCTCTTTTGTCACTTGCGTTTACAGAAAAATTATGGAAATTGATAAACATCGCAGCTAACATCACCCCAGTTGAATTGCAGCCCCATTGGTCACTGTTTCCTATTTGAAATTTGTCTGCTTTGGGAGTCACTTAGGCCTACCGGTTACAGTACAAGAGTACACACAGGCTAACAAGAAGTCGGCTATAATTATGCCTCATTAATTTGGTCCATTCCTTTCAAACTTTCGCTTCTTATCTATATATTGAAAGTCTTGTTTTTAATTTGTAGTAAAAATAAATGTGATACGAATTGAATTGCAACCCCGTCTCAAACCAAATAGGCTAACGGCACCACAGCCATTGAAAACGTTACTTGATAATCGAGATTATGTAGGTGGAGTTAACGCTTGTCAATCAAACGATCGTCCATTCTCGGAAAAGGTGAAGAGAGAGTTGACTCCTATTTCTAGTCAAAAATTACAATGGTGATAACTTTGTTCAGAATAA